AGAGGCTATTCATGGCATCACAGCTCCTCATTGCGTCAGCACTTGGGAGCATCATGGGAAACCTCGTTGCGGGCCCTACAAGGTTGAACAATGTCTTCAAAGTCCCCGGAAGAAGAAATTCTCCGTAATTAGAGGCCGGTTCGTTCACAGGGCTGTCGCCACATTTTCGTATGACTGGACGAGGGGGTCCGGAATGGACATCCCATCATGCAACTCTTTTCGGGGAGGAGATCGCCAAGGTGTAATAGTGGGCGTGCGTGTCGGAGATGATGACGGGCAAAGGCAAGTCTGGTCATTGGTCGATGGATCAAAGACTAGCCAGCCTGCAGGGCGTTCGACAGGGCCAGCGGCGTGGGCTTTCTTCACCACCATTTGCCGCAGGAACGATGTGGACTCCATCTCCCCCCCTCTCTCCCGTTTGCCGCTAGATCTCGGCCAACAAGCAGAAAGGGGCCCCAAGTTGCACACGCCATCTATCCACAGGCGAGGTCTGCCACCTCATCATCATCAGAGAGTGGGCACGCGCTAGCGGGAAACCCTTGAAGCTCTCACCAATCTCTAGCTAATAAGTCTTCTCCTGTTCGTTCATTTATTCTGCTCAGCGAGTGGCGTGTACGATTCCTGCTCTATATAGTTTTATGAATAAAAGTAGGCGTTTCTGGGCTGAAGTGGATGCGGAACAAAGGAGTTGCTGTCGCGCGGGATGTGGGCTGAGACTTAAACAATCTGTTATACAACCATGGAGTGGCACAATAATGGCCTGGCAACTTGTCCCATCGGGTTTGTGCCTAAGCCGACGCCTTGTCATCATTATGCTTTGTGGGCGCATCCAAAACCATGGCGGTAGTAGCAGCGCGAAGTCCCGGCCACAATGTGTCTCCAGCCCCAGAACGACGCAGGTGAAGCCAAAGTATGTAGTCTGCGGGGGGAGGGCTGATAAGATTGCTTGCTTGGCTCTTTCGATTATGTCATAGCAGGTTATCGGCGTCCATAACGAGCTTTTGTTGCTCGTGGCTCTCGCACAGCATTTCCTGGACCCCTTTAACCTTGGCAGTTGCATGCATCTTACTGTCCCGCCGGCCGACTTCATATCTCCGCGCATCCTTCCCAACTGCAACGGTGTGCACGTAGATGAACGCATTGTGCTTTGGCTCATCGTACTAGCATGCAACGCATCCACGACATTGTGCTGTCGGTGAGCAGCCATGAGGAAGAAAATAGACACAAGCTTATTATTGAGCTCCCCACAGATGACCAGTGTCTGGGGTCATGTAACCCGTGTCCCTTAACCAGGAGCAAGACTACACGTGGTATTGTGCGAACTGCAGGTGGTGTTGCATCGGTGAGCCCTGACCACCCGTTGTATTTCAACACGCGCGCGCGCGCTCACGTTTTGGCATCATCATGGCGTAGCTAGTGCAAGTCATGTTCATCCTGCATTAACATGATCTACCTGAGTGCTTCCCAGGTGGTCAAACGAGAGAGCACAGCCCATCATCGCAAGTCAAGACACTCCCCCGAATCGTCTGGACATGAATGTTCCGGAGCTAAGCTGTCGTGGCTTGCAGGATTTTGTTGTCGCTTCAATTGACCCCGATCTTACCTGTTTTAACAGCCCCCTCGTATCCACACGCACGCCATGTTATTTTGTCCAGCCTCCTTCGGAAGTACGGCAAAAAGTATGCCTCTGATGACTGCCCATCTTTCCTTTTCGGAACCGGGATGTCCGGTCTGCATCTATATCCCTCGATACCCGTTCACTGCCAAGGAAAGAAGCCCGCGGAGCAGTCAAACATGTGGCGTTGATACGATCCAGGGCGGTGAACAAACATTTGTCAATGGACAGCACGATATTGGAGCCTCGCTGGTTCATTCACCAAACAAGAAGAAACCAAAACCGTTGCATCGTGCATGTGCACGGCAAAGGTGAGCAAGGACAATTGCCCGACCCGTTGGACGGGGACGAGGCTCTCAGCCCGACCCCTCATTTGATCAGCAGAAGGCGTCGTAGGGCTCACAGCCAGCACTGCCGTCCACCTGCGCATGCTGATCAAACAAGGAACGAATTTGGCGATTCTTGAACTTGGGCTGAGCCATGCAGTCTGGGAAAACGTAAAAGTGTTCGATAACAAGTTCAATCTTGGGGGCCTCAGCTGAGTGGAACGAGGAGAGCAGGCAGGTAGTGTGGTCGACCAGGGCCTCGGAACGAGGCTAAACAATGCTATTCCAACAAGCATATCCAGCTTGTCGGCATAGCAAATAGTTAGCGGATGGATACGAGTGAAGATCTGCTCAAAATGGGAAATTCCCAGTCTAGACGCCCGTGTAGGGTAGGTAAGTCGTGCATGTAAGTGCACGCGGTGTGGTACCTGCCAACGGCTACAATTTTGGAGGTGCAGTAAAGTAGATCCCAGATCATTGGAAACAGAAGCATCGGATAAAATGATGCAAGGGCTATCATATATCAGATCCTAACATTCACCGTGGTCAGTCAGCCTGTTGCTAGTTCACCACGTGCAGGGTATTGAGTGCCACCAACACGGGGAATGTCCTCGTCGGTCTTCAAATGTCTCTGCCCTGCGTCAGACGAACCGTACACAACCCGGGAACAGAGCAGGGCCAAATGGACCTAGAATGGCATCCCGCAGCAAGGCTGGGCCCGGGGGAGGCACGTTGACCCTCTCACTGGCTGTGTGGCTGCCAAAATCTCACCCTGCCCTGTTTGCTTCTGCACCCTCGTCTGGTCAGCCGAACAAGAAAGCAAGCAAGATTGGCGACCATCTTCATCGTTTCGCTAAATATGCTCCGCACGTGTTTTCTTCTTTTGCTTCCGATTCTTGCTCGCCGGTCCGCCCAAGTGATGACGCGGTACATCACCCGGCCGAATAATTTGAGAATGAGCGACCAGTCACACACCTGAACGTGGACTCGATTTGCTGATCCCATATCGAACCTCGGGCCAAAGTAAACCAATGATAATTAATGTACTCAAGGTAAGAAGAGGCACCGCTACGCTGCCTACCCCCGAATCTGTAAACGGGAGAGAGAATACGCAGCCATGCGAAGTGACTGCTTCTACCATCCAGGGTATATTGCAACACTCTTGACGCTGTTGAGATTGAACGCGAATGTAATGGTACGATCTCACGATGTTGCAGCTTCCATCAACCAGACAGTTCGCGGCTGCAGTTTCCAGGCCATTCCCTATCTGATCCGGCCAGCTGAACCCCCGCCGGCCAACCACATCCCCGGCCCGGTGCCACCACCACCACGTAGCCGGGATCTTGCCAATGAGGGGCAGCGACAACCGGACATGAGCTAACCCGAGACCATAAATATACAGTCTAGGTCAAAAGCTGTCAGGGGGTACGGAAGCAACTTGATCGCCAGTATCGAGTACTGGCACCGTCAAATCACGGCGGCACGCCGCTGCGACTCTGATACCTGCCCCTACGTGCAGCCCCCGGACCAGGGGGTCCGGCTGTCGTTGGTAATACCGCCCCGTTTTCCATATCTCTTGGCATGGATATCCCGAGGATCGCATCGCGCTGGAGAACGGCCCATCAAGGTCGCCTCTAATAATGGGGTCTCCTATCCGCGGGCACTATTCGGAACTTGTTTTTGCAAGGCTAGAGTACAGATACAAGAGCGAGATAGCGTGCTTTCTCAATGGGGAAATTCGTCAAATAGGAGTTAGTCTTGCGTCTGGTTCTCCTCTCAATCTCGCGCTTGTCGAGCCAAGGTGAAAATCGGCCGCTGGTTGCAGGGGGGGCGGGCGTTGCAATACACCTGGATATCGGCACAGGTCTCGTCAGATTTCGGGGACCAGAAAGGTGTGTCTCAAGGTAGGAAATCGGTCATTGGGTTGGCGTGTGTGCCCCTCAGAAGTAAGCGCTGCCCTCGTCCGTCATCCGTCACGGAACACGGCATAGAGGTTGAACGAGCGACACACTTGCCAGGCACCATGACACCGGGCCACACACACCAGTTGCTTCTCGAAGAAAAGATCGGGCCTGGTGTAAGTTGATAGCACAAGGGTCCGCGGGCAGGGGTAGGACGGCGAGAGGACACGCTCTGCCAATACCACTCTGCCAATCTGTCTGCCCCTTCAAAGTAAACCAACTCCACAATCTAAGCGTCCGCCGCCGAAAAGACGAATTGCCCAAAACGGTTGCTATGCTCCTCGTTCACCAGTTTTGGCTAGCTCGCGCTACGTTATCCCGCGCCATTGCCGCCCTTTCTTTATTTCCTTGCTGATCTTCTGTATATCCAGAGCTGAACATGACGGAATATTTGCAGGTGACAGGCATGTATTTGTGTTTCTCAAACGAGGAAGTCAACATCAAGGCCAAGGAGGGGCTGATAATACTTGTTTGCCGTGGACCTTCTTACTCATAAGACAGAGGGGCCAGATAGGATCGTAGATGAGCAGCGAACGCCCTCTGTGGCTTGGTCTGATTGCCGTCTTGGCTTTGCAAGTACAAAGGGCACATACGTGTGCGCCATAAGCACTGGCATCGCTTGACGGGGGAGTGGAAGATCAAGATGGTCGTGATTAGATGCGCTTGTCCTCGAGTCTGCTGCTGCTGCAATGGGGAGAGACCAGGCACGGGCTAAAACGCGACAGGAGCACGTCGTCCGACTGAGATGACCAATATACCCTAGATAAACGAAATCTCCCGATTGAGTTTTTTTCTTTGCGACGGCAGCTTCTCAGTCCAGGTGTGAGAATACGAAATCTTCATTCTGATTTTTGTGACGAATGGCAAGGGATGCCAACCACACACGCCTCATGGACCGCATGAGACCTAGTTGTCAGATTATGAAACCCATCGATTCGTGCCAGGGTATCAGTGTAGCAAGACACTTGTGAAGCCAGTGCCAAATAGCAGGAGAAAGAAATTGCCGCTAGAAGGGAGCGTTGACCACCTCTAGAGCGTGTGAGAATGGCCGGTAGCATTGCTGAGCGTGGCAGACGAGACTCGGGGTAATTTGAGCACATGGCTGGCTTTTGGGATGAGATGAGTAGCTATGGACTTCCCAATACGGCGACCAGTGCGGGACGAGTAGCTGTGGCCATATTGCTTGTCCCAGCTCGCTGGTGCGTGGTAGAAAGGCTGGTCTAGCCTCTGCATCAGAATTTGTACTAGGGAAAACAGGCTAATTGAAGTCAGTAACAATCCAACCTTGTCGACTTTGTCCCGAAGCCTAGTACGGAACGTGGTATCTGGACACCAGTTGTCGCTCTTCTGGGCAAATTGGAAAGAAGCCATGAAGCTTGGACCATGGTATTTCCTAGTTGAACAAACGAAATCACCCTAAGCGTCGTTCGGGATGGTTGGATTAGTTGGGCGGACGGCGGCCAAGCTAGTGGGGATGGATGGCCTTCTCGCACAATGCCGTATTTTGCCCACGGCTCTTCGTGATAAAGACTTTGAGCAAGTTTATGCCTTTTTTCGGTGCTCTTTCGATTTGAGTTTTCGGCTACCTAACGCTGACGCCACAGGGCCGACGTTCGACGGGAAGCAGTTTTATAGGAGCCCAAGAAACGATGGAGAACAAAATTGATAATCGGTTGTTCTACAGCCAACACAGGGCAAAACGTCTAAATGGAGTAGCGACATAACTGGACAACAGTCAGGCGTGCGACCAGCGTAGCAGCGCTCCAGTTCTTTAGCCATGTGGAAGGACAGGGGTATCGGCCATCATATGCACTGGTAGTTGGCAACTCGTGCGAGCCGCTGCAAAACTTCGCCTGACTCGCCCTGTTGCGTTGCAGCTCGGGGAGCCTCGCCTGGCCCTGCTCGATGCACGCCCCCCTTCCACCTCTTCGAAGAGCCAACTCGCCTCCACAGCGATAGCCGGGTTGGCTACTAGCGACAGCCTGGACAGTGGCAAATTCTTTCCATCCGCGGAGCGGTTAAACGCAAAATTCGGCTTGGAAATCCACAGAGGCGCTGCGGACGTGATGAAGGGAGTCGTGGAGGCAGGCCGTGCCACCAAGAATAGGAATACAGAGAGAGGCGCAGTGTTGTCAAGGAACGGGGCCGAGGAAAGGTCGCAAGCTAAAGCACATGGAGAAGCAGCCGATATCCAGGTGGGTGTTAGAGTCCGAGGAGCATCGCACAGGATGGCTGCGACGTATGTCACATCGGGTAGGACCCGACAAGGATGACGAAGCACGGCCAAAGTTCTCTTGTGAGGATTGTTCATGATTGTGTCTCGGTGGTGAGACCGGGATATGCCCAATTGAGCTGCATTCGGCCGCGGAAGGACATTTCAGAAAACCTGGAAGCTGTTCCGGCAACTCAAAATAGGCGAACTGCTGCATTGTCAGCAGACAATGCAAAGGGAGACAAACGATGGCGACATGCACATTGCAGAACTTGCCATCTGGATGCTAATTGAGGCGTGAGCTAGGTTCACCAATGTATGAAGTAAATAGACAGCTCTGTGGAGGCCGAGGCGGGGGCGAGGCTGTTTCGACAAGTCTAGGTAGTCAGGCCGCTTTGCCTTTTCAAGAAGCTTGTTGTGCGCGACAACCGGGCAAGTGTTCATTCACTCTGCCACTTACCCATGACGCCCCCAATAAACTGCATCAAGAATAGTGCTGCCTAGAAATGAGGCTTGAAGCCGGCGTAGGGTTAGCGCAGAGGACGGGACAAGGGGCGAAGAACAGCCAGGTCGACTGCCAAACGCCAAGGACGTTTTTGGGGGCCAGCCAAGGATAGTTCGTGTTGTTTTCCATCGTTGATAGACGATCAACGTATCCTGTCTGCACAGCATTATTAGCAAGACTGAGACCGAGAGCGGCAAGGCTCAGAAGATGGCATCCGACTTGGTAATCGCCGAGCCTCTTTTATCATATTGGTCATTGTCATGTTGCATATTGCGGCAAAGATCCGTGGCCAAGCTTGCGTAACCAAGCCCAGGAGACTTTTCGGCAAGTGTGGCCAAGGGGCGTCTAGATTGCGCGTTTGATCTGCAATGACTGTTTTGCTCTCAACATAGATTGGGGGTGGCCAGCCACCTCGGGACGGGAAGCCAGAAATGGTTCAATGCATTGCGATTGGTCACAGTGACGAGGTCGAGCAAGTTGGGCAAGCGAGCGAACAAGCCAATGAAGTGTGTTGATGGGATGGAGACGGCGAGGCTGTGAAGTCGGGGTGCGGAATTGCGTGTGGTGATGTGGTTGAGAAAAAAGCCGTCACAGTGTGCGAGGGGAGAAGCTTTGTGACCAGGGCAAGCGAAATGGCAGGAGGGCTGGCGTCAACAGGAGGGGCAGGCAGAGATTACAGTGGCTTCAAGGCCCTGGAAATGCGCTGTAAATAGAACGCAGTACGTACCCTGCCGCGCCTGGCAGTGCCGTCCGCCTGCTGGAGAAGCTGGCCCACCAAATTTACAGGTACGGGGGCCGCTAAAGTGACCAGGGGTGCGGAGCGGGCTCATGGCCCCCACAGCTCAGTAGCTTGGTACCTAGGTACTACTAGTTTGGATTGACAGGTTCTATCAGACTAGTATCTCGTAGGCGCATCGTTGGAGAATGCAACGTCCAGCGCAACCTTGTGGCTGGCCGCCTCGTCCTAGAGCTAGAGATCTGCCCTATTCCGGGCAGCCGTGCGGTGCTAAAACTACCTCCCTAGGTTGAGGAACGAACCGCCCTGAGACTTGCGCGTGGTTTCTGGCTGGCCTGAGCTTATGGCGACTTTTCACCCCCTATTGGCCAATGTACTAGTATTCAGTCATGAAATTTCGGCCAGGAAGTGTTATCAAAAACGTAGGAAAAAAGAAAATAGTTTGTTATTTGCAATCTTATTTGTACGTTGCTTTGGAGAGGGCAAGCGTTGTACCCGTAGCGGGGGAAGTGCAGGCGAGGCGAGGCCCTCTACTCAGCTGGCAAACCGTAACCGTAATTTTTGAGTTTCTTTGCTGTCAAAGAATTGTGTATTGATGTGCACAAGTACTTTCCTCTTTTTGTACACGAGCACCGACGGGGGGGATGATTGGTCGCGGAGAGCAGTGCGAACCACCCACTCCCAGACTCACACGCGCGCGGCATCTACATTGGTGCTGCTACCAAATTTCCAAAGGGGCTGCGAACGTACGAATACAGTACAGAGTAGCAGCATGTAACAGAAGAAAGTATGTGCCTTCCATGCATCTTGCAGGGCGGCCGGTCACGCATCCTGCATTCACTTTTGCGAGGTAGTTCTCTGCGCGCCGGCATGTACCGGTGAAGCCGTTTTCGCCCCCGCCGGGCGGCATCTTTCATCACTGCCTGTGTCCGTGAGTCCGTGACAGCATGAGCCGTGCATCATTCTTATTTTCCCTCCAATCTGAACGTCACACAGCATGAAGAAGGGGAACCCGCTGCGCATCCACAGATGGGGCCCACGACCAGAAAGAAAAAATCCCCCAAGTGGTGAGAATAGGGCTGAAGGATGTTCAATGCCTGAGGGTACAAGAGCATGGGGCTCCCCTGTAGCCTAGGTAGCCCGCCATGATTGGTCGATGGAACGACGTGCATCTGATAGGCAGACACACAGACACAGCGATGCTTGCTGCCCTGTGACCGGTCCCTGAACAGCATCTGTTGTACTCTGTACAGAGCACAAATTACCAAGTACGGAGTAACTAATAAATTACTGAAAGCCTGCAAACCCTGGTCGCGTCCAGCGATCGACTTGTCTCGCTTGCGTCTCCACTTCTAACGAGCTGAAAGCGGAATAGCGCCCATTTCAATATTTGGCTTCGGGCTCTCCGAAGCAGCGGCTGCTGCACGTCTGTATTGGGAGCTCGGTATACACGGGACGAGACGTGTCACAATTTTACACGTGGAGAGAGAAACACGGGTGAAAATTCGATTTGTTGTACGAATTCGTTGCGTCGAAAGCAGAGGGATGCATATGCTTTTTTTTTTCTTTTTTTTCAATACTAATCTTTGCATTATTAAAGCGATCGCTAGCGAGTGCGGCATCGTCACATCCGACGAGGCTAGGTTGACTCGCTCACTAGCCCGTCCCAGAAGGCTGGTAATAGACAAACTTCAATGCCAACAACACAAACGTTACTCACTCCCCGGCAAGCACCGAGCTGCCAGACTATACCCATTACTGCTTGTTTTAGCTGCTTGTTTTAGCTGCATGTCTCGGTCGTTGCCCTTTTTTTTCTTCTTTTTTCCATTCTCCAATCGCTGCGCTGGCACACAGCGTTTCATGTGCGAGGCGACGGGCTCCCCGACTGGTCAGGTTCCAGGCAATGGAATATTCCACGCGTGAACCTGCAGATTTTAAGCTCCGTAGAATGACGCAGTGTGGTGGTGCACACCACATCTATGTGCTTCGTAATTATCTATTGTACCAGCAAAAGACGAGAACCCCCCCCCGGTGAGCTAAAATTGGCTGGCAGGTTGTGCTGATTGGCCCCGAGTGCCGGCCCCGTGCGCAGGCCAAGATCAACACCAACCAACATGCAAAGGCGACAGACACGCCCCCTCCCTCCCCCAGCAGGCGTGACCAGGGTATTTGTGCATGTACCGGTCTCGTTCCTTTGGCGTCAACCCCATCGGCGGTTTTCCCACGCCGTCTCTCGGTGCCATTGTCCTGATGCTAAAGGGAAGAAAGAAGAACGGCCCACGATCTAGGTCGCCTCTGGATTGTGCTTGGGCATCTTCTGGCTTCACCAGACTAAGACTATCGGTGCGCACTCGACCAAGTATACTTATGAGTAATTTTTACTGATAACGGTGCAATTTCATGGCCAACAAAAGTACTCATTTGAACCAAGACCAAGGGTAGTAGTATCGACGGCTGTCAGTTGAGCCGTTGCCGCGGGCCAAGCAAGGTGTGTGCACTGAGATTTCTTTGGTCGGCGCAACTCATTGGCCCGAGGGACAGGTGAGAGGGAAGATGCTGATTACTAATTTCATTGCATTTGCGGTTCTTAAGCTGTCTAGTATAGGACGTGTTCTAGTTCCGCTGCGACCACAACCCTCAATCTTGTTTGCCGTGACGCAAGATGGGGAGGGGGGCAGGGGAGAAGAACTGTATAGTTACATCTGCATTCGGTATGGAAGTTGCCAAACAGCCCGCCCACAGCTCTTTTTGTTATTGGGAGCTTCAATGCATTGGAAAACTATCGTCTCATTTGCTCGCGCGGCATAATTCAACCGAAATAGATCTTATTCGTTTTGCGCTGGCCAGTAGCTTGACGGCGCATCCTACGTAAATATTACCGGATGGGACTAACGACATATTCTGTCGAGAGATGCCCGGATCACCAATTCTTTAGTCATTGCAGGTGACTGGCACACCCCCCCTCAACCAAGTCTACGGCGCAATCCTACAATCGAGGCACCACGGCGAGATGTGGCGGCACTGTGGCAGACACCACAACATAAAGATGGTGAAAGAAAGAAGCCTAGACGGCGGGGGGGGGCGTGCTTGTTACGGCACCGTGCTGTGGGGTTTTGATATTCTCAACGGTGGTTGGTCATGGAAGCGCGAGCCTCCGCCGATGAGCCACGTGAAATACGCCTGCCGTATTTATGCCACAATTGCTACTATTATTACACATTGATTCTTGGTCTAGTCTCTCCCCTAGTATCTTCGCCCCGTCACCCCGCCCTGCCCGCACCCCCGGCATTTTCCCTTTTGGGTAAACGACAGAAACCAGGACCACACAGTCAGTGTTGCTTGGGGCTCGCTCAAGGTCAAGGGGAACAACGCCACCGCTTCCCGCTGTTGGCGGAATTTGCGTTTCTCCTTGCTGTTGTTCGCGCCCACCCGCTCCCCATGTCTGCCCGCCCAGCCCCAGCACACCTGTTATTGTTATGCCTGCCACACAGGGCCAACTTGTCTGTGTGTCGGCGTAGTATCTGGTCTTGGACGCATCCGAAACTCTCTTGCCAACGACGTCACTCCATGGCAACGTGCGCAACGTGCTTTGCTTCTACTCTTGTTTGTTGGGCAAGCTTTGCTCCCCGTCGCTTGGCCACTGACGCTACTCCGACTGAGTTTACTAATACATGCTTTGCGGATGACATTCACATCTTAATCTGATGGGTTCTTGTTCCCCTGTGATAGCTGCTCGACCACTTACACGGATCTTGTACATGTAATGACTTGTTATTTCCTTGGTCACACTCTGTGCTAACTCTTATCAGTCCTATTCTAGTTGGACATATGACATGCCGCGTCCCTGCCGTTCCCCATTACCACAATATCACTGCATGTTTCTTCTATGTCCGTAGAATTCCTCGGAGCTCTTGTCACGAAGAGCTGTCCTCTGGCGAAGTCGATTTTTGTAGTCTGCTCCAACTCTACAAATTAGCTGCGATTCTCCAGTACATGGAGGATACGCTACGCTTCTAGTCTCGTAGCTAGAGACGAAATGCCAGATGGGGGAAGCAGAAAAACGGGTATACACGACATCGCACGCCGACACCCGAATCGCGCCGGACGGAGAGCAGATAGTTCCTGTACGGATAGGTAATAGTGGCGCCACCGAGAGGGGCCAGGCAGCATGATATCGTAACAGATGATGGCGTGGCTTGCTCTGGTCATTTCACTATTGTTGCCAAAATAATCCAGAAACTCTACCAAACAGAAAAACCACATGCAAAAACGAAAACTCAACCAGGTTGCGATAGCTGCGTTAGTGGGGGGTTCCAAATCACCAACCCCCCGTTGTCATGAGGGTGGGCACGCAAAGCCGCGCATCATAATGGAGCTCTATTATCTCGAGTGCCGGGCCCAGGGTAGTGGTCTTCGTCCCAGGGAGGACCACGGACAGGCTGCAGCGACATCCGGAATCCCAGATTGCGCTGCGCGTTTCATCGCTCGCCTTGCCGGTGGTAGGGGTATCGGAGCGAAGGTGAGAGGGTAGCAGTGGCGACAGCCTCGCTGTGCCAATCCCTGAACAAGTTTGTCGTGCGTGTGAAGCTGCCCACGTGCAAAGAGTTGTATAAATCCGGCGCGGGTTAGCAAGCTGCCACGGCACCAGCGTAGACACTAACAAAATGGCGGCAGGCAAGTATAAACGAACGAACTGGGAACCCTCCCCCCCTTCTAAGTGGAGGTCGCCCTATTTCGCCTCGTGGTTTGTTCGGGCAATGGCACTGACTTTTGGCTGTTCAATGGTCCCCGGTAACCGACTTCTCTTCACAGCCTCCCCGCCACAAGGCCAGTGCTTCCACCCCTCATTTACTTAGTATTCGGCGGTCGGGTTAGTAGTTGCACCGTCAAGGTCGAAGCGTTTTTCCTTGGCACTAACATATCCCAGGCAGTGGCTTAGCGTGAACCTGTTAGTGGTGCCAGCTTAGCTCCGAGGGCCATTCGCAAGTAGGTTTCTTGGTTCACGAAATCTCAAATAAACGAATTCGGTGGACCAATCATCGAGTTGATGCTTCCTGTTTTATCCCTCGTCCGCCTTGCGGCCGGCCCCCATCTGCTGTCCCGTCGTGCCCTCCCTCCACCGGCATTGCCGGCTGCGGTTGGGGGAGATCCGAATTTGGACTGAATGTGCGAATTGGAGGTTTGATATAGTACGGAGTTGAAGAGTCGCCTTTTGTTTCGACAACGGCTTTTGCTTGACAAGGTGGCGAGCATTGTATTAATATCCACCAGCGCTGTTCTGAATTAGTACATATCTTGCTGTCAATGCTTGGTTTTGCCCGCACGATGATACCGATGGACACCAACAGGAGTCGACTTGGCTAGAAAACGAATTCCGTACCGCCTCGAATTCCCGTACCTGTACAGGTCGTATCGACCTCTGTGGCAAAATGGAAATGCGATGCCGTATTCATAAACTAGACCGACACTGACCGACACTAGAAACTGGGGTACTATATCGTGTGACACGTGTAGAGCGTATTGGTATTGGGATAATACTTGTCGAGTCGGTGAATAAGATCGAAGCAGCACGTTGTGTCTAAACCCATATGTAAGTGAATCTAGACTGGCGACTTGAGCCTCCACGACGCGACACTGTTTGGTAGCAAATGTAGCGTCAAGTTGCTTCTGCCGCACGTTGCCCATCCCTGCTTGTGAAGAGAGAGGAATCCCATACAACCATGATTCAAAAAAGAGGCCTAAAGACGGGGTTTCGTGTACAACAGCCAATGAGACTACGCTCGCACTCAAGCCCGCTTTTGTTTTGTCTTGCTGCTGCCGGCCGAGTGAGAGATGCCAATGGTGAACACCGGCGGCGCCGTCAGTGACAAGCTTTTTGGGGGTTGCAGTCGATAAGATAGCACCGGCATAAACAAGGCCGTCCATACAGCGCCTCTGATTTTGCTGGTGCCCCTAGCCAAATGCGCCCGCCGAAAGACAGCGAGCTACACAGAATAGCATAGTCGAACTCGGTCAAGAGCCAAGCTTTCCAGTGTCACCCATCTCGTGGTTTGTGATCTGGACTGTCATTTGCTAGTTACGCGGGCGTCATTCATGTCCGGGATGTTTGCTCCCCTGAATGTGCCCAGTAACCAAAGAATCCGACTTAGACATGGCAAAGACAACTCTACTGTACGCCCTCTGCAAGATTTGACGCAGCTGAGGCTTCCCAGCCAGGCGAACGGAATCAATCCCCAACCAAGGCAAGCCCAAGCAAGGTTGCGGTACGTCTGTGTGCCACCCCTCTCGCCTTGAGGCCCCCAGGTGAGGCGAGCAAAGCAACGCAAAGCTTCTCGACGCCCGTGACCGCCCGCCCTACCAGGGATCAAATCTATCCATCGTCACGCTAGCCACAACACGGATAAACGAGCAAAGGCAGAATATACATAGTTATCATGCGTTGGAATCATTCTACAAATTCCGCCTTGGCCTTAATTAAGAACCCTGTAGGGCTTCAGCAGATTATGCGCGGTCAATGCAGCATTTGCAACCTGCGCAGCAGCTCGTCCAAGCTGCGCCGTCATTCGACAGTCATGTAACCAGACTAATGCTAGGGCACTGTGGCTTGCCCGACTTTCGGGAACCCTTTTTTTTTTTTGCTCCCCTCTGATCCGCACGTTTCATTTGGGGGCTGAAGAACTGTAACTAGACAAAAAGCGGCCGTCGTTCAGCGACCGCCTGGAACATGGGCGGATGGCCGACATGAAGCGTTCTGCAATCGGGAAGGATTCCAGCCACAACGGCTTTCGCATCAGACTAAATTGTTACTTTGGTGAACCTAGCCTGTTTGTGATAGTATGGACTCAGTAAAAGTTGAACCTGGCCCTTCTTTTCCCAGCAAACTCAGCAAACAGAGTCTCGGAACAAGAGGCAGAGGGAATCGTCGCACAACAGGCGAATAAGGCTGAGAGTAGAGATTACATGGTCTGGTGATCGACCGTTTGTACGAGTTTTATGCTGCCAAAAATACCACCTGGGCGCCCGGAACAACAGAACTTGTCTGTACATGGGATCAGCGGCTCAGCCCACGGCGGCCAGTAGCCAAAGCCAAGAGGCTGAACATGCGTGTCTTGCCGCTGAGGCGCACACCTTGGCTTGGAGGGGCAGAGACAACAACGCACGCGCACCATGCGGCTTGCGTCTTTGCTTTCGGCCATGTACTGTTTCGGTCAAATGTGTTTGTTCTGAGGCACATACCAGAGCCTCTTTCTTGTTTCTTGTTATCTCTGGGCCTGGGTGCTCGCCACGTCCAACGTAGAGTCACCGACGCCCATTCGGTCCACCTCTACTCACCGCGGGGGGGAGGAGGGGGGGTGCAGATGTTGGGCTTGGACGATCGTTCCTAGTGTGGTCTGTCCCGTGGCCCCCATTGCGCGCCGTGCACCGGGTACCTCTGCTGTTAAATCCGCGTCAACCGATGTCCAGGAGGATGCAAGAATGCATCCAAGGTGAACCCAGCAGGACCCTTTTAGGCTACGGAACGATTGCTTTTCTTGATTGCGCGCGCGCGTAGGTCCAAGTGCATGCATGCATGCCTGCATCGACAAACTAAACATGCTTATCCCGTCTTCTTTTTCCAGGGTTCGGTGCAACGCTGTCGACGGTAATTCGTACGTGGGGTAACCACACTCGCATACGTCCGGCTTGCGCGCGCGGCAGCTGAGTAAGATGGGAGAGGAAAGCAGAGAACGACCAAAAGCATGGAGCAACTCAAACCAGGTTTCTGTAATGCCGATATCCGAGAACCCGAAACGTGGGATTATGGGGGGATAAGAGATGTTGCATATAATATGTGTTTGAACGAACGCATACGAGAGAGAGTATGTATCCGTACGGATATAGTAGTCATACTGATTGGCGGACTCCGCAGCCAACGGAAGAGGAACTGAGTTTGCGACGAGGCTAGCAATGGGCATTGGGGCGATTGACATGTAAATACACGCCATTATTGCAGATGATGGAGAAATACTCTTCATCAGTTGGCCGTCCGTGTCGGTAGGAGCGTGATCCGCGGGGGGGCAAATCGACGACCTAGTGCTCGGCTCTATGTTGCCGGAGGCTATTACGGACTTCGCTAGCAAACACCTCATAGTCAATGCGGGTAATGGTGGACTAGAGGTTGGATAATGGACCTTGGGCAAGATTTCTTTTAGTGGGAGCGAAGCCTTGTTCGTGATAATGGCCACAGGACGACTGGAGGTGCTGTGGTACATACTGATGAAGGGCCTGCGTTGGGGTTGACCAAGGAGGGGTACGTACCTCGCATTGGCACCAAGTCCGAGATGCGAAAAGCAGACGCGAATCTGGCAGAGAGTAGGCGGCTACCTGGCTACGTACGCAAGCAGGGTAGTTGAGTATCCACGGCGAAGCTCCGAGATGCAAAGAGATGTTGCCGACAGTTTCCCGTTGCGGTAAACGACGATTCGTGGTTGGATGGTTGAACGAGGCTCATGCAGGTTTGGACAAGGACCGGGGGGTCGGTTGACCATGATGTGGTGTTGAATGCAGCCCTTTGGCGCAACGTCCACGTCTGGCAGCAATTATCGCCGCGTGCATGAACATTGGGAAAGCAAGAATGGGCAAATACGCCCTGTCTGGGGGGTCCTGTGGTGGTGAGTGGTGCGTGGTGAGTGGTGGAGAGAAGGAGAGAATACGGCCGGTCACGAGTCCACCTGGGCGGGTTTGTGCCCTGCCCCGAAATGGGCGGTGGATCAGGCAATAGTTAGCAAGACTGAGAATATTGGTGGAGGAGGAGAGAGGGAGGAGACAGGCCGGCTATCGCTTGGTAAGGCGAGGACCAAAATAGCAGCGTCCTGACCAAGCAATGGTGGTGTGCTGTCAACAGTCAATACCTACTAACCACCTAGGTGTAGGTAGGTAGGTACCGTAGGTACCTACCTACTAAAGTAGTAGAGTCATGAAAGGCAGTGATTGGGCCCAACGGCCAAGGCACATGAACATGGAGGCATGGCGTATCAAGCTGAAGATGCAGTGTTACACGGCGGCTTTGTTTCTGGCTTCTGCGCGGTGGCAGAAAAACCCCAGAATAAAATACAATAAAAGTGATTGTGATACTCGGTGGTATTGCATTATAGCTCAGGCAGGGCGTCGGTTGTGCGTGCGTTTGGCTGCCAGGCGTAAAATTGAGCTTGTTCGCTGGGGCACACACAACCCCAAGGGCGCGGGCGGCCTGTGACTGACCTGAACAGAAGGGGGGGGAGGGAGGAGCCAGTTGAGAGACGACCGGATAATACCAAGCTCATGTCGTGAAACCCTACATGCACGCCGCGCATGCAGAAGAACATTCCATCCTTCCCCATTGATTAGCCTTGCGTTTGTGACTCTTGATCGGCTTGTATGTGTACAATGAGGCGGAACATGCGCATGTACGGCGAGGGCCCCTACCTGCCTGCCTGCCTGCCTGCCTGCCTGCCTGCCTGCCTGCCCTTCGCAGGCGGACTTTGCAGCGCCATATTCCGAGCTAACACCGCACCATGGCCAATTCGGCATTGGAGCAGCCTCTTTTTTACGGATCAAGTCCGAGACGAGACGTATAATACAAGAGACGACGCAATAACGCCGGCAAGATTGGGTTTATTATTGGTATAGTGACATGGGGTAAGAGAGGCAGGCCTATCATGCTTGGCATGCACACTGGCCCGACCGGTTTCGCCTCATCGGTTGTACAGGCCGTCGCTTTCATAGGGCGGGCCAGAAGAGGGGTGTGCGTCCGGCGGTTATGATAAACGAGTTTTTTCTGTTCCAAATCTCATGATGAAGTCCCGAAAATGAGAAAGGAAGAGAGACTTGTCTCGCAGCACAGACAAGCAAACGGCCATGTCGGCGGGTACCCCAATTTGGAACAGCCCTGCCGGCCCTGCACTAGCCAGCAGCACCGCCCTGGCTGAAGATGCGCCAGGTTCGTTCAATCGGAATGGACCAGGTTCCCTATTCCACTTTAATCTTCTGTATTTTAGTGACCTGGACTCGCGCAAGATTCATTCTGTTACAGTATAGGACTATGTATTTTGGGGAGACACAGCCTCGATGCCATTGATCCACGGGGGTTTATTAGTGGGCTTGTTCATAACTGCAATCTGCCCCAGGCGAGAACCAAGGGGGCCACGGACAAGAACCGATAAAGAAACCAAACGAGAAAAATTCATCAAGTTGGCGAGGAACAGAGAAAAAAACCGGGATTCGAATCTGGACCTACTCCGCGGCCAGCGAGTGCCGGGTTGGCGGGTCTTGATCCCCCGTATATTGTGGGATGGTCCTTAACAGCTGGCATAAGACTACGGCATCGGGGAGGGACCTGGTAAACTGGAAATGAAAAGGGAATGGAATCAAGCAGTAAATAGAAGAAAGAATTGTCTGCGCTCGGGAGCCGTGCAAGCCACCGATGAAACTATTTGCTGGTTCGGGATGCAAGGTCCGGGGCGAGGCGGCGGCGGCGGCGGCGTCGCGACGGCGTCAGCTGGGGGCGGAGGCGCCGCGGGCCAGCAGCCAAAAGGGCCCTAGGCAGGCAACGATATTTGGGACGGGAACGCCACTGGGCTGTTGTGCTGTTTACGGTATACAATATGAAGATGGAGAAGAAATTTATTTGGAAGATAACTATGCAGTATACAAAACGCCACGAAGTGTACGAGGACCGAGTTGAGACCTATTTTGGTCGAGGTGGAATCGAGTTCGATGGGTTGTTGAAGTCGGGAAACGGACGGAGACGGGGACGGGATAGTAGGGCAGTGGGCTGGTCTGTTTATTGATTTTTTTTTCTTTTCTTCTTTCCTTTTTTTTTTGATGTGTTTGAAATTACAGGAATGCATTTGGCTCTTCCGTTGCTGCATATATTATTGTGATTTTTTTTTATAGACATGAGAGTTGGAAAATACATCCGCCGCGCGATGCCATTTAGAAGGGACAGCAGCAAAGAGAGCAAAGCAGCGAAGCAGAGGCAGTGGGAGTCGCTATCAGAGCACACAATATGGGCAAATTCCGCCCCCCCTCATCAGTCGGCAAAAAGGTACTTGTAGTAGGACGGTAACCGCCAAGTGGACCGCCCCCGATCCAGCACGGCGCCTTTCCCTTGTCGTTAAACGTCCAAGTTCTTAGTAGTTACGGATAGTCTGGGAACCCCCATACCCCCTGTCGATATGCACCAGAGAGAGCCCCCCAGGCGACGGCGAGCGGGAAATGGGTGTGATTTTAGGCGGTCCTTCTGTGGTGGTGTGCATCTTTCACGCCCCCCGATAGCCTGGTGGCAGGTACCTAGGTGCCTTCTGCCGGCCGCCAACTCTCGCCCTTTCGCCCTTTTCCCCGGTGCAGGCACCTACTAGTACCAGCTGGTGGTACAGTGGGTGTAGGCTATCCGTATTACAGAGTACTTCGTACTGGACCAAGTTGGACCGCCCGTCCCGACCCCCCTGACATCTTTTCGCTCTTCAGGTACCTCTGATCCGCTTTTTAGCACTCGCTCTGCTAAATCCACCAACTGCATTTTTTCCTTTTGGCTTTCCATCAGACCACAGACCACACCACACGCCTTTGTCATAATCCGCACACCCTCGTCTTCTTCTCATCTTCTTCTTCGCCTTCTTCCACTCCCCGTCGAGGGACACCACCACCACCACCATCAACTATCCATCAGGTTCATCACCCGGCTTAGCGTCCACGGCAGGCAGTTGACATTCTTTGGTCCACCTCCACTCTCTCTCCCTCTCTCTCTCTCTCGCTCTCCCTGCTCGACACACCCTCCCCCCCGACCTCACTTGTCGCCGCCCCCCTCCCCCGGTCCAAAGCAGCCTTGTCTCTTCCGCCGGCGAGGTGTCCCTCTACGAATCACTCTCTAGTATGTCTTACCGGGGGGGGGGGGAGTGGCCCTGGCACCGACCTGCCATGTGTGGTGGAGGCACCTCATGTCCGTCCCAGCCTGGGGGCACACCATACTTCTTCTCTGGACCACTTCCAATGTCCACGAGATATTTAAATGTACCGCCTCTCCCACATGGCTTGAAGGATCTCGCCCTACCATCTCTATCAATCTCAACTCTCAAGCGATTTCCCGATCTTTTTCTCCTCTGCCAAGAAGAAACATATAAGACGACCGTCTTTCCCATCTTCTACTCTACTCACTCTACTCACTCTATTCTGGCCACACTCATCCGCCAAAGTACTTTAGCTATTCCAGCTCCCCAGCTCTCTCTCCCTCTCCCTCACACACCCACTTCACATACACAACATGTCTGTCTACGCCGCCATGCCTCAACAACAAGCGTACATGTACGCTGTGCCTCAGCAGGCCGCCCCCAGACAATACTCTACCCACGGCACCAGCAGCGCCTTTAGCTCTTCCGCTCTTCCTGACGAGGACTGGACCAAGATTTCCGACCTGGCAGAGCGCCGCAGAATCCAGAACCGTATTGCTCAGCGCAACTACCGTACGTGACACGGCACGAAGCCCGCGACTCGCCCGGCCTCGTTGATGCACGCGCGCGCACTACTGAACAGCAACACTAACACCCCTTGCAGGCAAGAAGCTCAAGCGTCGCCTGGAAGACCTGGAGCGCCGCGCTGGCTCGTCCGACGACGGTGAAACTGACAAAACCTCCGTCACCAGCCCCTCGAGCACCTCGAGCACCTCACACAAGGTCACCAAGCGCACCTCCACCAGCAAGTCGCCCAAGGCCACCAAGGCCACGACCGCCGCCATCTCCATCCCCAGCAAACCCGCCCACCAGTACTCGCCCTCGCTCGACGGCTCCGACGACTTTGTCTTTACCGGCTCCTTTGACGACCGCGAGCGGGGACCCTCGCCGCCCATGTTCTCTTCCTACACTCCCTACCCCTCTGATGACTTGCTTCTCCAACCATACGGAGCTGCGCAGCCATACCCGACCATCAGCGCCGGCGAGCCCTACTCGACCGGCTACATGACGTCGTCTCTCCCCGGCGTCATGCCGGCCGCCACTCACTTCACCGATCCCTTTAAGCGCGAAAGCTTCTCTGGTGACGACGGCCTCGGCAGCTATTTCAATTACTCGTTTGGCCCCTCGGCGCTGGACATGAGCCACTACGGTGCTTCTCCCAACGCTCCCAACGTGAGTCTGCCGAGACAGCAGCCCCTCTTCCCCTGAGGAAAGACGCGGGCTCGCGACACCCCAGCCATGTCAACGCAATGTACTGACTCGGAGCTCAGACGCCTCCTCTGTCACACTCGTATGAGTCTGCGGCCTGCTCCGAGACTGGATTCGAGTACCCGACCACGCCGCTGTCCATGCCCGGTTCGCCCGCTATGATGGGTCATCTCTCCCAGTAAATTCACACACCTTGTCGTTCGATGAGGATATATACTTTATTTGCTCGGGGGAGCCACTGAGGGCAACTTGTCCATATTACCGCTTCCGCCTCCTTCTCTACTCCGTTTTACGACTCTCCTCCTCTTCCCTCTCGACATTTCCGAGGCGCACAGCGAAAAAAACGGCCTTCACGGACCCCCCGCACAAGCAAGATGGTTTTTTGGGGGGATTTAAAAGACACTGGAATACACTTGGCGTTTATTGGTAGAAGCAAGTCCCTGGAAACGACTTGACGGGTTTGTTCACCATATTTTATATGGATTTCTGGCATGGCGAATTTTTATGTTTTTTGTCCGACGAGGATATATTGTTTGGAGTATATATTTTCCATTGTTTGGACCTGCAAAGCTACTCTTTTGTACCTTATGGATCTCGAATGCTGATCTATTCTCTTCCTTTACTCCTCGGAGCGGTTTCCCCCTTTTTTTGGACTTGCGCACGCACGATAGATAGACTAGCAGATTTTACCAGTCGCACCACGAGCGCAAGCGATTGTTTCCCTTGTCTCTTCGTTGCACCGTGATGCTGGACAAGCCATCACTGACGTGGGCGGTTATGCCGTATGCCAAGAACAGCATAGTCCGAGATGGTGGGTGCCGAGAATGCCTGATCGACAAGGGCTATGAGGGGGGAAGATGGGTGTGGGAGGGGCGGCCAGAGACAAGACAGGGTCTCGCCGTGAGGAGCGAAGAGAGGGATCAGCGTGCGTGCCCGCCTGGGCTGAGAGAAGTTGAGAAGGGGTCCCCGCTCTGTAAATAGCACATGGTACGCTGGCCAATGACGGTAGGCCGCCGCCACCCATGCCACGGAACGGGCGGGCTGGGCTGAACCAGCGTCTCTGCCACTCTGCAACTTGTGCCACCGAGGCCGGCGCAGTCCGTCCATTGTGCATCATTTGTTCGATAGGAAGCTAGTTGAGGACTCACGCCGTGGAAATGTGCAAGAGGGAGAGAGAGGGTGTGTTGACAAGGACACGAGACCACAACCGGTGAGGACGACGGAGCGAGGCAGCGACTTGGAGAGTGTGTGTGGCAAGACGCCCTCATGCAGAGGTGACTGCAAACTAAGGGACGGTGACAGAAAGGGGGTCCGATTTTGATGGGCTGTGGTTGTGGTTTGTCGCATTTACTATCCTATCGTGGAAGATGGAGACAGGTGAGGCTGGTCACCAGGACCTTGACTGGCTTGTGCTCGGTAGATTGGGGAGGAAATACACGGCAATGACAGCTTAAAATTCTGGAAATAAAAGGTAAAAGTAAAAAGACAACGTTGATGAGCAACATGAGCTCCATGCCGTCGCAACGTCCGCCTCAGCTGTAATGTCTTTCTGTCTCGCAAACATCAATGTCCGAGACCCCTGCTACCATGGGGCCGTTACATCATTTTGTATCCGTACAAACTACTAAATACTAATGCACAAAAACACCAAAACTCGTCTTGTCCTCGCAGATACTTTCGGGGGACCAACAGGGCACCCTCAGCTAGGCTGTGAGAGTAGCGCAAACAAAATCACAACGTGGTGTTTAGGAAGAAGAAAAAAGAGGAGACGCGGGGGAATGCAATTCGCCTATACTCCGTTCTCGCGTCAAGTTTTCCTTGTATGCTGGACAGAGCAAGTTGGGTGCATGGATTAAACCTTGCCTCAAGCCCGCAAGCCCGCAAGCCCGCAAGCCCAAGCTGTTGCTTTGGTACTCGAGTTGGTTCGGTAACCAAGTTGGCGCAAGGCTTCTCAGCCGGACACTACGCTTGTCGTCACTCTTGTCCGGAAACGAGCCGTCGTAATACAGGACGGATCGGCCAACTTGCATCGAAGCTCGCAGCAGCAAGCCCGTGCGGCATCTGGTGCCCAAGTCCCCGCCCATCGACCCGGGCCAAAAGCAAGTCGTCTATGCAAGTCTCACCATGAAACTCTGAATTGATTATTTATTTTTATATTCACTTATTTCATTCTTGAGCTCCGCTCGCTTCTCGCGCACGAGAATACGGAAATACGGGAGACCGGGAGGGGAGGGGGGTGCCAAGACGGAGACAAGCTGAGAGACATCAATCGCATCTTATCTGGGGGTGTGCAGAGACTATAGGAATCTGTGTAAATAAACCGCTCGGACAAAAACAGGGACCAGCTGCCTTTGCTTGGATATATAGGTAGACAATGTTATCAGTGCTTCTCAGAAGCGACGGCTAGTTACCGGGAAATGGATCGATCTGGCATAGGTGGTAACGGGACAGGATAGGATAGGTAGGATAGGAGCCCATAAAACATAGGCTTTCGTGTAAGAGGCACCGTACATTGTTGCAAGACCCTTTCTTTGCCTTCTCTCAACGTAGGTTAGTGTTAGATTTCGCAAGGTTCATGGCTGCGTTGGCCGCACCACGTTGGCTTTCGCCATTGCTCAAAACGCCACACCGGCGGATAGCGTGGCCAGCCCAGTCCATCTACGTCATTTGTCCATGCCCCCATTGTTGTCGAAAAGTAACCCCATTCAACCATCTATCGTTTCAATTCTAGGATGCAGAGGAAAGCAGAGATGGACTCGGTTGGAAGAGGGGAGCTTTGCCGCGGAAGCACGCCATGGAGTACGCTCTTTTGCTCGCCTAAAAATCCCCAAAAGAACAAGTTTCCGGGTTCCGCCGCCCCCCCTTTGCAAAACCCACTACTAAACGATGATTCCGCGGCTCCGGCCGTGAAACGATGGAGAAGTGAAAGCTGTGCGGCTTCCCCAAAGGAAGCAAGTTGACGGATGAGGGAGGGGTGGAAAGTCAGGCCAGGTTCCACTGCGGATTATTCATGTCGAGGCCATTTGGAAAAAATTGTTGACTTGTTCATGGTTTTCTTTTGTTCTTTTGTTCTTCTGGAAAACAAATTGCTTTTTCAAGAAAAGGTACTAAATGTCAAACCGGCTGTAGACCATGCATGCTGGTTTTGTCGGAACGAGCTGGCCGGACAAGGTGGGTGGTGACTAATATCGCCAGACACGGTAGCAGACACGGTAGAAGCGAGCAAGGACTAATCTGTACCGAAGGATAGATGAAAGGAGAAGGAGCAAATTAATCAACAACTGCTTTGTGGCCAGGAGAGCAGTCGACGTACTACCTACCCATCATTCCTTGGAAGGCTGTTGAGCAAAAACACCACCACCAGCATGGAGATATGGAGATGCAGAATAAGGATGGCTTCCTTTGCCCAGCTTTCCATTCATCTATCTGCAATTAGCACCCTTTCTTTCGCTCCAGCTCGCTCCAGCTCGCTCCAGCAAATCCTGGGCGTCGCTGCAAGTCCAAGATCCACTGCGGTGCAGAGCAAACACAACCCTCAGCAGCAAATCTCCCCTCATTCAGCTCGCTCTCCGTGCATCACCACCGCCACCACACTTGCTTGCAAACGACAGTCTCAGCCTCGAGCTGAAGGTGTGCAAGTCTATATGCCTCGAAAGCCCGCTTTATCCTCGACAGCATCGATTTTGAGGGATAGGGGGGGCCAGATACATCAAAATACAACATGCACGGGCCAAGTTGCGATAATTCTTTCACCCCACCAAGCGTGCTCGCTGGCCCTTGGCTCTCTACCTTACAAACAACAAGACAAGAGAGAAGCCAAGGAATCTGGCCGGCCTGCCATCGCCGAGGAACCAGGTATTCGAAATGTTCTCGATGCAGCCACCGACACGTATACTCTCCGACCCCGAGTTCACTCGTCCTTTTTCGCGGACAGCGGACATTGGGTTCGGCCGTTTTTCTTGGTGACAAAGTTCATCAAGAGGGGTCCGGACGCATGCCCGAGTGATGCTGGTATCAAACAAGCATCTCGGGGGCCAAAGTTTTTTTGGAAAGGCATTTGGCTGGCTGGGCTCTTGTCCAGGGCCCCCATCGCCCCCCCCCACTCGAGGCTGAAGAATCAAGCGGAACAACAAAAAAAAAATAAGAAATCACGAGCCGATTCAGTTCTCACCGAGTGGCGAGATTTCTTCGGCCGTTCCCACCCCTCTCTCGTCTAGTTGCCGTTTTAAGCATGTATACGAATATGCAAGGCAAAAAAAAATTGTCAAGTACTCGCAAACATGATGCATACAGCTTCATGCAGTACGTATATATCAGGGGTATACTAATAGTAATAAGAGGCGGGTGGACAGGCTCACATTTGCATGGCCTGAGTTGAGTTATCGCCAGCTGCCAAACTCGGCGTGGCCCGTGGCCCGTCGCATTTGTGTTGAACTTTGGCACCGGCACTGGAAGAGGAGGAGGAGGAGGAGGAGGAGGAGGGGAGGGGTGTGTGCATACTCGCACTACCGAGCCTTTTGATTCCAAGATTGCTTTCAAACTTGGTTCTTTGATTTCAACACGTTGTCCACCGGCCAGCCTCGATGCTCGGCTTTCGCGCGGTGGCTGCCAGAAAAGGCCGACGCCAATCCGTGCATGTTTGTTGTTGCAAATGGCGCCAGGCTTGACATACACCCCCTCCGCCGGCGGCGCGCCTTCTTTTTTCTTTGACACGCATCATCTTGTTTCCATGGAACGGGGAGCCAGCCCCGGATGCAAGTTGTGTCCCTTGGCTCGTTGAGAATCTACATTCGTTTAGTTGGGGGCGTGCAAGTTCATGCCGCCGCCACACGCGAGATTTGAAAGTAGTGCCTCGAAACGGAGCATGGGAACAATTCGCACACAATTTCTACAGCATGGCTTGCAGTAGACGCTACCTACACTCCAGTCTTTTTAGTAATACGGCGTGTAAGCTATTCCTCTGTCAAAGGAACAAACTCGGCGTCGACGGAACCACGGAGCTTGCAGGGTTACACTTTCTAAGAATGATGAAATGTGACAGAATTTGACAGAATTTGACAGAATTGGCCAAGGACCTTGTTAAATCCGGCGAAACCGTTTCCTGCAAGCCGGATTTCGGGCGAACCTCTGGTCAAGAAGAAAAAAAGCTTGGCCCAAATTACAGTTCTCACCTTCCGGGGACCCGCGCCAGCATCCTTGTCCGTCTTCAGCCCTCTATCCCCTTTCATTTCACCGTGCAGAATAGCTTTTGTACTAGCCTTGGCAACTTGAAGAAATCGATACATTGTCACTCTTTCACAGTTGGGCGAAAGATGCTTCGGACAAACCACATAACTATTCGGACAGCCAGGATAAGGCCTTCCACTTGGCGCGGCCGAATGTTATCCACTTCATCAAATGACGCTCGAGACGACTCATGGCAACCTTTTGGCTGGCGAGTTTGATTTGCTGCACTCTTTACTGAAGTCATATGTGAATCAGTGCATGTGCGTGACGTCTCCTCGTTCCAGTCTAAAACTCACCAAATCACATAGGTTTGAATCTCGTTCTGCAGCGGTAATGGTCTTGAACATCTTCAACGCTGACGTTGCTCAATTTATTGAGGGGCCAGAGATCGACACTCAATGCGCTAACACTAACACGTACTCTGCGTCAACTATTCAGTGATTTTTAGATATTTTGGAGCCCGTCAAAGGCTCCCTTGAATACGTATAGAATTGACACGTTCCTCCCCCGGATGTTCTCAATCATCTGCCACCCATGACTCGTGACAGATGAATGCAAGATCGAACCACCCTCTCCCCGACTTCTTGCAGTGCATCACGCTGCGGGAGCCTAACTACATTGATACCAATCAGATACTGCTGGATCAAGGGTACATGGATGGTTCGACAGCGCTTGGGTCTATGGTGCAGCTAAGGTTAGATGGCTGGTGAATAATTGGGCAGCCTGCCGGATGTTTATGTTACACATTGTCCACTTAGAAAGGCCATTGATGAGAGTATGGCGATGAACATTCCACCACCGGCATCTGCAATAGATACCCTTGCAAAGTGACAGAGGCTCTGTACAAGGATGGAACATTCAGGGGACCCCATGGCCAGACTTGCCAAGAATGGCGGAAAAGGTGACAACTGACGGCCGAAAGACGAGTCGCACACGGCCGAGTCGGACCCCGGCCGGAAGTACAAGTCCGAGCCAGACCAGGTCTTCTTACAAACGACCCTATGTGACGAAACAGAGTTGGCTACAAAACTTGGAAGAAATGTCGACATGACCCCGATAGTGTCGGAAAGAAGGAAGACTCTCGTCGACATTCACAACACAACGGGTACTGCCGGCCGCGCATGTCATTCATTACTGGAGGATTTAGAAGAGAAGAGTTGTGCCGAACTCGAGAAGGGGATCGGCAAAAAGGAGCCTCAAGGTGTGATTCGGTATCGGAATGTGGCGTGGTTTTTGCTTCTCCGGAGCGTAGCTAGCCCAGTCCCTGTCACCCCTGTTGCCAAATGTCTCGGGCTGCAACGGCGGAGAATTTTCTTTTCTTTTTTTTTTACCTTGATGTTGTAGATGGACAGGGGAGAAATGAAAGCCGCGTCTCCGGCACGACCTTCTGAACTTGTACTGGTAGATCCGGGCCTCGGTGGAGAATGCCCAGACAAACAAGCCCAAAAACCATACCATGAAACAAATTTTCAATAAAAGGAAAATATTCAACCACGAAATGGAGTGTGTTGTAAATAAACGACCCTCCCGGCTATCGCCAAGGCCCTTGAATGGTTCCGCGTCACGCCGGGCTTCCTTGTTTGGGCGGACGCGACCAAAGCAAGGTGGCTTTGAGAAGTGTTTATGCCAGCCGGGGACTCGAAAAGCCAAAAAAGGTTGAGTGGTGTATATATGGCGAGCCGCGGAAGAAGCGCTATTTTCTTGGTGTTCCCATCATTCCCGAATAGGGATACGTTGACCGCGATGGGGAGGGGGGGTTTAATTTATGCCAAATCTCGCCATTGGTTGCGAGTTGTTTAAAGTTGCCGCAAAATCAGGTGGTGATGGAGAGTGGGACAGATCTCTTTGTTCATTCCGCGGATTGGTGTTTGAGAAGGCTGGGGGGCGCGCAATCGTGGCTGGTAAGGAGTAGATGGCAAGTTGAGTTGCAGTTCATTAATATACGGTCAATCAGGGGCTGGTTACACGATCAACTCGACGATATCCCGCAAAGTCTCTCAAAACAGACACCGACAGAGAAACGCGCAACTTGGAAACGCATCGCCCACCGCCCACCGCCCCAGCATCGGATGCAGATCAGCAGGTGCCGGCCGAGATCTCCCGGTTTTTTTTTTTCCTTTTGCGGGAATGACATGCCCAGTTATTAGGATGGCGCGCGGAACCAATGGTATGCTGCCTGCCCGTCGACAAAACCCTTTGATGGCATCGCCTACGAACCGGAGGAAGCGGACGATTTGTTCAAATTGCCAGCCGGGACAAGGCGGGACGCTCTTGAATTTAGGCGACTCAGAGAGGCGTAAATCATAGTCATGTAAAATGCTGCAATGCCTCGACGGAGGAGATTCATCTGCGTCTCTACTATTAGGACCTTGATCATGTTGAGTTGGGGTCTTGTAGGTGTCTTCTCTCGTTTATTCGTTTATCAATATGCAACGAGAGAAGACACCTAGTTATATTTCATTTCCATATTGCCATGTGAGCAAGGATAGAAACGTATGTCGATCCCGTGCGGCACCGCAGAAGCCCATCTCAGTGCTTCGTACGGATACTTACTCTTGACCTCACCAGTACAACACTACGATCCCAGTTACAAAGAACACGTTTCGAGGATGCAGTCGCAACAAACAGTCAACACCCCTCCACGTTCCGTTCCTCTCAAGCTGTATCGATAGCAAGAGCGATTTCCTCACCGATCTCGAACCCTCAAGGCTGGGATTTTATGGTCCTTGCACTTGCCTCGCTCCCTCTAACCTCCATGGCCACTAGTTTGACTGCAGGCCAACCAGTTACATACATGCAGCGGTGACAGACCAACCACTTGGCGACAGGGGGTTCGGGGGCCAAAAAGAATGCAGAATGAACGAAAAGAAAAAAGAGGGCTGCAGAGGGGTGTGTGTGTGTCTTGGGGCTGGCGAATCAGGCTGGCAAGGGACAGTGTTTGTTGGGTTGTAGATGCAACGCTGTGGCGCGGCACTGCAGAAAGGAAGCACAGGAATCTTCTTTGCCCTTTTTTTTACCCGGACCTCTCACGGAGCTTGGATTGACAATGTTGGGATGAACCACCTGCAACGGTCGTTTAACCAAGTCTTGCCCCCCCCCCCCTCAAATCCTTTTCTTGGTAGGAGTGGTCTCTTCCTGGAGAAACAGAACACCCAAAGGGTTAAATTTCGCCGAAAAGCGCGCGTCGTGGCTTGCAGCAGTCTCAGCCATGAAGCGGAAAGCCTCGTCTCGAAAGGAAGAAGGCTTGGACGCCGGGCGCACGCCGCTGCCTCCGCTGCCTCCGAGCAGGATCGCAGGATGGAGGGGATGCGCTCCGGAGCGCGGCAGCACACAAACTTGACACACGCACACATGTGTGCATGTCAACGGGGCAGAGTCTACAATACGCCGCGTCGGTTCAGGCTTGACAGGCAACGAGGGCCAGGCCGGGGGGGGCATATGCCCATGGACAGGCGTGGCCGAGACCGGGCGTCGGGCGATCCCATCATCAAACATTAGCAGGTTATTGCGGTGCTGCGTGGCGGTTCTTGGGGTGGCAGGTGGTTGCTAGTGGTGTGCTGTCGAGAGAAACACCAGGAGGGCCGTGTAGTACGGTTGTTGGTGAAGACAGCGACACGGGTGATGATGATGTTATACTCTGTCTGGTAGCGGCTGACCTAAATTAGCGGGCGGGCAGCGGACGATCCAGCACGGCTGCGACTCGATCCCGGGTAACCCCCGCCATCGACCCAGATCTCTCACAAACGGCAAAGCGGGTAGCCCAAATCTACGACATCATATCTACGCGTCGATTGCACGGCCTTGTTTCTCACCAGCCGAAATCGTTTCCGTTTTCAGTTTGATTCCATACCCTTGCGTGACCTTTGTATACATATCGCTTATTTCTAAAGTCCACGCCTTGTCTTCTCAGTTCCTCCCATTCTCACACCCACGTCCAAACAGAAAGCAGCAACAACAATGTCCACGGCCACCGCGATGCAGAGGGTGCTCCTCGCCCTGACAAACTTCAAGTCGCCCATCCTGCGCGCCGTCGTGCCCTGCGGTGTCGCCGCCGTCGCGCTGCAGGCCCTCGCCGCCGCGCCGTCCGTCGCCGCCCGCTCCGAGCTCTTCTTCGACGTCTCGGGCTCGCTGACGTACCTGGCCGTCGGCGCGCTGAGCCTGTACCTGCCGGCTCTTCGTGCGCGCGCGCTGGCCGCCGCTCAGGGGGCCGCCGTCCTGCCCAAGGTGCCGAGCATCGCCCAGCTCGCCGCCTCGGCCTGGCGCGGGCACGCCGACACCGTCACCGGCGGCCGCAACTGGCGGCAGCTGGTGCTGGTCGGCCTCACCATGGTGTGGGCGACGCGATGTATGTCTTCTCTGACGACGGGAATCTGATGGGAAAAAGCAACGGCTAATTGTGGAAAACAAAATCGACCAGTGGGAACATACCTCTTCTCGCGCGTGCTCAGCAGCGGCCACGACTCGCGCTTTGACAAGATCCGCGACAAGCCCCTGCGCTTCGCCAGCGTCTTTCTGGTGCAGGCCGTCTGGGTCACCATCCCGATGCTGCCCGTCGTGGCGCTCGCCGCCGTGCCCGCCGCCGCCCTCCCCGCCGGCCTCGCCGTGACCGACGTCCTGGGCCTGTCGCTCTGGGGCGTCGGCATGTTCTTCGAGGCCGTCGCCGACTACCAAAAGAGCCAGTGGGCCAAGCAGAAGAAGCGCAAGGAGCACGACGAGGATTTCCTGACCAGCGGTCTGTTTAGCGTCAGGTGCGTACATGTGTGCGAGAGAGAGAAAAAATGTAGAAAAACTAATCAATGTTGAAAATATAGCCGCTTCCCCCACTACTTTGGCGAAATCTCCATGTGGACGGGCATCGCCGCCGCCGCGGCCGGCGTGCTCGCCCGCGCCCCTGCCCAGCGCGCCCTCGGCTGGACCTCGCCCGGCGGCATCGTCGCCACCACGGCGCTGTGCGGCCTCAGCCCGCTGTTTAGCTGGTTCGTCGTGACGAAACTGTCGGGCGTGCCCATGAGCGAGAGCAAGTACGACGAGCGCTACGGGCACCGCAAGGACTACCAAAAGTGGCGCAGCGAGACCCCGCGCCTGGTCCCGAAGCTGTGGTGAGGCCGAGATGAGGAAGTTGCCAGCGAGGAAGCAGGCGTTTATGCTCACAGAGGAAAACGAATTCAATCGTTCAAAGGTAAATAGACACGGGTTGGTTGGTGGCAACGATGATATAAAAGAGTAAATCGAGTTATATTATGTTAAATTCAAACATGTTGGTGCAGGCAGCTTCTTATTTGTGAAACTTCTTGACCTTTTCAATCTCGTCGTAACTACCCAGAAAGATGCCCGCGCGGTCGTGGATGTGTTCAGGGACGACTTCGAGCAGGCGGTTCATCTTGCTGTCGACGGCCTGGCCACCAGCTGTGTCCTTGTTAGCGTCCCGTCGTTGTTTCAATGCAGTGCATTTCACATACCATTCTCAAAAACCATGGCCATGGGGGCGCACTCATACAGGATTCGGAGCTTGCCCTTGGGACTCTTCTTGTCGGCCGGGTAGGCAAAGATGCCGCCGTAGAGGAGTGTGCGGTAGGCGTCGGCGACCATGGAGCCAATGTAGCGCGACGAGTACGGCTTGCCATTCTCCTGGGCCTCCTTGAGCGAGTTGAAGTAAGCAATGGTGGGCTGCTCCCAGTAGAGCGAGTTTCCCTCGTTGACCGAGTAGATGGGACGGCTGCGGGGGATGCGCATGTCGGGGTGGGTGAGGATGAACTCGCCGATGCCGTTGTCGAGGGTGAAGCCGTTGACGGTGGCGCCCTTCATGGTGAGGACGAGCTGCGACGAGGCGCCGTACATGGTGAAGCCGGCGGCGACGAGCTCGGTGCCGGGCTTGAGAATGTCGGCCTTTGAGCCGGGCGAGCCGTCGGGCAGCTTGTGCACGGCAAAGATGGTGCCGACGGAGACGCCGGCGTCGAGGTTGGAGGAGCCGTCAATGGGGTCGCAGGCGACGGCGTAGCGGGCGCCGGTGGCGTTGCCAAAGTAGATGATGTCTTCCTCTTCTTCGGAAACGAGCAGTGCGCACTTGTTGGAGGCGCGCATGGCCTCGATGAAGAGGTCGTTGGAGATGACGTCGAGCTTCTTTTGCTCGTCGCCCGTCGTGTTGGAGGAGCCGGCGAGGCCGGTCAGGTTGACGAGGGTGGCGCGGCGGATGTAGTAGGCGATGGACTTGAAGGAGAATTGGAGGGCGTGGCAGAGGAGGCTGCGGCGGCCATCAAGTTAGCGAGACGTTGGAAGGGACGGGATTGGGGCGGAGAGCACGCACGTAAAGTCACCGCTGGCCTCGGGATGCTTGACCTGCTCTTCATTGAGGAAGCGGGTAAGGGTCACAATGCTAGTGTTGATCTTTTCCGGCTCTCCGTTGGTCATGATGGCGGTCTTGCGGTGGGTTCGGCGGGTGGCGTCGGTAAACTGGGCGAGGGCAAGGGCAAGGTGAGGAGGGTTATAAGGGAATGTAGAGATGGGAGGAGGAGGATTGGGATGTTGAAAAGGAGAAAGAGAAATGGGTTTGGTCAGGTCACGGGTCCCACGATGCGTTGAGGGAGGCAGGCTATGTGTGTCGCGTATTCTCGGGATGCAAAGCCCGAGAATAGCTGGGTCCCGGAGGGGGATGGCGGGGGAGGGGCAGAGACCAGAAAGGCGGCACAAGAGAGTTTTTTTGCAGGCGACACGCTATGACGACGGGCGGGTTGACAAGGAAAAGGCTATCAAGTTACAGTCGGGTGAATTGACGTGTCTGTATTTCCTTGCCCTTTTTTGCAATTTTATTAAACATTGATTCGTCCTTTCTTTGGTACTATCGTGAAGCGTTCACGGTTGGAACGGCCCCTCGCGGGGGGCTGCGAGCGATTACCACATCATTACCATACTATTGGTGCAACATTCTGCAGCCCAACGGCTCGAGGCACCCGCAGCGGGGTGAGCCGCTATAAAGAACGTCCTACCAGCGCTGTATTCTGGCCGCAACTTGCGGGACTATCTGTTGCCCAGGCAAAATCATTATCCCTCTTTTTTTGCGGGCTTTCGCGCGACAACAATCTCGCAGCAAGAGGATTTTCCGGGACGTCTTGTTCGGTAGCGGTCATCCTTTGCGGCGTTGCGAGCGGCAAACCGATGAGGAATTTGCGCGCTGCTATGCAATGCAAAGCGCCGACCGGCTCATGCGAGGACAATGATAGGACTGCCTTGCCGTCTCACTGTCACAGCAATACATGACGGGGAGCTTGGTGCGGAAAGACCCGGCGAAAGAGCAGGCGGTGCTGCGCTAACGTCTATGGCCTGCCTCGAATCGATGCCACAGCCCACGCCTTACTAAAGTTATCCAAGCAAAACAGATGTGCAAGGCTTTACTCATCTCAAGTCGAAGCAATGCCACGAAAATCACCATCCGAATACCTTGTTCCACCAGTTCCGACCACCTGTACTAGTCTGTATGGAACAAAGTCGCCGGCTGCCACCTGAAGAAAAGCTCCAGCTGTAATCTCCGTGGCACGTGCAAGTAAAGCAATTTTAAAAGACCAAAAGACTCCTATGCGATGGAATTAAATTCCCGTGGTTGTGACTCTCACGTGCTGCCAGCCCGCCGACGCTGTTCCACTAGTTAATAACGTATCCGTGCCTCCGGCTACCGGACTGCAAGGGGATTCCCCAGACCCCGTTTGCCTTGTCGGCTATGTGGCCGCCCGCAGCGACTTGGACATGCATCTCTGCGCAATCAAGGGGGAAAACGTAAAATGATGAAGAAATTAAGAAAGTAGTAATTTAAGCATAACGGACAAAATGGCACAAAACCAGCGCCATATACCGCCAAGCCTTCTTCATTCGACGCCTATAACGTCGTCTTAGTAAACCCTCCCCATGGGCTTACGGCCGCCTTGCATCTGTTTGCTCGGATATTTTTTTATGGGGTGTGGACCTCGGCATGTGCCTCTGCGCGTTTCCGCCCCATCATCACCTCATCCCTCATTCTCTCCGGACTTGTTCTCAAACACATCAACCTCTCTCTCTCCAACGTTGACCTCTTATTTTTTCCCTCCTCACCATCACAACTGTTTTCTGTGAACCCATCTGTACCGCCTCTTTAGTCCTCTCGTATACCGCCAACCGCTACACCATCCGCGACAAGCGCCACCTTTTTTTTTTTGCCACCGCGAGCTCTGAGCTTTTATCCGAGGTCGCGCGTACCGTTTTATTAACCTCAAAACGCTTCCTTCCTCTACACACACACACACACACACACACAACAAACCCCCGTCACCATGGTCGCCGACGCCCTCGTCTACCACCCCTCCGTGGCGCACTACCTTCGCTTCGCCGCCACCACCGTCGGCAAGGACAAGCTGCTGCGGCTGCTGCAGTACTTTGCGCGGTTCTACTCGTGGTACCTGCTGCGCACCAACGGCACCCCGGACGCCATTGCGCCCTGGAACGCCATCAAGAAGCAGTTTGGCACCGTGCGCAAGGTCCTGCGCTTCGGCAAGAACGTTGAGCACCTAAAGGCCGCCGCCGCCGCCGCCGACGCAAAGGGCCTCGACCCCGTCCTCCAGTACGCCGCCGTCGGCCGCCAGCTCGGCTACGCCTCGTACCTCACCTTTGACGCCCTCGCCCTGCCCGACGTCCTCGGCATCCGCAAGAACCCAAACGTAAAGACCCTCACCACAAACGCCTCCCGCGCCTGGGCCGTCGGCATCATCTTCAGCATCGTCGCACAGACGTATACCCTCTACCGCCTGCGTCTGCGCGAGGCCCAGCTCGACCGCAAGGACGGCGAGGGTGTCATTGAGAGCAAGCGCATCAAAATGTACGTTATGATCCCCCTCCCCCCCCCCCCCCCCCCGGGGTGCTTTCTTGTCCGTGGATACGGCGCACAAGGCCGCAAAACCCTTGGTGAAATTTAAAAAGCTAACACCTCACAGTGAGAGAGCCGCGAGCCAGCTCCAGCTCCTCTCCGATGTTTGCGACTTGGCCAACCCCGTCTCCGCCCTGGGCTGGGTCGACTTTGACGACGGCCTCGTCGGTCTCGCCGGTACTACTTCCAGTTTGATCGGCATCTACAACCAGTGGCGCAAGACGGCCTAGTTTGCCGCGTCGTCACATCTCCTCTACTAGGCTCGCACACGATTCATGTTACGATATCCGCCAGCAACGTGCATCAACATCTTTTTCGCCACGGCTGGGACCTTGAACACCACGCGCCAGCTCATCCGTCATGCCATCTTGTCCGCCTCCACACCTTCTTACAAGCGAACCCGTCTCCACGGCCAAGTCACATTATTGTTCAACTGTCAGCTTCTCTTTCATGTTGCAAAGTTCAAAGTTATTACGGCACGCACTTTTTCCAATTTAACCCCTAAGATAATACTAGCAAAACAAAAAAACAAGAAAATCGAGCTCCATTAACAAATCCTCATGTCCTCGTGATCAATTTTTTGTCCTTGAATCGCTACAAAAGTAAAGTAAAACAAGAGAGAAGGAATGATGAGAAGAAGGCGTAGCATACATCTGTCTCGGGTCGCTTAGACGTGTCTTGAACACCTCTGGTAGGATCGCTTTCTCAAAGTCCAGAGTGAGTGTTCCCGTGGTTTTTACAAGGCGCGTTCCGGCATGCACCACCTCTGCTTGTAAATACTCACCCGCGTCACATTATTCGTTGCTCGTTCTGTTGGCCGGCTTGAACTCGCCACTGCACCGTGGGAGTCATCTAGTACACTCATGGTCAAGGACGGTTCCCGTGGTAAAAACGACAACCATAAACACGGAGAGCATAACAAGAGGACAACTTGATCCAAGATACGACGCAAGGAGTGGGCCATGACAGAAAGAAAAGCATTTACCAGTAGCGTCCACCACGGTCATAGTCCCGGCCATAGCCGCCTTCCCTGGGGTATTGCGGTGGGCCATCACGGGGTGGGAAGTCTCGGGGAGGAGGGGGCCGGTCGTAAGGACGGCCTCCGTAGGGGCCAGCTGGGGGTGGCGGCGGATAGTCGCGACGGTAGGGCTCATCGTAGTGGCCTCGCGGTCCTTGTGGCGGAGGATAGTCCTCCATCAGGCGTCGAGGAGGCGAGTGGTATCCACCAGCTCTTTCCTCGTAATAGTCGCGGCGAGGGCTACGTTCTCTGTATCCGCCGCCGCCGCCGCCATATGGTGGCTCCTCGCGGCGCGGGGGGTAGCCTCGTGGAGGCGGTCCGCGACGATCGTACTCGTCAAAAGGTGGCGCGTTATTGTTGTTGTTGTAAGGACGACGTCCAGGGGAGCGCGAGCGCCCGCGCTGTCGGGAGATGGGCACTTCGGTCTGCGTCTATACGGAGATGAGCGTCAAGTCGCCATGGACGAGGGCTGGTCACTCACATCAGAGATGCACTGCACCACCTTGCCCTTGAACTCGAATCCATCGAGCTTCTCGACGGCGGTGCGCAAGTCGTTGGCATTCTCATATTCAACGAAGCTAGAGACAGGTCAGCCCAGAAACCAATCCATGCCCATCTTTGTGGGATCCTACCCTCGGCCCGAGTCGCGAGCTGTTTCCGAGTAAACAACATCGGGACCAGCCTGGCGTGCAAAGTCCTTCAGGTCCTATATCCAGAGTCCATGTAAGTGCCCGGTCAGGTGACGGAAGTAGGAGTGTGAGCAAGCTTAGCGGCGGCGCAAAACTTGGTCCAAAAGTGATGTGCGACCAGCAGGAGCCAGGGCTTCGCGTCCAAGGCGACGGAGAGCGCCATCAGAGAAAACGGGCAGTCCCAGGAGAGGGGCGGGGGTGTCGTCCTTGATGATGCAGTGTTCCAGCCGGTGCAAGTTCACGAAGCGAGTCCTCTCGACGCAGGGTCAGGGAGTGCACGTCCTGGAGGTCCTAGGGCGGGGCGTGGGGATGAGCGGAAAGAGATGGAAGACAGACCTGCCAGCTGGTTTCGTTGGGAAGTCCGGTAATGGTCATTCGGTGAATGGTTCGTCGGGGCCGGGGAGCGGCTCGCTCGTGGTGGGCACCACCGGCGCCATAGCCTGGTGGTTCACGGGGGCGAGGGCCACGGGCGAACTGGACGGTCAATCGAGTTCCTTTGAAGTCGGATCCGTCTGGGTGGTTGTTAGCAAGGACGGTTGGGAGGATAGGGCCAGGGGCCTAGGGTGTGGACGTACGAAAGGCTGGTTAAAGAGCGCAGGAGAAATGTCCAAGGTTAGCTGAATCGCGTCGCAAGATTTTGACCAAGTATGTGCTTCCTCTCCAGCAGTCGCATTTTCTTCTCTGTCGGGTGGGTTGAAAGTAGGCGCCACTAACCAGGAACGACGTCTCGGGCATCCATGGGATCCTTGTATTCGATGAAGCCGAAGCCATGCATGAGCTTGACCTCTGTGATTTCTCCGGTGCCGTGCGTGGCAAAGTGCGCCTCAATATCGGCCTTGGTAGCTGCAGCGAGAGAGGGCTCGTGTCAGTAGATGGGGTCCCACAGGCAAAGTGTAGCAGTTCAGAAGCCGAACGGTGGAGAGAGAGATGGACCATTTGGAGGGAGGTTCCCCAGATAAAGCCGGGTATTGGAAACCTCGTTGGACATGATGGGCAAGCAGCTGGCGAGCTCTGATTAATTATTTTGTTGCGGGAGCGGCGGGTGGTGCGATTCGATGCGTAACAGGCCCAGGTTCGGTGTCCGTTTGAGGGGGGATGCCAGAGAGGAAGAGCTGGGTGAGCGCAACAATGATCGGCAGGTAACTAGATGGAAACAAAGAGAAGGAAGGGCAAAAAAAAACTTGCTGCCCCAATGGAATATATATGGGTGTCCAGAACGCGCGGCAATAGGAGGGGAGGGAGCTGTCCTATTTTTCGCTCTGTTGTTGCGTCGTGTAGGTGTGGGCGGGTTGCAAATCCGGACGAGGAGAGGAGAGAGAAGGCGGTGGTGGATGGTGGGTGGTGGGTGAGCGAGGTCCGGTCTTTGGGGTCTGGGCAGGCTCTGCAGGCTGCAGGCTGGCTGGCTGGGGCTGGATGGTTGGGGTGCACGCTGGTGTGTCGTTTGTTTTGGGGGCCAGAGCAGAGCAGAGTGGAAGAGATGAGAGATGCACGACGGCTGCGGGCACGACGCACGAGGGCAAGGAGGGCAACTTGGCGAGCAGGACTGGCAAATCGAATGGATGATGAGGAGAGGGAAAAAAGAAGTCCGAGCCTACCACGAACCACTCTGCCACTGACCCCAACCTACTACCTAACCTACAGTGGGGGCGCACCGAGAGACAACAGAATGCACTGTAAATACTACCTATCATCTGCCAGTATTGTTTTCTTAATAATAATTTAATCATAATCATATTACATATTTGCAACTATGTATGCTTCCTATCTCATCCTCTCTCATACAATGTGTCTAGACTATCTATGTGGCTTGTTTGTTGTCACCTGCATACTACCAACTACAAATTACAGAGTACCTACCTAGGTACTACTAATAAGGCTCCCAGTGAGCGTCTCAGTGCCCTCCTTGTCTCTCTCTCTCCTGTCTTGCCCGTCTTGCCCCGGAATGCCCACGCGGCCATGCACTGCAACCCAACCCGCTGGAAACTGATCCTGGCAACACTGACCATGTGGCTACACCGTTAAATTACATTAGACACTCACTGCAGGATACCTGCACGATGGCGTTGCCCAGCATCAGCAGGCCAAGTACCCCAAGTACCTACCTGCCGTCTTTTCTCACGACACCTTCACACGTTGGAGTACCAATCGGCGACTTACGAGTTATTCGTACCTACACCTCCCAAATCATGTGGAGGCCGCCTGGAATTAGCACTCTGGGGTTCAGACCTCTTAGCGGGTTTAGCGGTTCGGCTTGTACAGCGGCCCGCTGCAATAGCGTCTTGCAAGTTGCAACGCCTTGTTACCTGTAAGGAAGGTATTCAACGGTAGCGTCTCGTGCCGCCCAGAGACAGACATGTTCCAAACTTAGTACTAATGTACCGCCTGTGCTTGATATCTTGTTTATTATTATTTAGACAGCGAATACACATGCAGGACGTATCAACACACTCTCGCTAGGCTGCCATTTGCAACTAAGCCCAACCAACATGCCGCCTATTGTGATATCAACAGATCCCAAGCTGCGCTGGACCGCCTTCACTCATTTCAGCCCTGAGGTGCTCATGGCACGCCACAGCATCGCCACGGCCGCCACAATGCCTGCCTCTACCGTACTTTATTACCACAAGGCTACGCCTCACCCATTGATACGTGGCCCCGAGGTCCGCACACCAGTCACATTTCCCCATCCTCCTCTCCAAGCATCACTTTGCTTCTGCGGCAACTCGTATTCTCCTCCGGTATCCCTACATCACTGTTTTCCTTCTTCCTCCATTACTCGCTCCAGGGGTATCCATTTCTGCGCCCGCTTCGCCTTCCGCTCTCACCGACTCCCACGCTGCGATCCACCATCCATCACGATTCTAACCCTAGTTAATTTGTACCTCGCGTCTGCTTGCCTTATCCGCAACCTCGTGCGCTTCATTGTCACATCACACATCATCGTCAAAGAGCATCGACATCATCTCGTCCAGCACAGTAAATGCCAGGTGCGCACTAGTACCAGGTCTGTTAGCCAACGTCCCTCGTCATCCACAACATCGCTTGTACTTGCTTGAGTCTCGGGTTGTTAAAGGTAGCAAAAAGCCGTCGGCTTGCTGCCTGCGCATTCGCCCGCCCAACCACGCTGCCTGCCAAGTCGGGCACCAGCGTTGCCAGCATCAGGCTCGCCTCTGTCCGCGTCTTCCTCTTCTCCGTCGCACTTCGCGCCTTCCTGTCTCGTACCAGCTGTCCATTCGGCCACACGTTGTCCCGAAGCAGCCCAATATACCGTAGCAGCGGTTCCTCTTGCACCAACATCTTGAAAGTATCCCGTACTTTGCGTTCAACCGTGCCTCCCAACAGCTGCTGAAGCACCACCACCACCGCTCTGCCTCGTAGCCAATTATTCCCACGGTTGAGCTCAAACACTTCCAGGAAAATATCACAGATTGGCTTGATGAACGGTTCCAGCTCCTTGCTCTCAAAAGCGTTCAACTCTGCTTCTGCTTCAGCTGCCGGGAAGGACTCCTCGCTCGGGAGCAGTGGTCCCGAGTTGAGCTGGCTGGTCGCCGCCGAAATCAGGTTTTGGCCAGCCACCGAAATCTGATCCAGCACCGGTATGTTGCCCAGAATATCATCCATCCCATCTGTAACAGAATCATACAGTCGACTCACAAGATCCTTTCTGTCCTCTCTGTCAAGCAGGTTTTCCCCCTGTGTGATAGCACTCTCGGACAAGAAGCCGCGCAAGTCCCGGCTCCGGCACACGTCCGGCAACAGCAGAAGCTCTTGTAGATACTTTTCCAGCGCAACTCGTCTCTTGCGTAGAAACTCGCTCTGGAATTTCATCACCACTCTCCTTCCGGGAAAATCGAGATTCCGCACTGACGGATACCTGGAACGCAGCTTTGAGTGCAGATCATGAAACTCGCTGTACCGTCGTGCCACCACCCATGACGCCGCAGGCATCTGCTCACCCGCATCGCGCTGCACTTCAATAACGTACAGCGCGAATTCCCTGCCGTCTTCTTCGCGCCCAACTTGGATAGACTTGATCTTGACAGTCGATCGTCCATACAGACTGTTGTCGCTCTCCTGAACCACGTACTGCCGACGCTGAAGCTCTTTGCGTCGGATTTCTCGATGTAGACTGGCTTTCGACTTGTACAGAATCCGTAGTTCAGCGGTATTATTGGTTAATTCGGCTTTTCTTGTCAAGGAATCCACAATGGCTTCTTGTGCCGTCAGACGGTCAATGTCATTGGTCAGTACCGTAATGGCCTCGGCAAGACCAAGGTCACCTGGCGCAGCAGCGTGGACCTCGTCCTCGTCATCGATATCCTCGTCGTTGCCCGTGTCTTCTCTCTCATCCGATAAATGTTTGTCCTCGTCTGCAAAGAGATCGTCGTCTACAAAAACACCAATTCGTGACGCTGCGCTCACCAGGCCCAGAGACGATAAGCTGGGTTTGTCTCCTTTCCCGGCGGCTGGCCGACCAGCATCCATAGAGCCTCGATTTGAGTCCTCGTCATCTCCAAAGAGGCCACTGGAGCCACCTCCTCCAAGATTGTCATCACTTGTAAAAAGCGAGGCTCGTAGATCTGCAGCTGTCTGGGGTCGATCATCCTCCATGATGTTATTCAAAGCTTGTTCGACCGCCTGTACTGCCTGTGTATCAGGTCTGTTGTGATGATCTTCTTGTTCAATGTTGGGATTTGAGTCAGCCATATTGTCATGCTCGAATTCGTCATCGTCAAACAGAGCGTTACCGCCATCCTCATCCAATGATCTTCTACTAGCAACCAGCGGGCCAGTGGCATCGCTCTGGCCGTAATTGGATGTGAGGTCTGACGCTGAACCGGCCCTTCGTGTAATCGGGTTGAGACGCGCCAGTGATTTCGGCTTGGGCGTTCTGCTGTGTAAGCGTCCACTCGACAGGTGTGGTGTGCCCATATCGGATGCTGACAAGGCCATAGGTGCTGATTGCGCAATAGTGGTTGTTTCTTGCGACGCCAGGCACTTGTAATACAGATCTGACTTTTTAAAGGCCTGGAAATACTGGTTCTTCATCGTGTCCAAAGCCATGCTCTGTACTTGCAAAATCGATCTGCGCGCCTTGAAGTATTGCGCCGGTGTGGCAGCCTTTCCTGCTTGCAAAAAGTCGTTGACATTGGCCTGCGACGACGCGGGCACGCGCAGTTCTGACTTTGACATGTATGCCTGCTGGATCTGGCGCAAATCAAGTCGGTCCGAGTCTTTCCACATGGGCAAGTTGGAAGGAAGTGCTTCGTTATCAGGTCCATCGTCTTCAAGCGGATTTCGAATACCATCAACCACCAGCCAGAACTGCACAAGAGTCATCATCTTTTGACGGTCCATATATTCCATGAAATAGGAAAGACCAGCGGAATCTCGTAGGAGCTCCACCAGTCCAGCATTCTCAAGTCTAGATGCGGAAGACGACCTGACCGTTCTTGGTAGATTCGAAGCAGACATGTGGCTGGCTCTCTCTCCACCTGCCGCCAAATGGGCCACTCGCTGATCCAGCAGCCTCTTACCCATCTCTAATCGGCGAAGGTAGACCTGGTCGGAGTTATCCTCCACGGAGTCTCGTTTGAGTTGGCTGGCGACCTCGTTTCTGAAGCGGCGGGCATCCGATAAGTTGTTCACCTTGCGAATGGCGCGAATAAACTTTTCGAATTTGCGTTCGCTGTCCCCGGATGATATGCGGGGGGCTGCGGAAGCTTTGAGAGTCCGGGGTGTAGGCGATGCGTGTTGGTCAAGGGCAGCTCTCAGCCTGCGAACTGTTGATCGATCCTGCAGCATCGAGCGACCCATGTTTTCCATAATCTGATTCCAAGTGTCTGGCTCTGAAAGAAGTTGCATGACAGGTGAAAGGACAGCGCAGCTGACTACTTCTTTGGCAATAATGGAGACGGCCCGGCTCGACAACATATGTCGAGGCATAACCTTGGGCAAAATTCGAGTCATCAAGCCCCTGAGATAATCTTGCTGAACCATTTTGGTGTCGGGAAATGACAGCGAAGCTGCGGGGTGAAGCCTCCCGTTGTTGTACTTGGCGGCTATGGCGAGATCCAGCTCTTCCGACTCCGTAACCGATTTATTTAATTTTTTGCCTCGAATAGATCGCTCCGCTTCGTAGAAGTCTCGAAAATGAGCTGTCAAGATGGGAAAGACCCTGCTTATCACGAGATCGACCAGGTCCTTATCGCGAAGGCAGTCGAGTAAGCTTATCATCGCCATGCGAACGGCGCGGTCGATCTCGTCGGGAAATTCGGGATTCGGGCTAATATTGTCGTACCAGACTTTGACAAAGTCGCGAAGGATCATGTTAAGTATGTTATCAACGGCCATAGCCACACGCTGCGACGGCAGACCCAGCGAAGGGCGCTCATACGCCTGGCGTTTGCGCAGCGCGGCCACATCATCGCGCCAGCGCTGCGGGCCTAGGAACAGGGCAGCGCGCGGCCGAGGTCGGCGATCGGGTGGTTTGCGCGCAGAGAGAAGCAGGGCGCCGAGGAGAACCACGAGGGCGACGAGGAGGCCGCCGCCAAAGGCATAGCCAGCCCAGCGAAGGGCGCTGAACCAGCTCACGGCATAGCCCCAGGCGATGAAGGCGACAATGCTGGCGAGGATCGCATCCCTGCGCTTCAAAGCCATGGCGGCGGCGAAAACAAAAATCCAGCACGTGGGGCAGCCGACAAGAGTCCTAAAAGATGAAGTACGGCATCGCGATTTGTCAGGTAGGGAGGATGATGGAGGGTCTTGCCTCAGGTAGCTAGAGGTCCGCCTTGTAATAGGTGGTTATGATGAGGAGCTCACTTCCTGAATCGGCTGTTATCGATTAAGTGGTCTGTTTGTAGTTGTTAGTGCGTGGAGCCTCTTCAGCCACCGAGGCCTGGGTGTTCTTCGTACCGACCGAGTGGAATAACTTTATTCCGGCTAGAAACAAAAATATTAGGAATGTTCTAAGTAAGGTGAGGCGAAGGTCAGACGGCCGTGGCAGAGGACTTTCTAAGTATTGGCGTAAAAATAAAGGCAGGCAAGACGAGATACAAGAGGTACTAGGCTACAAGAAGTGACTTTTAATTGTATGTAGATCGCTAGTCAATTCGCGTATTTCTTTGTTCTCTTCTACTCCGCTTTGGCGTACGCTGCTTCTCTTAATTGGGCTGTGCTTGCCGTGGGGCAGTGGATGCGGTACATTATTTCAGGGGGTAAGTCGGTCCGGCTAGCAGCTCTCATTTATTAATAAGTTACTCATAACTGAGTCATCATAATTCAGCCGTGGCCCCTGCTCCGCCGCGGGGTTAGGTGTTTTGAGGTTTTGAGACAGCCGACGATGCCGGAAGAGGCCATCTAAGAAGGTGCCGGAGTTTCCAATGAGCTGGGAGATAGAATGCACTGTTTTTTCTCCAAGGAAAAAAACAGTGCATCCTATCACCCTCATACCTGTGATGCTTGTCTGGCAGTGACAACTTGCCTGAAGCCATGAGGGTTTTATCAGTGATGTCATTGGGTAGTGCTGTGGATTGTTGAAGACACGTTATCAGAAGGGAGCGAACTCGGCCGGAGATGTCACAAGGCAAACAAAAAAAAATGCATTGCCACCCGATTTGGTAAGCCTAGAAAAAATTCGATACTTTGCTTGGTGGCGATGCCCTTGAAGTACTTTGTTGGTCCCCACCCATAATCCAACTCCAAGTTGCCTGAAACTTTTTATCCCCTCACCTGCATCACTCTTTCCACCACCCACTGACCGGTCTCCTACATCAACCGCTCATTCCCGTGAAATTCAATTCCTCTCAACAACTCACAATCATGGCAAACACCGAATTAGATCAGCTGGCTATCAACACCATCCGTCTACTGGCGGTAAGCTACCCCTCCAATCATGATGCCCCGCGGCCGTACCCCGCCAGGTGTCGAGCTTCAGCTTCGGCATCGCCAGTCCTCCGCTGAATACTAACAACATGTCTCTTTCTCCAGGTGGATGCCACCTTCAACAGCAACTCGGGCCATCCTGGTGCCCCCATGTAAGTTTGCCCCAGGATTTACGCATTTGTCGTGCTGCTTCGCAACGAACTGGAATCTATTGCTAACCGTCGCTTAGGGGCATGGCTCCCGTTGCCCACGTCCTGTTCAACAAATTCATGCGCTTTAACCCGCAGAACCCTTCGTGGCTGAACCGTGATCGTTTTGTCCTATCGTACGTTTCGAATTCCTCGGAACGATAGCCCCCTCTAACATCGTCCAGCAACGGTCATGGCTGCATGCTCCAGTATGCTCTGCTTCACCTCTTTGGCTACAAGTTGTCCATCCAGGACCTCAAGGACTTCCGTGTGAGTATTCATTCAGCTTTCATAACTTTGCTCCCTTTAATTTGTTTTGTTTTGTCACCACCCAAGTGCTGATTCGTGAGCTAATACTGTTCACAGAAAATCGACAGCATCACACCCGGCCACCCGGAGGCCCATGATACCCCCGGCATCGAGGTCACCACCGGCCCCCTCGGCCAGGGTGTCTGCAACGCCGTCGGTCTCGCTATGGCTCAGGCTCACACGGCGGCCATCTTTAACAAGCCTGGCTTTGACCTGGTCAATAACTACACATACTGCTTCCTCGGCGATGGCTGCTTGATGGAGGGTGTCTCCGGTGAGGCTAGCTCTCTGGCTGGCCATCTCCAGCTCGGCAACCTTATCTGCGTCTACGATGACAACCACATCTCTATCGATGGTGACATCAACTGTGCCTTCACTGAGGACGTTGCCAAGCGCTACGAGGCCTACGCCTGGCACGTTGTCACCGTCGGTGACGGTGACAACGACCTTGCCAGCATTGAGGCTGCCATCAAGGAGTGTCAAGCTGTCAAGGACAAGCCTTCCCTGATCAAGCTCCGCACGACCATCGGCTACGGCTCCCTGCAGGAGGGTACCCACGGTGTTCACGGTTCCCCCCTTAAGGCCGACGACATTGCTCAGGTCAAGAAGAAGTTTGGCTTTAACCCCGACGAGAGCTTCGCCGTCCCCCAGAAGGTCTACGACCTCTACGGCAAGCACTCCTCCGAGGGCGCTGCCGCCGAGGCCGAGTGGAACCAGCTCCTCGCCAAGTACAAGGAGAGCTTCCCTGCTGAGCACGCTGACCTTGTCCGTCGCCAGGCCGGCGAGCTTCCTCAGGGCTGGGAGAAGTCTCTCCCCACCTACACCCCCGCTGATGATGCCGTCGCCACCCGCAAGCTATCCGAGACTGTTCTCACCAAGATTGAGGCTGCCATTCCCGAGCTCTTTGGTGGTTCTGCCGATCTAACTGGCTCCAACCTGACTCGCTGGAAGGATGCCGTTGACTTTCAGCCCAAGTCCACTGGCCTTGGCGACTACTCTGGACGCTATGTCCGTTATGGCGTCCGTGAGCACGCCATGGGTGCCATTCTCAACGGTCTCGCCGCCTACGGCACTATCCTCCCCTACTCTGGTACTTTCCTCAACTTCGTTTCTTATGCTGCTGGTGCCGTCCGCCTGTCGGCCCTGTCGCGTTTCCGTACCATCTGGGTCGCCACCCATGACTCCATTGGGCTTGGTGAGGACGGTCCTACTCACCAGCCTATCGAGACTCTTGCCCACTTCCGTGCTCTGCCCAACTGCATGGTCTGGCGCCCTGCCGACGGCAACGAGACCTCCGCTGCCTACTACGTCGCCATCACCTCCACGCAGACTCCCAGCATTGTCGCTCTGTCGCGCCAGAACCTTCCCCAACTCGAGGGTTGTACCATCGAGAAGGCTTCCAAGGGTGCCTACGTCCTACAGGAGGTCGAGGGCGCCAAAATCACGCTCATCTCTACTGGTTCCGAGGTCTCCATCTGCGTCGACGCCGCCAAAGAGCTCGCCGAGAAGCACGGCCTCAAGGCTCGCATCGTCTCCATTCCTTGCTTCGAAGTCTTTGATGCGCAATCCAAGGAATACCGCCTCTCCGTCCTGCCAGATGGTATTCCCATCCTGTCGGTTGAGGTCATGAGCACCATGGGTTGGGAGCGCTACTCTCACGAGCAGTTTGGCCTCAACCGCTTCGGTGCCTCTGGCGCCTACAAGGACGTGTACAAGAAGTTCGAGTTCACCCCCGAGGGCATTTCTAAGCGTGCAATTGCTACCGTGGACTTCTGGAAGGATGTTCCGAACATCCGCTCCCCTCTGAACCGCGCTTTCCAGCAGCTTATTTAAATATACCACAATGAACCGGGATGATGATTAATACATGATTAATACATTAATACTCAAGAAAATTTAGAAAGTTAAGAAAGTTAAGAAAGTTACTTTGTGACGACTGGGTGGAAGCTTTTATCCTAGCCTATTATGACGGACTGGCCCTAGAGGGGCTTCGGTGGCAACCAGCACCGCGGCCATCAAGGGCGTAAGCCCTAATCCTCTTACCTACTTGACCACGGAAGGCAAAAGGATTCGCAACAACAATACTGGCATGATTGTTGTCTGGTTACAACTATAAGGGGTTCCTTGCCGCGTTGGCCACTCTGGAAGGACCAGGGCAGGCTTAGTAGCCCAGCCCTTAACATACCCTCTCTCTCCCCAGCGCGCCCACAGATAGGTCACAAACCCCCCAGGCTCCAATCTACCAGCCTGTGAGCCTAGCCCGAGGTCTGTACGCAGCGCTAGCTCTTACGCCATTCGTGGTGGCTGCCTGCCGTACATCCTTACCCGTAAGAAGAGAATCATCATGACTTGCCATTGGTGAGGATGCCAGCAGCGACAACCGTTCCAAAGAGGACTAGACTCCGATTCGCTAACTCGCCGAGCCGCAGCGGGGCGGAGACTAGTCTTCTTTCAGGCCCCGCGGCGGTGCAGGCGGAGCAAACTTACATGACATCAGGCTACTACTGGTAACCCGGAGACGTTTGTTTCGCTTCCCCAAGTCAACTCGCCCTCACTTTTCAGGAGAGGGGAAAGGGGACACTCAAAGGGGTTAAAATCCAAACAAAAAAATGCACCAGACTCTTCGACGGTCCTGCAGCGCCTGCGCCCGCGCAAAGAGTCGCTGCGACCTGCGCAAACCCCACTGCTCGCGGTGCGCCGCCCGCAACGTGCTGTGCGTCTACGCCAACGAGCCATTGTCGACGACGCCTCCGAGCCCGCGCCGTCACCAGCTCTCCGGCTTCGGCTCCGTCGACCCCTTTGAGACGTATCCCCAGGTGCGGCTCGGCAAGGACCACGTCCAACGCCTGATTCATAGCTGTACGTTGTGTTTAAAAAAAAAAAGAAGAAGCCCCTCTCCAAGTGTCTGGAGTAAATGAGCATCGTGTGCTCACCTTGGTTTGTGGTACCCTAGTTCTTCACAAAATTGCCTTTCAGTACTACCCGCTGGACCATAACCCGCACTCGAACCCGTTCCTCGTGTCGTGGTGGCCGCTGGCGCTGGGGGACCCGGTCCTGTTCCACGTCTCGCTGCAGACGGCGTGTCTGGACGAGGAGTTTTTCGGGCGCCGCGGCTTCCAGACGTCGGAGCAGCTCATGGCCGACTCGGTCGTCTTGCTGCGGCGCAAGGTGCACGACGTCGCGCTGGCGATGCAGGACAGCACCATCAACTCGGTCATCACGCTCGCCACGATAGAGGTAAGGCGCGCGCGCGCGCGCAAAAGGGTTTTGCGCGGTTTCCGTCCAAAAAGAGGAAAAACCGGGAGGGCTAATGTCTTGGTTTGTTCACGAGTCAGTATGGCAAGGGAAACAGAGAGGCTGCGCAGATGCATGTCGCGGGAGCAAAACGGCTCATCGACATGCGTGGTGGGCTGCAGGCCGTGATGCAGACGAGCCCTTTGACGGCGCGCATGGTCAGCTGGTAAGCTCAAGTCTCCCGTCGACCATACGTGTAAAGAGGCAGAGCTAACGATGCGAAAAGGGTGTCGATGCTTATTATAGGGGCTCCCCAGTTTGAAACGCAGGATGAAGACGGGAACGGTGACGGTATTAGTCCGATTCCAGAATGGTCCATACCTCGCTTCGTCGAACCAAGCGCTCTCTCAGAAGCAGACGTAGAGCCGGAGACGTGGAACGTCTTCGCCCACCTCTACGGTATATTCCACCGCGCCAACCGCATACCTCTCCCCCTCCTGCGCCTTCACGACCTCACCTCCTTCGTCATCCACCGGCTCCTCTCCCCTTCTTCGCCGCCAGAGCCCCCGCCGTCCCCCCTCCGGTCCGACTGCGTCCGCTGCGGGATCATACTGTACATGCTGCTCCTGCAAGGCCCAATTTACTACACCCACGCCGCAATCCTGCGCAAGACGACAGCTCGGCTCGTCGCACAGCTGCCAGCCGGCGGCGGCGCGTCGGGTGCGCTGGAGCTCTGGCTCGTCGCCGTCGGCCTGGTGGCGTCACACGACACGCCGTCGTACGGGACGCTGCAGGACAGGGCCCGCGCATTGTCGGCGCTCCTGGGGCTATCGTCGTGGCACGAGGCGTCTGCGCTGGTCAAGAGTGTCCTGTGGCTCGAGGCGCCGGCGACGGAATACGTCTTTCAGAGTCACTGGGACACGGCTCTTGGGCACGACTGCCCGCTGGTGACGTTTGGCCCGGTACAGATTGCACCGTTTGTGACGAGCAGTCCAGAGAACAAGGTAGATATGTAGGGACAAGAACAGAACCAAGGTCGCGACGCAACGCATAAAAGTGACAGAGGGGAGGGACCTGGGCCAGTCAAGTGCCGTATACAGAGGGGAGGGACCTGGGCCAGTCAAGTGCCGTATACAAGTTGGCACAAGGATTGGAACCACGGAGGCGGAGAAAGCATTGAAGCAGTGTCACTACTTCGAGACAATTATCCAGCACGGGGAATATTGACGCTGCTGTGCGAGCCTTATTCAAGCAGGCTCATGCGTGTTGAACTTCTTAATCAGTGCTGCATCCTATGATACAACGTTGAGCCAAACCACGATATACAGCGTAGTTTATTCTCCGTTAACTGGTCGGTGACTACTCATTCAAGGCTAAAATATAAATTCCCAATTCAATAATGATGACGACTAAGATGAAGAAAAAGCCAATACCGCCCAAATAAGTTTGTTACCTTCCCCCGATGCACTAATAAATACACATTGTTGTTGTACACGGGTACACAGATTCCGAGTCCATCCCTCCATCATATTTTCCCCTGAGAACGGTGCCATTCTTGTTTCCACTCTCAATCGTCTCCCTCCCAGTCGGGAGAATCCTAAGTCCAGTGCCAATGGCATGGAGCTTCATGTTGCATCTCAACATCAACCATATACTCCCCCGCATACCTCACCCTCCCGATACAACCGTTTGTCCAAAGCCAAGTCCAAACTCCAATTTGAAAATCAGGGAAGAATGAAAACAAATATCAGTAAGTTGAAGGGAGAGAATCGTCCGTCACTAGCAGTAAGCTAGATTCACGAAACCCCACCCTCATCTGTCGTTAATCTCGCGAACACATTCTCGATCAAAGCAAAATGTCGTTTAACCCTGCGCCGCCCCAAGTGAGACCATAACTAGTCCTTTGAAACTCTGCTATGTTGCAGCAGTCAAGGACGCCAAAAAAGAAGCCTTGCCAAGATCGCAATAAACCAACGTATACTGGCGGGGCATCAACGCGCAAGGCTATTCGTTTGATAGTCCGACGGATATGCATATCCTTTCAGTGGCTACCGATTCCACAGCGCCTGGTCCAGTCTGCACCACAGCTGCCGATGCCGATGCAGTTGAAAAAAAACAAATGTCGTGATCAAATCCATGGTTCCGTTTTAGAACTCCACCATAATATATTGTCGTCAAATGAACCAATTTCGCCGATTCCCCGTGCTTTGAAATGCAGAATGAGGGCAGACATTTGTGTCCGCGTCGTCTTTTTACAGCGCGCGTGCGCATTTCGTCTAGTCAACCTTTTCACATGCCCGAAACGCCAGAGTTGCTAGGGTCGCCGACATTGTCAGAGAGATTGATGAGTAGCTGAGCGAGACAACGCTTGGTAGCCGCGTCATCGCGCAGAACAGACGAGAAAGTAGCATCGCGGAGGGGTTCGGGGAGGCACTGGCGCAGGGCCTCGCGAGCTCTGGCATTATCACTCAGGCTGCCGAGTCGTGTCAGCATCCACACTTGTAGTCTTGTCAGCGGAGGTGATAACATACCGAAGGAAGCAACGGACAACGTGCTTGAGCAGACGCGCAGTTTGGGATTCGACGAGCTGAGCCACCATGTTGCTCAGGACAGTACCGACGGCGTAGAACCGCTCGTAGGTGGCGCAGATGTAGTTAAGACCATTGTCATCAAGCAATATTTTTTGGACGATAAAGATGGCGACAGTCTTGCTAAGTTCTGAGCCAGTCTCCATGATGCGGAGGCACAGAGGAATTATCTCGGTGGTCAGCAGAAAGTTGATGACTTCTGTAGAGTCGTTCTTGACTAGGGCGCCAATGACGCCTAGACTAGTCAAACGCAGGTACTCAAAGGGTCGCGACTTGGAGGTGGTGTTGAGGAACGGGTAGAGAAAGAGTGGAATATGCGCGTTGAGGAAGAGGGCGCGCGTCTCATTATGCGATGCGACGCACTGCAGCAGGGCGAGAGCATTGCAGACGCGGTTTGAGGCGGCTGCCGTGAGCTGGGAAGGGTTGAGAAGCGTGTAGACGGAGATGATTTCTTGCATGAGGGACGTCATGACACCAAACGAATGCCACAGGATGAGGGCCAGTTCCGGCACCTGCTCGCGCTTCTTGCTTAGCTCGAGGAGCGCGGCCTCGCGGGTGTTTTCGTGCAAGAGGTCGGCGATGTAGGCCATGGTGCGGCGGTTGTCCTCGGAGATATGCTCGTGGCCGTTATCCTGCTGGCTATGCGCGGTATTTTGGTTCCCGTTGTTAGCATGGTTGTTGTTTGTGTGGTTGTTATTGGCGAGACGGTTGTAATGCTGCTGCTGTGCTTGCTGCGCCTGCTGCTGTGCTTGTTGAGCTTGCTGAGCTTGCTGCGCCTGCTGCTGCTGCTGCTGCTGCTGCTGCTGCTGCTGTTGCTGCTGCTGCTGCGCGGCCGAGGCGCCGCCTCCCTGCTGCGGGTGCTGCTGCTGATGATGGCCGGGCTGTTGGTGCATCCAGGACGACTCGGCCTGGTGGCCAAACTGGTGATGTCCGTAGACATGCGCCGAGGGCATCATAATGGGCAGCGGAAGCTAAAGATCAAACGGCTTTTTTCCGGCCTGTTTCTTTTTTCACGAGCAAGAAGGGGCTGCGTGCGAAAAGGGCAATGTATATATCGGGATGAGGACAATGCAAGGTTGCGTGGCCTGTCGAGAGAGTTTGCGATTTGCGGGGATCGGACTGCTTTGGCGCGTGGCTGGCTCAGGCAACGTCGTCGTCGTAGGGCCGGTAGTGCAAGATATGACTCTTTTTTTTTCCCGACGAAGCGCACTAGAAAAACCGAGAGCTATCTTGAAGGTTGACAATGGTGCAGGGGCGCGGGGCGGAGGGCGAGTTGTCGGAAGGCTAGGCGTTCGGGCTTGTCTGTTGGCGCGAGGCGACATCGAGCGGTCGTGGTCGGGGCGGCTGTGAGCCTTGGGAGACACGAAGGCGGAAAGAGCCGGCAGAAGCTGTTGTGGTTTAGCGAAAACCGGATTTGGCGCCGCCTCGAGATCCGTTGGTGACCTGCACGGGCCAGCTCAATGTATCCTGCCACCAGAATTGGGTTGTGCGGTACAACATTCCATTGTGTGCGCCATGGCTGCCCGCTGAAGCCCAACGACACGGGACTGTCCCAGGCCACAAACGTCCTCACACAAGCTGAGCTGGTACCTCCCCATCCGCCAAGCTTTGCGGACAAACATAAGTATCGCCGATCACCGTGTGACCACAAGTTGCACAGTCACAATTGTGCTACCGCACACACAATCACTAGGTACCTAGTTACTTAGGTAGGTATTGACAACGATTTCGTATTAAAGACTATGCTGATGCCACTCTCTTCCTTTCGCAATTCAATCAATTCAAGACCAACAAAGAAAAGGTATTAGAATTACAGACCCCCCTGGCATGGGAAGCCCAGGCAATACTGTAGTCATGACTGCTGTTCAGTACGCTGAAATGCATTGTGCCCATTATATTTCCGCTGCGCCCTGCAGGAAGGTACCTGCCCTATGCAGCCAGACGGGTGCCTGTACATAAGCCCCCCCCGTCGATCCAGACCATCTAACACGCCCAGTCGGCTCCTGCTATCCATCCGCGATCATATACCGAAAACGGCCGCCCCCCTTGTAATTATTATAGTTTTAGTTCCTTCAAAATCTGGTCCGCCATGTTCTTGAATTGCCAGGTGTTGCCTTCCATGCGCTTAAACTGGATGCCGTGTAGCGACAGCAGCGGCACCTTGACGATGAAAATTTCGAATTCGAGAATCATGCTGCCACCAAGATCACTCTGCACCTGGGTGCTCGTTTCTCCGGGTACCCGCCGTGTTGTGCCTCCATTCCTCCGTGGAATGCTGTCGACCGACGTTTCAGAGTTTGAGTAGCTGCGTTCCCTATCACTGCGATCTCGATCCGAGCGCACGGGAGTTCGGGGAGTGAGAGGGCCTCCGCCTCTGTCAGAGTCATCCCTATCATCCCCACGACGCAATCCTCCAAAGCTGAAGCGTCGTCGGTGGCCGCTGGAGGGCCCGGCAGATGTGCTAGGGGGGTCCTGCACCTTGTTCAGGTCGATGCTTGGCGAGTGTCTGCAGCTGAAACCGCCCTTGATCTCCGTGTACTCCACGTTGAGCTGGTCGAGCACCCGGCGTATATCAGCTCTGATAGCAGGGACTGACTTGCCCGATGTTGTCGACACGCTAAACAGCCCTTTCAAGAAGACAGGCTTTGCCAATTCACTAGTTGCTAGCCGCTCTGTAGACTGTCCACTCTGCTCGACATCTCCGTCTGTCTCTTCTGGGACGTTGGAATCCATTGGGTTCTCTCGCCGTTGCCGGCGACGCTGAACGCTCTCTCGGCGGGCATGACCCAGAGATTTCGCTCTGGTGGTCATGGATTGTGAGTGAGCATGACCCTTGTGGCTGCCTCTATCGTTTTCCACTGACTGATCACTGCCGCTAGTCACAGCCTGTTCGCGAGCCACCCTTGTGACATCGCGACGGCGTGTGTCGCCAGAGTTGACGCTAGTTGAGCGCCCAAGTCCAGACTTAGTGGACCTGCCTCCGGAAGAGAGCGGCGGGCTGAGAAGCTCCTTGTGATGCGGCTGGCTTCCACCTGAGCGCAGCTCCTCTGGATCAGGCCGCGATCGGCGCATGCTGAAGCTCTTGCGAGGCGTCATCGGCGACGCTTCGGGAGGCGACTGAATATGAACCATTGGGGGGTGCGAACGGTCTCTTTCGTGGCGTTGTGGGTCTCTACGCTTACGCGTGCTGAAGCGACGTAGAATGCCAGCTGCTGTACCTTCCTTCTTCGGTGCAGGCTCTGGCTTTTCTTGAGGCTTCTGCTGCTTGACAACGTCAGGCTCATCGTCTTCTCCGTGTGTTCTGGCGCGTGGTCGTGTGCGCCCACCAGTTGGCTTCTCGCCAGGCATCTCGAATGCGGCAGCGTTGGTGTGCGCTGCCTTGGGTGGTGCGAGTTCAGGTATGGCATCGCCCGGGCGATCACGCGCATCACGATCGCGATCCCTTTCCTTGTCTCGCTCGCGTTCACGTTCACGCTCGCGCTCTTTCTGCTTATCCTTCTCCTTGGAAGATATGGGTGTCTGCGTGAGAGGGTTCTCCTGCTCCCTAGTTTGTTTCTCCCGTACAAGGTAGTAGACGGACAGCAAGGGGCTGAAAGCATTGAGGGGATCACTGCCCAGCTGTAGCGCATCGGAGCTGGGGTGATTCAACGTGTCGCGGCTGGCGGAGCCAGAATTGCGGCGCTTGTAAAAGTCAAAGCCGAAGCTTTTCTTCTTTTCCACTTCGGGGATCTGCTGTGAGATTTTTCGCTCCCGGTAGTATAGCCTGACAGCTTGCTGATATTCGTCCGATTCAATAATTTTGGACAGTTGGGTGTTGATGCTCTCTGGTGAACCAAAGTTGAAGCCTTGCATGGCATGCACAACCTCGGGTTCCAGAGGCATTGTCAGAGGGTCGCGAATAGGTAGATAATTGTCTGGTGGTCCGCTGTAGCCCTTAATCATCCAAGGGTGGGTCATGACTTCTTGCATTGTCGCACGCTGTTTTGGGTCCGTGACAAGCATACGGGACATGAGGTGTTTGCATTCTGCATCGGCGATTAGTAACAGATAATGGGTGGAATTGGTGGAAAGGTGGGAAACCATACCGCTTGATAGCCAGTTCGGATAGTCCACGAGACCTTTCTTGATCTTGGCGTGGAGAGCAGGCATACTATGGTCGTCGAATGGTACCTTGCCGCAAACCAGTACGTAAAGCACGATACCGAAGCTCCAGACGTCAACCTCTGGCCCAGTGTAGGCTCTGGCTTGCAGTAGCTCTGGGGCGGCGAAGTACAAGCTTCCGCAGAACGTCTTCAAATGGCCACGCGGGGCAAAGAGGTTGCTCAGGCCAAAGTCAATGATTTTGATGTCACCGGTCTTGCTGATGAGAATGTTCTCGATCTTCAAGTCACGGTGAACAATGCTGTTGCGGTGGCAGTAATCGAGAGCGCTGGCAATTTGGCGACTGAACTTGCGGGCCTGCTTCTCTTTGAGCTTACCGTGGGAGATGATGTAGTCGAGCATTTGGCCTCCATTAACATACTCAAAGAGCATGTACCAGTGGTAGTTTGTACGAACGACATCACGCAGACCACAGATGTGGGGATGGTTCAAGAGGGTGACAATGGCGGCTTCACGAGCGGTGCGAATTTCTTTGGACTGATCGGCGCGATCTTTATCGGCACGGCTCTGATGATTGTCGTCGGTCGAACCACGAGGAATAATTTTGCAGGCGACCTGTGGTTGAGACGGCCGTTAGGTTAGTTGCCATGTGGGGTTGGTGATGGCGTTGGGGGTAAATAGGGGCAGTCGACGAACCTGTTCGCTACCGTCTTCTTTGCGGGCAAGTTTCACCTTGCCCATACTGCCAGCACCAATGGTCTTGCCAAGAATCCATTTTCCAGACTGGGTCGGGATGGTGGTGCGCGAGCGCGATTGTTTGGTGGCATGGGAAGACTGGGCGTCGGTGCCCGCGTGCGAGGAGCGGCCGTGGGATGAAGACGGCGGGGCGGCATTGGCCGCGGCAGCAGAAGGCATGTCGGGGGTATGCTCGGGGGTATGCTGCGAATGAGGATGGCTAGAACGAGAGCTGCTGTGTCTGTGAGGCCGGTTGGGGTCGTGGCCCTTGGGGATGTCGCGGCTGGGACTGCGCTTGGGGAGAGAGGCTATGCGCGTCGTGTCGTAGTCATGTTGCAGCGGCGGAACCTGGTTGGCAGAGCGGTGCGAGGAAGACGGGTGGCGCTGGTGATGGGAGCGCGGTGCCTGCTGGTAACTGGCAGAAGGAGAAGCAGAGTTGGCGGTGGCCGTTGGAGCGGCCGAGGAACGAGATGGGTGTGATGGATCTCTGCGGGTGGAATATGACCGGGATGGTGGCGCCCGCGAGGGCGAGGCGTGCGAAAGATCGGAGCCTGGGGGTGCTGTCGTCGTCATGATGGGCCTCTGGGCCTCTAGCGGAGGACAGAGCAGAAAGGGGAGTTGACGAGTGCCCTGCTTTCGCGAGAGGTAGAGGGAAGAAGAAGAAATGGGAATCCTGCTGTAGCCGGGTAGCAGCTCGCTGACTATTACTTTTATTTGTTTTTTCCCGTGATAAGCTTTTTTTTTTCTCCAGGGCCAGACGAGACGAGCGTTTAACGCCTTGTTTGCGACTCTACCCGCAATCGAGGTACCTGCGGGCGACGCCTGTGGAAAGAGGTGTCTGAGGTACCGTGGGAGACCCTCAAGCGAGCGATAGACTAGCAGACTGCTAGCAGCAATAACAGCACCAGTAGCGCGAAACTCCAAGGTAAATAAAGGGGGGTGTATGGCGACCGTCGTCGCTTCGCTGGTCTAGATGCCGTTTAGATTCCTCGATGACTGGTGAAAAGGGTTGTTAGTTGGTTGCTGAGCAGACGGTGTCGAGGCACTGGCAAAGGCCCCGAGGTTGCTTTGAAGGCAATACAGTGGGCATTCTACCTACAGCGTACCAAATTGGCAACGAGTCTTGCTCAACAGATGCGGGGCGGATTCTGGACCAGTGCTGGTATCCAGCTCTTTCTGTTCCCTATTATTAGACAAAAAAATATAAACAATTGTGAACTGAACTCGCAGAGATGTTCGAATGCCTGTGGGGTCGACCCGGAAACAGATTTGTTTCTTGATTGCATGGGGCCACGGTCCGTGGGCAAGCTGCAAGTATTGGTTGGGTACCTCGAACGTTCACTGAATCACATGCAGTTTATAGGTACCTAGGTAGTACCCAGACACGTACAATGTGCAGCACGAAATAGCAGGGAATAAATAGCAGAGAGAAATCAAGTGACAGGGTTCCGGGACCCTTGTACAGTACAACTAACAGGTTGCTAGCTGCCGCGAGATTGAAAGGGGCATCCGAGGGAAATACGAATAGAACTGGTAAACTATATGCAGTCGCCCGCCCGTACAACCAAGTGCCTACCAGTATTCGAAAACAAAGCTTCTTAGAACGAGCGGTCTATCCAATGCCCACCTGCTGTGTCTTTGTGTCTTGCTGCTGTGCTTCACCTCCTGACTCGCCGCCACTCCCCGTTCACTGCCTAAAAATAAATGCACAAGTTCCTCCTTCTTGTCTCTTTGCTCAACCACCGTCCCTCATCCTTCGCCCGTCTCCAAGGCCGCCGCCGCCATGACGACAGCAACCGCTAAAAATGGATCTGGCCGCTGCGGCCACTTCTTGATGCCAGCCAACCATCAAACATATCACTCGAGATGTTGTCACTTGAAAGAACCCCCGGTCTCTGTCGCGCTGCTGCTTACTTCAATGCTACCTCCAAAACTTCCTGCCCCTTTATCAATATCTAAACGCTTCTTCTTCCTTTACTCTTCCCTTACCCTGCAACTGGTGGCGTGTTGCTTTGCTGCATGTTGCTGCACGCCATTAATATCAGGCTGCCCATCTTGACTTGTTGCAGCAGAGTTTCCTGCTCTCAAACCGACTTTCAGTATTTGCGGCGCTAGCCAATCACCTTGAAGCGCGTCCTTGCCTCCTCGCATGATGACAGCTAGAGACATTCGGACCTACGCGGGTGCATACAACAACAATCGTGAAGGGCCGACTACGCCTTGAAAATTGAGAAGTTGTATTTTTTTGAGCTCTGATTTGGTCCCACGCCGCGAATCAACGCTGCCTTTGACGCATACCAGTACACGCGCAGCACTACATCACATACAATCATACTAGAGCCAGCCAATATCTAACTCACTGTGATGACTGCTACCAACTTAAGGGACTAGATTTTCCCAACTTTAATTAGCTCTTTAAATTTACTGTGGTGGGGTGATTTTGAGGAGAAAGGTTTAATCCTAAATGAATACAACACAATGCTAGCACCTATTCTTGGTAGCTGCCTTTATCGATAAGGTTACACCTGTCCCGCCAGATTTAACTAGGCCCTGCTCTGCTTCAACTACAAAGTCGCAACCACTCGTGACAATCCGACAAACAATCAAATGACTTGAGAGTGCCCCTCTCCAAGGGGCAGAATACTCCTACTTCGACCGAGCCATGTCCTCCTACAAGCGCTCCCGCGCGACTTTCGAATCGGATCAGCATGCGCCGTACGCCGTCTTTGGAACGCCGTTGCCGGACGAAATCGAGGCTCGCGACGATGGATCCTATCTACCTCTCTGGAAGCAAGATGTCCGAGATGAACAAGGTAGAAAAAGGCTACATGGAGCTTTTACAGGGGGCTTCAGCGCTGGGTAAGATATATTCCATTGCTGTTGGAGAATGTACTGCTGACGCGCCTGGCTAGGTACTTCAACACAGTCGGTTCGAAAGAAGGCTGGACGCCTTCCACCTTCGTATCAAGCCGCAGTAAACGAAATAAATCCGATCAGCGAACCATTGAAGAGCGGGCGCAAGACTTTATGGATGATGAAGATTTGGCAGACGCCGCCGAGGCGCAGCAGCTCAAGAGCACACAAGCATTTGCTGGCTTTGGATCCTCTGGTGATTTCCAAGGAAATTCTGGCGGCTTGGCGGGCCTGCTCAAGACGGACGGCGATACCATGGGATTGAAGCTGCTGCGTAAAATGGGTTGGAAGGACGGACAAGGAATAGGACCAAAGGTGCGACGGACAGCACGGCTGGAAAGCAGCATGTCGTCAAAAGCAGACGATTCCACCTATTTATTTGCGCCTGATGACACAGACATGATTCGGTTCGTGCGGAAAATAGACAGAATGGGTCTCGGATACCAGGGCGAAGCAAAGCTCGGTAGATCACAACCTGAGAATGGTAGTGATAGGGAAGACGAAGACGATTCTCTCGGTCCTGCGAAGATTTCGCCTTCAAGATCCAGGTCAAAGGACAAACCCAAAGCGCAACGCGGTGGGATGGGTGTGGGAATATTGAACGACAATGGCTCAGACGACGAAGATCCATACGAAATGGGACCCAATATTAGCTACAATCGCGTTATTGGCGGCGACAAGAAAAGGAAGAAGAAAGTCACGGCAGCTGCTAACCCATCTCTTGGTGTTGTACCTGTTTTTCTATCAAAAGGGTTTCGCGCCGGTAAGAACTTGCGTCGATGCCACGATGGCCGATTGCCCCTTGACGGCTTCGTGCTGGCGAAGATGATAGACGACTTGACGGCACTTTCGTCCAAGTATGCGCCGCCTGAGGTTCCCGAGGGATGGACTTGGACGAAATCAGCGACATGCCAATCTGGAAGCAACGCCTACCAATCTACAGCAGATGCATCAAAGGAGTCGACGTTGGACCCCAAATCGAGGGCAGCCATCTTGGGTGAAAGGGCGCTGCCAGGCAAGTCGGTTTTTGACTTTCTATCTTCTTCTGCGCGAGATCAGCTTGCGAAGGCTTCTGGCAAGACCAACCTTCCTCCTGGTCTGGGAGAGGTGCCGGCTGAGTATGCGTTGACGGAAGAAGAGAAATCGAAGGCACTCTGGGAGCAGGTACCCAAGGTGGACAAAGACACTGCAATTGCGGCGATAGCGAGAGGGTCTTCTGGCCCGTATGCCGACGACGAGCGCAAGAGGGAGCGGTATCGGGCCTACCTGGAGCATGGCGCAAACCAAGATCGTCCGTTGCCGACTAGACTTGTAGGTCTTTCAGACGACGACTACCTACGAGAGATGACGGAATTTTACAATTGTGCTCGAATATTCAAGCCGATGACGGGGTTTATGGCATCCCGGTTTACCACGGCAAAGACGCAACCAGGCACTGCTGATGGCAAGAGCAGCGACGTCGTGTCGCAACCAGGGCCGGAGGTCACGGACCCTGCTGAGGACGCGGCCAAGGTTGGCATGTACGGCAAGCTGACGCGATCGGTGCGGGATTTCTACCCCAGTCGGCTCTTGTGCAAGCGATTCAACGTTCGAGCGCCGGCTCATTCGCAACCGAACGATGAGGCAGACAGTGGCAGGTCAAAAGCTGCTCCTCATGAGCCAAGCCAGCTGCTGCTGACTTCTGGGGGCGTAGACACGGCTCCTGAACCGCCGAGCGACGCACACATTCCTGCAGTCAATGTAAAGGCCGAGCCAGCAAAAATCAATCCAGAAACGAATGATGCAGTCGAAGCCAGCGCCGCAAGCCAGGACCTACTCAAGGCGGTATTTGGAGACAGCGACGACGATGACTAGACTATCTATAGAGTTGCCATTTAACATAGCGATATATACCCTAAAAAACAGATAAAAATACACCTGATGAGACACACTCTATAAAACTTGCCTATCGACAGCAACACCAGTTTATACATGCATAGCTCGGTGCAGTGTGGTGGTGCAGGTTGCAGGCGGCTAGAACGGTGGACTAAGTGGCTGTTATTGGCTGGTGTAGGTTGCCTATGGCCAGCCCGCAGCGTGCATCAACCCCCTGTAACCTGGTAAACTTTGGCCAAATTAGCGCCCACCAAGTAAATGAAGTTCCAGTAACCAACCAACCCCAACGGCTGGTTGCTTCCCCACTCTGTCCATTGTCACACATTGTCACCTCCCCTCTAGGTGGTTACCTTCATTTCATCTCCAGCATCACCATCTGCATCCCCCAGCTTTGAACACACAAACCAGTCTACTGCCCCCGGGTTGACTACAAACAGTCTCATCTTGTCCACAGCAAGGCGCATCTCCCTCCTTCTCTCCGGCACGTCTCACTCACTGCCGATGCCATTAGCCTAGGATAGCCTGACGACTACAACATACCTACCGGCCCCGTTGTCCACCGCTGTTGCGATCCGTGCACTGTCCGTCATTCATCTAGCCGGCCCTTGGAGCAACGTCCATTCGATAGCAAGTACAGCTGCTCTCTTGTCGCCGCTCCCTCTATTCAATACTATTACCCGATGACGATTTGATTGCGTTCGCCGGGCTGCCCCTGTTGAGACGATCCACCCCTCGTTGTTCCCCCATCGCCAGACAACTGCATCTCGTCATCATTCGTGCCTTATCTTGCGTGAAATTGTCGTCGCACTGCCGCCGGGAATCACCATCATCGTCCCTCGAGCCTATCGCTGCGCACCACCGATAATCCGCCGCATTGTCTGCATCACAGGAATCTGGAACTGGACCTTTAGCGTCCCCGGAGTCAGTTGAGACTTTGGTGCACCGCGAGCGCCGCGCCGCCGCCCATCACGAGAGTGCCAGCAAACGACCGCCTTCCATCGCTGATCACGAAGTCGTCGAGCACTCGCCACCCCCGCCGCAATACCCCGTTTCCGAACCTTCGTCTTCGTCCCGGCCGCCGCCTTTTTCGTCGCTCTTTGCGTCGGTAGAGCTCCCAGAGCGACCTTTGCGCAAGTTCCATCCCACCGTCGCCTGCGAAGAAGCCATAGCGTCAGGCTCCGTCGCTGCGCCGGCCTACTCGTCCAGCCTCGAAGAGTCTACCCCGTTTGACCCCGACCAGGGCACAGGACGAGCATTTCAGGACCCCGTTCAGGAGACCAAACGCGCTCTCCCCAGCGATACCAAGGCCGAATCTAGCGGCAAGGACGACGACACTGAACCGCCACCGGCATATACTGAAGGAGACAGCCCTCTTCAATCCTTTACATTTCTAATGGCTGCCGCCGGAGGAACATCGAGTATTATTACTCAGGTCCAACAGGGTGGACCGCCCATCAACTCAATTGGAGATGTCGGCGCTGATGAGACTATTGTGATGGACCTTCGGTATGTCGTGCATGATATCCTCACCACGTCATAATCTAACAGATGATAGTGGTACCAGATTTGTGCTGACCAGAGATGAACTGCTTACTCTCCCCGAATTTGTGTTGCTATCTCTCTTCCCCAATGGCCTATTCCCGGAAGGCCACATGGGTGGTCCTAACGATGACGCGGTGCAAGTCGACGTATGTCATGACTTTTTCTGCCAAACCTCGTGTAGTACTAACCTAGACGCAGTATGACCCCGTGTCACTTCAATACATGCTTGGCTTCTTCCGTGATGTTGCGCAGTCGATACCCATTGACTCGGAGGCGACTTCCAACGATGGAGATTCACACGGACTGGATTCTCGTGACGATGCATCCAAGCGTGCTGGCATCATTGTTCTGAGGGAAGACCTTGACTTTTATGTCATTCCTCCCAAGGCAGATATTACACACGAAGACATGATCAAAGTCAAGAGAGCGGCTGCGCAGTCACTTCAGAAGCAAGATGGCATCTTTTCTGGATTGAAACGCAGCGACGAGCCTGGAACCACTGAGGCGCATCTTATTGAGATGCTCACTGCTGGGTAAGTGCCAGAGGCAAGGTGCTCATAAGATGAATGTTCTAATTTCTTGCAGTGGTTTCAACCATGACGACTGCTGGGGCCACAGAGCCGGCGAGCCTAACAAGGCGGTAATTTGCAGCCTGGCGCTGACCCGGCTAAGAAGTGATATCCGCGGCAGCGACCTGGGTAATAATGCGATGGGCATGGCTCAAAAACTGCTGCTGTTTTGGCGCAAGCCGGCGAGACGATGCTGGTGGGAGGGCATCGAGCTGGACAATGTCGACGGCGTCCAGGGCCAACTCAAGGTTTGGATCCGACGCGTATGGACGCTGGAAATGTCTGTGATTGGACTCAGGTGAAGAAACTGCCCTTTTGAACAAGGCAAAAAAGTTGGGAAGCAAAGATACCAGGAAGCGAAACTTGGAAGAAAGTAATTAGGGAGCATCATCACACATGCTGGCGTCGGGGTACTTACAATGGTTTTTTTTTTTTACATTCTTTTTTTTCTTTGTTATAGGTTGAAGTTTCGTTTTTAGTGGAATTGTCATTTGTATGCTTTGTCTTTGACTTGTCTCAGTGCATGTCGTTTTTCTGTAGCTTGCGATGCAGCTGCGGGTAAGAAGGAAACGGTGAAACGGTGATGGATAGTCAGTTTACGGGTTCCTTGTTTCAATGCACGATGTAATACTGGGCATGTTAGATGTGTTAGTCAGTAGGTGAAAACACAAATGTGGCAGTTTGACAATTCGCTTAAGGTACAACTCACTCGCGATAGCAACCAGGAAGGTATCGTGGGCGGGATCAACCAGTTGTTCTTTTCATACACCTAGAAGAAGAAGAGAAACGGGGGACGAAACAAAATCAAGAAACCAGCCCGCACATTGATGCAGTGTATTTCTTCATGGTAAAGTTGGTCCGCCACGGCCACGGACCATTTCCCCCGGGTTGCCAACCGCGGCCCAAAAGCAGGGGAAAGTGCGCGCGCACGCCGTACTTTCAACGACCCGCGCACACCCAAACCATTTCCTCATCCTCGACCGCAAAAAGCATACTGAATCAACTCCCCGGACCATGCGTTGACAGGTGACAGGGACTGCAACCCCGAAACTACCAAAGCCCAACCCCTCTAGGCCAAAAAAACAAAAAAATACAGCAACGCGCGCACGAGCCAATGCCACCACAATCATCGGCGGCGGCGCGCTCGCCGCTCCTCACCCTCGCCGCCGCCTTTCTCGCCTGGAAGGCTCTTATCCTGCTCCTCGCCTACGGCGCGCTCGTAGGCTCCGACTACGACACGTCCACGGCGCTGCTGCTGCCGTCCTCGCGCGCCACCTCCCTCGCGCGCCGCCTGACGCGCTGGGACGCCGTCTACTTTGTGCACGGCGCGCGCGACGGGCACGTCTACGAGCAGGAGTGGGCGTTTAGCCCCGCGCTCGCGCTGGTTCTGCGCTGGCTGGCGGCGCTCGGCGGCAGCGGCAGCGGGGGTGGTGGTGAGCCTGAGGCGCTCGCCGCCATCGCCCTCGCGCACGCCTCCCACGGCGTCGCCGTGGGAGCGCTGCACCGCCTCACCCTGCTCCTTAGCGGCGGCCCGCGTCTCGCGCTCCTTACCGCGCTACTATGCGTCGTCTCCCCCGCCGGCGTCTTCCTGTCCGCGCCGTACGCCGAGGCCCCGTTTAGCGCCCTCTCGTTTGTCGGCGTGTACTTGCTCGCGGCCGGGTACACGCATCGTCGCGGGTCCGCGCCCCGCGCCGTGGCCGTCGTCGCTGCGGGAGCGGTGCTCGGCCTCGCCACGGCCGTGCGCACCAACGGCCTCGCCAGCGGCCTGCTGTTTGCCGTCGAGGGGCTGCAGGCTCTGCGGGACTTGGTGCGGGCGCCGGGCGGCGCCGCGGCCGCGGTCCTGGCGGCCGCGGCGGCAGGCTTGGGCGGCGTCTTGGTCGCGCTGGGGAGCGTGATCCCGCAGTACGTCGCCTTCACCATCTACTGCACGGGACCAGAGGATACGCTGCGGCCGCCGTGGTGCGAGTACACGGTGCCGAGTATATACAGCTACGTTCAAGACGTATACTGGTAAGCCCTCTTTCTTCTACACCCCGACCCCCAAAACCCCCCTTTCGAGTTCTGACACCCGCGGCCCCCTTGGAAACAGGAACGTCGGCTTCCTCCGGTACTGGACGCCCAACCAGATCCCGCTCTTCATCCTCGCCGCGCCCGTCCTGACGCTGCTCATGGTCTCTGGGTGGCAGGTGCTCCGCGCGCCTGCGTCCGGCGGCATGCCGGGCAAGCAGGTGGTGGCGGACCACCGTACGCTCGTGCGCGCGCTCGCCGCCAGCCAGGGCATCGTCGCCCTGCTCGCGCTCACGAGCTACCACGTGCAAGTCATTTCCCGCCTGGCGTCTGGGTATGCCGTGTGGTACTGGTGGATCGCGGCGTGCCTCATGGATAAGGCGCGCCTGGGCACGGGCCGGGCCGCCGTCATGTTCATGGTCATGTATGCTGGGATACAGGCGGTCCTGTTTGCTACGTTTTTACCACCGGCGTAATTCGGCAAGAGAGGAGACGATTGGGAACTATAAAAAAGGAGAAATGTATTTAATAAAGAACTCGCTGTATACTCCAACTCCACACACATTCGTATCTCTATGTGTTATCCAACTCGTGTACAGTATTTGCCTGCGGACTTCGTACCAATTTTGCGCCGAGTTTATGCAGCCAAAACTATTGCCCTGTACCCCGATCAAAGCCTTTAGTATTCGTCCTCGGAATCGCTCTGGTCGCCGATGCGAATTGCGCGCCACCGACGGTCCGTGAGGTCCTGGGCGGCCGTGCCCTCGCTCTCCGGGTCAACATAGCCGCTGCCGCCGGCGATGCTCAGGGCCACGGGCAGAAAGACGAGCGCGTGAAGCGCCGCAAAGACAACAAGCGCGAGCCACACGCGAAAGTAGTAAATCTCGAAAATCTTGGAGCGCGTAAAAGCCAGCACCGAGACACCGAGCAGCTTGGTGACGGTGATGCCGGAGAAGACGGAGCCGCCGACGTTGACGAGCGCGGTCCAGGCACGCGCGTCACGGCCGCGCAGGTCGTTGGTGTTACTCTCGAGCACGGTGCGCGAGGGAAACATGAAAGCCCGCGCAATGTGGGCGCAGAACTCGACCGAAATGCCGACGCAAATGATGAGGTTGACAAGGGACACGGCGTTGAGGGACACGCCAAAGACGGCCATGGCGCCCATGATGTCGACGACACTCATGACCACGGTGACGGCCACGACAGCGGCCGTGAGGACGGAGCCAAGCAGCACAGAGGCCACGACAAAGATGATGCCGACGGCCGCGGCAAGGAGGCCGGCGGTGAGGGGAACGATTGTAAGGTACTGATCAAAGAAGATGTAAAATACGCTGTACGGAAAGACGTCGGCACCGGTTCGCTCCGAGATATCGGATGCGATGCGGCGAGCGGACGAGTAGGCGTTGATAAAGTCTTGTTGACTGCGGAGCGGCGTGTGAGCCGTCCTGAAGTGGCTGGTTTTGATGCCAGTACCAGCTTGGTCAAGGACCACGGCCTGGCCGTAGGCAGCCTTGCCTCCAAGCGGGCAATCCTCGTCGGCGTTGCTGTTCAAGAATTTGTCGAGGTAGTGCAGGAATTCGTCGTCCTGAGGCATACCGGACAGGCTGGTGTTCCAGGCAGGGTCTCTGTCAGCGAAGCAGGCAGACCGACCCTTGGTGCAGCACGTCTCATAGGCTGGGTTCAGCCACAAGAAAAAGTCATCAATCCAGCTGGCAGTGGGCGATGCAATATATGACACATCGGACCTGCGCCTCTCCATTTCCAGTGTGTTCGTCAATGAGAGCTGTTGGCAAGTGGTAAACCGTGAGCAGAGCTCCTGTTGCTCGGTCCGCTGCGCAACATTCTCTCTTGCAACAAAATAAACAGGAGGCCCAGCGCCAAAGTATGCGTACATATCGTTGAAGTAGGGAATTAGGTAGGATCCATCGGGAATGGCAACCCTCTGGTCAAGACCGATTTCCATCGTTGGAAGCAAGGCTATCGCCGCAGCAAACATGCCAAGGAATACTGCAATGATGACGACCTTGGCTTTTCTAGCCAGGATAGCGGTGGAGTACGTGTTCTTAATGAACACCTGCAGCATACTTTCTTCATCGACATCCGATGCTCTGCCCGTAGCGTAGCCGTTGCCAGAGGTCAGGTGTACTCGGGCTGTCTTGACTTGCCACCATGGCCACAGCTCGCAGCGGTAGTCCTCGACGCGCAGCTGGTTGAGTGCAAGGAACGACACAAACATGGTCATTTGTAAGATGGCGTTGACGAGTACAGCACCAGCCGCGTATGCAGCAAAGTTGCGAACAGCTGGCATGCCGACAGCGGCTCCAAGTGCAAAAGCGACGGTTTCCGTCAGAGCGGAGAACAGGATGGAAGGACCCATTCTGCCGAGCGCTCGGGCGACTCGCTCTTCGACCATCTGGTCAGGGCAGCTCAGGTTCACCCTGTCCAACTCATGAACGATGAGGAAAATGTTGTCAACACCGACCGCCAGCACGATAAAGGGAATGACCTCGACAATAATCAATGTGGCCTTGAGTCCCACCCAAGAAAAGAAACCGATAGACGCGCAGATGGACATGAGCACAATCATTATGCCAACCAGTCCGAGAGTAACCTTGGACTCTACCAAAAGTACGGCAGGGTTGCGGAAGATGTGCTTCAAAGGCATACCCAGAGCCAAGCAGGCGTAGATGAACATGACGACATAACTGATGACGACAATCTTGGCATCGGTATTGGTGGACTTGTTGAGCTCCTGCTCGAGACTGATTTCGGTGTTGAAAGAGAGGCGGAGACCGCGGTCAGCAGCCTCCTGTTGAACTTGCAGAAGCCTGTCGCGGAGGGTATTCTCCCAGTCAACGGCATGAGCGAATTCGATGGTGCCTCCAGGAGCATTATTGACAACCCAGGTGACTGTAATTGCCTTGGCGTGCGCAACGTCAGAGTCGTAGCCGCCCAGAATCATCTCTGGTTCGATGGGTTGGCCAAAGTCGGGACGACATTCAACTGGGCTTTTTGCGCAGGCACGGAGCTCATCTTGCCACGTCTTACGTCCAAAGCCGCCCTTGGACTGCCAGTATGCCGAAACAGACTGGATGACGCATGCATCATTTGTTGGTTTGAAGCAAAGATCACGAAGATATTTGCCATAGGTCGGGCTCTCGAGGTTTTGAATGCTTCGTTCCACGCCAATCCACCACTGAAGAGTTTCGTAGCTGAGAACTGGAGAAGGACCGTCTGATAACGTGTCATTGACAAGAAAGGCCTGCTCAGCACGATAAAATGGTCCAAAATTGTCATCGAAATACGCCTTTTCTTGCGCTGCAGCAGATGACGGACTAACCCATAGTCGAGCGGGTTCCTTTTCTAGGTCAAAGTGAACCCAACCAGCGCTCAGAATCGCTACTACAACAAGACAAATTGTGATGGTTAGGGCAGGGGCGTTGGCAGCAGAAAGTCCAAGTTGGTAAAATGCCTTGTCGCACCGATCATTCAACCAGTATCGTTTCACGGGACGATCACGCATGGCCTCGGATTGAACGGGGCCACCTTCGTCCTCATCATCACTGTGGGAAGCCTCGTGCAGAAGCCTAGTCCGCTCGGCTCGCCTCTTGGAGAATTTCTTCCATACCACATGGCCAGATAAGAGCGCCGCCAGAGCAAAGAGTAGTATACTGTAAATGAAGATGGAGGCAAATGACAAGCATGGAAGCGCACCAACTCGGCACGAATGATTTTGCTTGACCTCGGGAAGATCGGGGCAGACTTCGGGGCAATCAACGCAGACACAGCGGTAATTGGGGTCTTCGTCATTGCACTTTTTCGCTTTCATATCAAGGGGCCCCATAGCCGGGTCGTCGTAGGTTCGTGGGAAGTTGATCTGGAACGGGGATCCCACGAGCTTCTTATCTCCGAGAAACTTGAGAAACGCAGTGTATTCCTTGGCGCCGCCTCCAATGAGGTTCATAGCTCTCGAGTTGGCGCCGCCAAATTTGACCTCTTTGCAGCTGTCGTAGAAGCCAGCGCCGTATTCGTTCGAGATGAGATGATCGAGTTCAGTGACGAGCAGCTGGTCTCCCTTTTCGGCGGCACTTGTTACGTTGACAAAAAGTGACTGGTCCGGAGAGCAAGTAAACTTGCAGAATGTGTTGAAAAAGTTGTGCTTGCATGCCGGGCAGGATCCAATCAGGGTATTTGGGGTGCCGAGTTCGGATTTGAGAGCTTGGACCTTGGATCCGTCAGCATTTTATTGATAAATAATTACGGGGAGATTTTGAAGCTTACTTGGGGCAGAGTGCAGCAAACGGGCCCTTCGCGAAATTCCTCGCCGCAGAGGTCAACCAGCTCGCTCCGAAGCTCGGCCTCCGGGTCTTGGGCGAGACCGTTTTCGACGCAGGGCAGCTCCTTTCCGAAGAAGCTCTGCTTGCCACATTGACCGCGGAAGGCACATCGTCCCTGTTCATGCTTTGGCGTATATTCCGAGGCGCTGACCAGCGCCGTGCCAATGGCGGCGGCGGCGGCGAGTCGGACAGTCACAGCGTTGTGACGCATGTTGAGTCGTGGGTGCGCGGGCGAGTTTGGAGAAGCTGCAGCCCGCTGCAGTTCAAGACTTGTGAATAACAGAGCAGCAAATGAAGATGGGGAAGATCGAGGTGAAAATTAGCGATGTGGTGGCGATGGTTGAGAAAGAGGCAGCCGGGCGGGGAGATTGTTTGGGAAGCTTCCAAGGTTAGTGGTTAGTACTGCAACATGGAAGTGTCGTGTCGGCAGAGCTGCAGTAGCGCCGAAGCAGGGCGTCGCATGATGAGCTTCCCCAAAGCGTTTCTTAGGTGGGCCTAGCCAGGAACCTCAGAGCCAGCGGGATAGAGCTTCTCTAAGATTGAATACTACGGTTTTCTTTTTAGTATTCAGAAAATATGAAATTGTCTACGTAGGGGAAACATATGATTTTTTTTGGGGCGGACATCCCAACTGTTCGTGTCATTAGCAGGGCCAAGTGCAGGTACCTGTCCAAAGGGCTGGTGAAGGATGACGCGCCACAGCCAGGTACCAACGCTACTGAAAAGACGTGGCACTCCTGACGTAGTACATCTCATCCCCTACAGCTAACAAGCCACAACACCCACCTGGCCACGGCAGGCAGTGAGTGGCGCCTTTGTCCCACAATCAATCTGGGGCGCCTGAGGGCTGTATGCGCTGTCATGATCGTCTTTGCGCATTTCCACACGCTTATTAGTTATAATTCCTAGCCTAGTTATATCAAACATGTTTTCATCCGTGTGTCTTGGGTGTGCTGCTTTGGCTCCCTCCTGCGTACTACTTCTTCACCGGACATTGTTCCCAGCCTCAAACTTTACACTACGAACGCTGCATTTCTGTGAAACGGATAATCAAAGTCTCGGGTTAATGAATTATTCAATGTTCCGATACCACCTTACACCTGGCCTGGTCTGCTTTGCCACCACTGCCCGCGTAACAATGCCACACTGCTTCCCAGCCAGGCTCACACCTCCCACATTCACTTTGCATTTGCATCCTTGAGAACAACTGCAACAAATTACCAACCTTTAGTTTCATAATAAAAAGACCCCTTTGAAGTTTCTCAACTCGTTGCATGTACTAGTCATCCGTGTAAGCCGGCTTTCTGGCGGCTTCAGCATAGACTACCCCGCACGTGATTTTTTTCTCTATCACCATCGCACACCCACGCACTTCCCACAGCTAGTTTGACTTCACTATTTCATGACTTCTCGCTGTCTTTATGACTTGTTTGCCCTTCAACTTGGGCTGATCATCCAACATTAAATTTAAATATAACTTATAATGTATTCGCTCCTCTTAACGCCACGTCCTCCTTTACTTCCTCATCCTCCCCATCTTCTCTAGATCTTATCTGGCTTCCTCGCAACCATCACCATGACGACCCTCGCCCTCACGAACGCTTGGCATGAAACCATGCCTCAAATCGAGCGCAATGAGCCCTTTCTGCAAAATCTGGTGGTGAGTTGAATTAAAATCATCACGGGCCGACCGTAGTCCTTGCTAACACGGTCTCGCGTTTGAAGGAGTCGTTTAGATCCTTGCTAGACGAGTCGCTCGTCACAGCCGTAGCAAACGACTATGAGCTATACACAAAATCAGGCTTTTCTGCGGCTACTGAGGTCCTCCAGAGCCTGTCTCAGGATGTCCCTGCGGAAGAAGATAGCGGCTTCAACCCGAGCGGCGTCTCTGGCTGCCCCGACGGCGATAGCCAGGGTACGAGGGACACGCGGACAGTCACTTCCGCGACTAGCACCAGCCAAATGGTCTCTGGCAACCAAGACACAAGCTCCATCAGCTCCGGATCGACTCCTGATCTGTCAGACATAACCTGGGTAGAGCCACGGGTGACTTCATTCAACAATGATAGCGTCGAGGATAAGATCCTGCAGCTCCAGGCCATGTTTCCAAAGCTGAAGCAATTCGACGTCCAGTACGCACTCAAGAAGTGCAACAATGATTTTCAGGCTGCCCTGGAGCATCTCCTCAATCTGCAGTACCTCGAGGAAACCGGCCAGCAAACCAAAGGTGTTGATGGCTTTGTCCAGCTAGAGAAGCCCAAAAAATACAAGGGCAAGGCCAAAGGGCGCAAAAGAAGAGAGCCCTCGCCAGACACAAGAAGCTCCGTTCCCGCAGAACTCATCCGAGAAGCCAATGGTATGCCGACATCCCAACGCACTTCCTTGATTACTTGCTGACGTGCATCCTAGAGCAAACAGACATTGGCTACATTGCAGAGCGTTTCAATCTCACGTTTGATTCCGTCTCGGAGACGTACTATGACAACTTTTGCTCACCCCCGGCTACGGTTGTTGCCATTCTGGACCAGCGACTCTCGCAGGATCCCAACCTTGCAGACGATGGCAACGACAAAGAAACTATCGGCGTCCTGTCGCGCAAGTACAAACAAGTCCCCGAAAAGTATCTCAAGGCCATCGTCAGCGCGACCAACTGCATCGCACCCTTCTCAGAGGACCTCGCCCAGCTCGTCAGCAAACACTACGCGCTTGCCCGGAAGAGTAAGGGCCAAAAGATGGCGCTCGAGTCCATCTTGAAGCCCCTTCCCCACGACCAGATCGACGGGTCGTCATCCCCCAACCGATCGGGCTCGCCCCAGCGACCCGCGTGGCGCCTCGCCCCTACCAAGCCCGCCGCCGCCGCGTCCCCGCCCGTTGGCGTCGGCAGCTTTGCCGAGGCGCGCAAGAAGTCGCAGGCCCTCCACCAGGCGCAGCGCGAGGCCTCGGCCTCGGCCGCGCAGATGCACCGCAAGGGGGCCTCTCACGGACTCTACCGCCAGGCGGCCGGCTACTACACCGAGCAGGCGCGCGAGCATGCCCGCAGCGCCCGTGCGGCCACGTCGACGGCCGCCGATCTCTTGGTCGACGAGCAGAGCTACGGGCGCACCATTGACCTGCACGGTGTCTCGGTGCCGGACGGCACGCGCATCGCGCGCCAGCGCACCGCCGCGTGGTGGCAGCAGCTGGGCGAGTACAAGGCTCAGGAGGCCCGAATGAGCCCGCTGGTTGTCGTCACCGGGCTCGGCAGACACTCCGCAGGAGGTGTCTCTCAGTTGAGACGAGCGGTTGCGGCCGCGCTGATCCAGGACGGATGGAGGGTGGAGGTGGGCACAGGAAATTTTACAATCAGCGGTCGACGCTGAGAATCTGTCCTTTGATGTTTTTTTGGTTTTTTTCTTGGGAAGAGAATCATGATTATGATGATGATTATGATGACGCTTCTGTTCAGAAGATACCTGTTGACGGGATTGTTTTGCGTGCTTTGCAGTATCGAAAGCTTGGCTCACTTTTCCACACACACACGCACGCGCGTATATATATGTGTGTCTAGGTGTGTAATTAGGACTGAACAGGGAAGAGGAACCTCATGGTTGACATGAGGCATGGAACGCTTGGAATAAACATGGGCTACCAGTGAGTAACTCTGAACAATCTCTTGAGGGGGGTTTTTTTTGGCGGGGGATACCAATGGCCTTGGTTGATGCATTGATGAAAGACGAAACGGCCTGATCCTCTATTGTTGTATATCTTGTTGGTACAAAACTTGGTCTATATCAACATTTCTTATTCCAAAAAAGCAAAACTCTTGAAACCACACAAGGCTCTTGCTTGCTCTTCTTCATAAGAACATCGTAGTTATTCCAGAGCTCTGGCGCAACGTTGCCAGTGACCACGCAGCGTGATCAGAGACGTGATCGCCATGGCGATGCCGACCTGGCCCGGGTGAAAGTTAGACCATCCGCAAATGTTAGCCGGGATGACCATGTCCAGTGTGTCATTCACAATCTTGAGCGTGAGCGCCGAGATCTGCGCCCTCCTCTTCCTAGCCGCCTCTTTCTTGTCGACCCTCCGTCTTCTCTCCGCCTCCCTCTTCCTTGCCAGGCCCTCCTTGCTGCCACCGCCGCTCTTCTCCCGGCGGTCTCCCTCGACGCCAAAGTCGGCGGGGCGCGGCACGGCGCGCTCGGCCAGCAGCCGCACGACGCGGACGGCGGCGCTCAGCACGCCGGCGAGCAGGGCCAGGAACCACAGCGCCTGGGCCTGCATGTTGAGGCGGCGCGTGTGCTCGGGGCCAAAGACGGCGAGGCCCGGGACGCGCGTCAGGTCTGGCAGCGTGGCGGTCTCGAGGAGGCCAAAGAGGCCGAGCAGCGAGCCGGCCACGACGTCGAGCAGGTCCTCGACGCCAAGGCCGCCCGCGGCGGCCTGGTACTGCGCGTAGCTGCCCTCAAAGGCCCGCAGGAACCAAAACGTGCGCAGGCTCCGCCGCGTCACGTTGAGCCAGTCCTGCAGCGCCAGCAGCGTGTGGTGCGTGGCGAGGTGCTGCCCGGCGAGGTGCGAGGGCTGCGCGAGGGCGAGGAGGCCCGCGTACGAGGTCAGGATGAGGCCAACGGCCTGCATGAGGCGCATCATTCGTTCCAGGGCGACTGTTGGAAGGAGGGAGCGGCAAAAAAAGCGTCAGTGACGCCAAAAATCGGCAGGAGAGCAGTAGGGAGAGGCCATGCGCTCAACGGCGGGACGTACAGATATCTGCGCCCAAGGCAATAAATGTTGCTACAGTTCTGGCCATTGTTTTGGTCGCACGACAGTTCCTTGCAGCTGTTGGAAAGAATCGATTATCCCAGCTATGAGAAGCTATATGCAGACCGACAAAGCCAGTATCGGAAAGCAATGAGTAATGATTGGTGATGCCGGTAGATATGGCAATCACGGAACTACAAATTAATCAATTTGGGGCTGTCGGCTTGTATGTAGCTTGAGCCCCTGATCGGGAGGGCACAGATGGCAGCACTCGGCCCACTACAAATCGCTTGTTCTGAGTGGTGGAAATGCAATGCATGATTTCCAAGCTATTCCCAAAGTTCAAGAGGTATGTATTCAGGCAAGGTGCGAATTACTCAACGGCTGTAAATACCGTAGTCGGAATAGAACATTGGAAACCGGGGGCAAACTTGAGTTGACGCGTAACCTGAAAGGTGCGTATTGACCATGTTCCCAGTCTTGTAAAAATTCTAGGGATAACATTGATGACATAGTAAAATAGATACAGCCGCAGCAATGTGCGGATAGGTTGGCGCAACCGCGTTTCGAATATCGCGGAACATCTAAACCTCGCTCAACAGCCCTCGTTTACTCCGACTATTACAATTATTGGCCAGGTGACAGAAGCTTGCCCTCGGCGCGGGCAGTGCGCGGCAGGCCGCCGGCAAAAGCCTCACCACCGTTCTCCTGTGCAAACTTGGCCATGCGCGCCTCCAGCTCCGGGCGGAAGTGGCGGATAAGACCTTGGATGGGCCAGGCGAAAGCCTCTCCCAACGCTATAGCACGAGTCAGTTTCTGGCAGGAACTTCGAGGGTGTGATTCGGTTGTAGTCAACTTACCGCAGATAGTGTGTCCTTCCACCTGCTTCGTCAGTTCCTGAAGCATATCAATCTCGCGCTCGCGGCCTTGGCCTTTTTCAAATCGCGACATGATTTGCTCAGTCCACTTGCTGCCCTCACGGCAAGGAGTGCACTGACCGCAAGACTCGTGGCGGTAAAAGTGGCTGAGGCGGCTGATGGCGCGGACAACATCGGTGCTCTTGTCCATGACAATGACAGCCGCGGTGCCAAGACCCGACTGGCTGTCCTTTAGTGCGTCAAAGTCCATCAATTGGTCGTCGCAGATGTTCTTGGGGAGGATAGGGGTGGACGAGCCACCAGGAATAATGGCCAGCAGGTTGTCCCAGCCGCCGCGGACACCACCGCAGTGCTTGTCAATCAGCTCGCGGAGAGGGATGGACATTTCCTCCTCGACCGTGGCGGGGTTGTTGACGTGGCCGGAGATGCAGAACAGCTTGGTGCCCTGGTTGCGCTCGCGGCCGAACCCGGCAAACCAGTTGCCACCTCGACGGCAAATGGTGGGCGCGACGGCAATCGTCTCGACGTTGGCGACGGTGGAGGGGCAGCCGAAGAGACCAACGGCGGCGGGGAACGGCGGCTTGAGACGAGGCTTGCCAGGCTTGCCCTCGAGGGACTCAATGAGAGATGTCTCCTCACCGCAGACGTAGGCACCGGCGCCACGGTGAAGGTAGACGTCAAAGTCGTATCCAGAACCGCACGCGTTTTTGCCGATGAGACCATCCTTGTAGGCTTCGTTGATGGCTGTCTGGAGGACCTCGGCCTCGTAGATGAATTCACCGCGGATGTAGATGTACGCGGCGGTCGCGTTCATGGCTCGGCCGGCGACGAGGCATCCCTCGATGAGCTTGTGGGGGTCTTTGCGCATAATCTCGCGGTCCTTGCAGGTGCCGGGCTCGCCTTCATCGGCATTGACGACGAGGTATCGAGGTTTAGTGTCCTTGTCCCAGTCCTTGAAGTTCATGAACGACTGCACGCGAATTGGTTAGACTCTGTTTTTTTTTTGCTCGCGGTCGGCATCCGCGCAACACCGGGAGGTGATGGTGGCGCTACGTACCCATTTCAGACCCGAGGGGAAACCGGCACCACCGCGGCCGCGGAGACCAGAGGCCTTGACCTCGTTGATGATCCAATCGTGTCCCTTGAGAATAATCTCCTTGGTCTTGTGCCAGTCACCCATCTTCTTTGCGCTCGCGAGGTCGGCCGGGTATCGTCCGTACAGATTCTGGAAAATACGGTCCTGATCCTTCAGGCCGCCGTAGGTGCGCTTGGGGGTACCATCTTGGACGGTGGCCAATCCTCTCACGGCGGTCCGTGAGACGCTGACGGCCGCCTTGGGGGCCGTTCTCGTCGACAGCATTTTGTTGGCTTCCGATGAACGGTTCGGGGGTTGCAAGACGTGCTGTGCGCTACTTCGATGGCGGCGACAATCCCTCTGAGCATCAGAAATGCGGACGATGTGGTTGGCCAATGCGAGCCACCTGAATGACTAAGCGACAGTGTTAGCAAGTACCCCAATCTCCGTATATCTTGCTGTGGGTAGTTTGTACTGCCCAACACCATCTACTTGCCACACTTTAGGCCGTCGCTAGGCCAAACTTGGACTTTCAGTTAGTTAGTTAGGAGCTCCCTCCGGAGACGGATAGCTTACCTATGTACATATTACCAGCGAGCGCATCCAGACTTTTGAACTTTAAGCTTCACCCCGCGCCGCCAAACTGTTTCGCATTCATTATTCCTACCTAGCTGTCAAATCCTTCCATCCTCAAGTTGGCAATCCTCATCCTCAAGTTGGCGATCCTGCTCAAGTTCTCACGGAGAATTTGTTTTCCGCAATGTCGAACAAACGCCACTCAATCCTGCCGGCGATTGACAGGTCTGGCCCCAAGCCTCCGGTCAACTTCTCGTCCTCCCTCGTTATTTCCGACAATGCCATTCTTCAAGGCACACACTCCATCACTATGCAGTCCGAAACTGTGATTCATCCTCGCTGCCGCTTCGAGTCCAATGACGGTAGTGTTCTTATCGGAAGACGCTGTATCATTCACGAGCGGGTTCACATCGGGGCCCGACCCGAGAATCCAGAAACCGCTGGAGCCGGAGGCGTCGCTGTTGGCGACTATGTCCAGATAGAGGTCGGGTCTATTATAGAGTCAGGCGGTACAGAAATTGGCGAGGGCAGCTTGGTTCAGGTCGGAAGCAAAATTGGCAGTGGCACAAAAATTGGATCGGTATGTCTCCTCGCCCGTTGCATAGTGTCGCAAGGCTAATGGCGGCACAAGAACTGCACGATATCCCCCATGTCCATTATTCCTCCCGGCACCACATTACCCGACTATACTGTGGTTTACTCCAACGGCACGCAACGAACAGACCGCCGCGATGCATCCGACTTGAGAAAACACGGCATGTTGAAACAAATAGCTGTTCTACGACACATGATACCGAGTAACCCAGACAAATTCAAGTGAGAGAATTCAATGCACATGTATTGCCGCTACTTGTCCATACAACTCCAACCAAATAAGCACGCGAGTTTTTCTACAACTAGTGTGTCAGGGCACTCTCAAAGAGGTTGCGGAGCTGGTCGCGCTCGGTCTCGAGGTCCTTGGCCAGCCCAGGCGCAAGCATTAGCACACGGGCTTGGGGGAGAGTACCCTCGACAAGCTCTTCGATGTGCTCGCTACCAAAACCAAGGTCCTTGAGTCCGCTAGGCTGGTCGCCGAGATCGGCCAAAAACTTGGACAGCGCCTCGGCAAGGACTTCACCAGCACTCTCTCGCTTGACGTTTGAGATGTCGACGCCGAAAACTTCAGCAGCAGCAAGATGGCGTTCGGGGTTGGAAGCGCCGGTGAATCGGAAGACGGCCGGCGCGGATACTGCGACTGAGACACCGTGAGGAATGAGTGGTTCGGGGAGTTCATAGCCAGCATGTCGATATCCAGCAGGGTTCTGTCCAGAGATGGGGTAAGACATGCCTACATGTAGTTGTTAGATGATGGTCATGTTCCATACAATAACACACATATATCACTTACCATGGCAAAGATGGACACCAGCGTTGCCAAATCCAACACCCGCGAGCGTAGCAGCCAAAAGCATCTCGCTCTGAGCTTCGTAGTCATCGGGATCTCTGACAGCGCGGGGAAGATACTTGACAGTAGCGCGCAGGGCGTGGAAAGAAAAGACATCGGAGATGGGGTTGGCACCCTGGTAGGCAGGTCGGAGAATGGGGTTTGCCGGGCGAGGACTTCGCTCATAGTACGGGATGGCGGTCCAGGACTCGAGCGAGTGGCACAAGACGTCCAGTCCAGAGCTGGCCTTGACAGCCGCTGGCATGGTTCTCGTGTTCAAAGGATCACAAATTCCCAGGGTGGGCTTCAAGTTGCGGTGGGCAACGCCAGTCTTGGCCTTTTTCGAGACCAGATCAAAGATGGCGGTACCAGTGGTCTCGCTACCCGTACCAGAAGTGGTGGGCACTGCGATGAGAGGCCTCAGCGGCTTGTCGACAGGTCGACCCTTTCCAAGCGGCGCGTTGACAAAGTCGAGAAAGTCGGCGTCGGGATAGCATGTATACAGATTCATGAGCTTGGCCGTGTCCATGACCGAGCCGCCTCCAACAGCTAGGAAAGCGTCTGGCTGGTACGGGCGCGACCACGTAATGGCTTCCTTGATCCTACACGTGCAGATTAGCAAGACAGGTCTCCGTTAAAGGGGCAAATATTCCTTGTTCGTACGAGCTGTCCTTGGGCTCGACGCGGACCTTGTTAAACACTTCAAAAGAGATGCCCTCGCGGGTGAGGCCCTCGACCACCTGCTTCATGGCGTCGAGCTTCTCCACCGTGGTGTCGGTGACGACGGCGACGCGCTTGGCGCCGAGGTTCTTAAAGTCCATGCCGACCTCCTGCGTGACGCCCGGGCCGAAGCGGATCGACGAGGCCGCCATCTCAAACGCGTACTCCTTGAGCGTCTCCGTCTTGGTCGGCGTGGCGTAGCGGCGGGAGCCCGGCTGGGCGGCCCGGGGGCGCAGCACCGGCGGGGACTGGTGGAAGCCCGGGTTGGAGTGGCACGGGCACGAGGTCGGGTGCGTGTACTGGATGGTGCGGAGGAGGCTGCTCGCGCGTACGGCCGCCTGGTGTTGAGAAGAGAAAGACACGGGTCAGCGATTGTTTTGGCGGGTGAGCCGAGAGCTCATCTTACATTGGGCACGACTCGGATGGGCGCAACCATGGTCAAGGAAGAGAGGTGTGTGAGCACCCGAGTATCCGCCTGTCAATTGACCGATGAAGGGATGTTTGGATGCAGGTTTGGATGGGCGGCCAGGGCAAAAAGTTAAAAGAGAGGTGAGGGGGAGCGAGACCGGTCAAGTGTTCCACTGCCTCGGGTGTTGCGCCGTACCCCGGATTTATGTGGTGCTGGCAGCGGGGCCAGCGGACCTCCCAGCATCACCGAGTTGAAATCCAAGTCATCTCCTTCCGGCATCTATATCGGCTCGGGTGAGTGGTGAGAGGAATTGTGCTGAAAACCATGGTAGATGCTAGCAATCTGAATTGCTTCTAGCCGAGTGCAATGGACCATTATTATAGGCACTTTCCTTGGTCAACTTTGGTCACTCCCCTAAATCCTCCTCCCTCTGTAGCCGGCCCGCAACACCCGCTATACCCGCCGGAGGAACATCTGTACCGCAACGCTGCCAGCGAAAGCCATCGTTGGACAAAATCGCTCTCAGCTTGTCTTAAAGTATACGTTTTAAGATATTTCCTTTCCCCTAGGCATTCATGTATCAACCGCATGCTGCTCAAAACTTCCGAACCACCCATCATAGCCTACCCTGTATTCCTGGGAGAATGCTGCCGTACTGCTAAGCCAGATCGCAAAATATGGAGCATTTGTCTCGGTGCTGCGTTAAACAACTAGAGAGAGACCCTATGATCTAGCTCTTGTGTAATGTGCATATATGGAGAAATACTTTGTAATCGTGTGGCTTGGGTAAAGTACTACAAACATCATACTCTGTACACGCTGCATCCAGGTAAGGTCTTTGCTCAATCGTAAGGAATTGTAATCGGCCAGTAATAAAGAAGCAGATATTCGGGCACAATCCACCAATGCAGGGAAACTTGCAGCCACGAATTTTAAATTGAATGCAGAGACAAACTACCTGTCTCAAAGAGAAGATATCATCACCACAACAAGGCTGCGCTAGCTTCTCCACACGCAGCGAGTGACTATAGAAGTTACGTACTCTATCACGTTCACTCAATATCCATTGCGTCGACAGAGTCGTCAGCTTTATGTCAAGCCACAGAAAGGAAAACTATTACAAAAGTCCACCCTTTTAGGCTTAAAAGGTCTACTGCCGCCGACAAACGACTGCCCTGCTTCGATCCTATCACATTCAAAGTTCAACGTAGCAATCGCAAACATGGCTCAACCCGAATCAAACTCTGGCCGGATGAGAGTACGGGAAGCAATCCCAGGACTCCGCCTCGGTCGCTTCAAGCCCGGAAAGCTCAACTCCATCACCGACGTTCCCGGCGTGCTTGTCCATGTCACAACCATCCAGTCTGAAGACAAGAACGTCAATAGCGGGCTTACGACGATCCTGCCGAGAAAAGATTGGCATAAATACTGCGGCTTCTCTGGCGTGTTTCGATTCAACGGGTGTGGCGAGCTGACAGGGTCACACTGGATTGAAGAGACCGGACTCCTTACTTCGCCGATTCTTTTGACATCTACTGGGTCAGTTGGCGACGCCTACCGGGGCATTTACGAGTATTGCTACCAATATCATCTGGACGATGAGGGCGAAATGCCCCTGTTTATTGTTCCCGTCGTCGGAGAGACGTATGATGGCTTTTTGAGCGATCATAGCCGCTTTCCATTGACATCGCAGCACGTCATTGACAGCATCAGGAATGCCGCTTCCGATGCTGTTCCTGAAGGCTGCACAGGAGGCGGGACTGGTATGATCTGCCACAGATTCAAGGCTGGCACGGGCTCCAGCAGCCGAGTCGTCAAGGGCTTCGACGAGTCGGGCAACGAAGTTGACTACACGGTCGGCGTGCTGGTACAGGCCAACTATGGCGGCCCTGTTGCGTTCCATGTCGGCGGTGTCCCTGTCGGAGCCATTCTCAAGGAGGAGCAGGAGACAGCACAGAAGGATATCGGCACGGAGAGGGACGTGAGGAAGGACGGAAGCATTATTATTGTCATTGCGACGGATGCGCCCTTGCTGCCGGTGCAGCTGCAGCGACTGGCCAAGCGTGCTACCGTCGGCCTCGCCAAGGTGGGTGGCTACGGCAACAATACCTCGGGCGACATTTTCCTGGCATTTTCGACAGCAAACAAAATCCCGTACCAGGAAATCTCCATGTCAGGCCAGGCCTCCCGTCCGGTCAACCCACTGCAGCCTAGCCCGATGACGGTGCAAATGACGGACAACGATTCTATCGACGGACTTTTTGAGTCGGCGGCCGACGCAACAGAAGAGGCTATCTATAATGCCATCTTTATGGGCACAACCATGACTGGTTTCAAGGGCAGAACGGTAGAGGCGGCGGATATTGGAAATATTAAAGCGATCGTGGAAAAGCGACTGTGAGGCAAGGCCACCCTTGGCTGGCCGGGGGAAGCATACGATAGCCTTGGGCCTCTCTTCTCGCTGGCTGATTGCGCGAGCCTCTGCCAGATTCTTGGCGTCAACAATGCCACACGCCGTAATGATGCTGCTGTTGTTGCTGTAGTGAGATGTTTGTCGCACGGAACTTCACGGCGAAAATAAGGAGAGATCGAGCTGCTGATGTAAGCAAACTGCCGACTCAGACTACATAGAAGGTTTTTTGAGGTAATGTCACAATTATTTGAAACTACGACTGATAAAATGCTGTAGAGTTCGTTATATTATGAAAGAGAAAATCTCCTTAATAAGGCTATCTATGTACATATGTAAGAATGTACATATGTAAGAAGGTAGCCACTTAAGCCATCGGAGTCGTCACCGACATGGGCCAAGGCGGACCCACCACCGCGTTCCCGCACTCCTGAACTCCAGCCGCGACACTCCCGCCACATCCAAACATACCATTCCGACATCACTCCTTCGTGTCGCCGCTGGCTGCACAATTATGCTGCTGGCTCATCTTCCAAACTCTGATTGATGATCACTCTCACATTCAGAAATGGACCGCGCAAACGGAGCCGGCGCTGGCGCGGCGGCCAGCAGGGCAGAGCGATTCGAGGATGAGAAGCGTCGCATTATCGAGAGCTGCTTCAACAAAAAGGACCAAGATGGCTCCAGTAAGCTTGCACCTCCCAACACCGCAGCACTACGCAGACGAAAAATTGTGGTCAAAATTCATCACCCTGTCTTGCTAATTAACCGAACCATCATCAGTGATCGAGACCTACATTACCCACATTAGAATTACCGAGTACTCGACACACCCTACGTCGCCCCCCCCTCCTCAGGCCCGAACGCCAGATTCCGAGAAGCCTCGAGCTATAATCGTTGCTGTACGCCAGTCGGGCCGGGTGCGCATGCACAAGTCCAAAGAAAACCCCAACGGAACCTTTTCAATCGGCAAGACGTGGAATCTGGACGATCTCAGCCACATTGAATCCTACACTGGCCCTCAGGTCAACCCCAACCTGCGAGAGTGGGCTGGAGAGACTGGTTTTACAGTGACTCTGGGCAAACAATACTATTGGCAAGCTCAGACAGACAAGGAAAAAAAGTTCTTCGTCGCAAGCTTGATCAAAATCTACAGCAAATATACCGCTGGCAAGCTTCCTGAGCTCAATGGTTTTGACCAGAGAGAGCAAGACCAAGTCCTTGGTGCGGGTAGACGCCCGCCTCCGAGACCAAGCGCCCCGCCAGCTCCTCAACCACCCCCCGGACAGGACTCGGCGCCTCCGTCTGTTGCATCGACACCCTCGGCCGCACCGCGTCAAGCAACTCCCGACTCCTCTAGGTTCCAAAAGGCGCCTTTCCGCCCTCCCCTAAACGGTGCAAACTCCCCAGCCAGCAGTTTTGAATCCTCATTCAACAAGGAGCGATCAGACCGACCACCACCGTCGCGATGGGCTGCTCAAACCAATCAAAGCCAGGAGTCCTTGGTAACATCCATGTCGGCCTCAGCGCGAAGTGACGACGCCACTAGTCAGCCGCCTAGGTCGCGCAACGGGCCCAATGTTCCTCCAGTCCCCGGCCGTTTTGGAGATCCTCGCGACGTCGCAGAACAACCACCCAATCCGGCGGGCTCCGACGTGCCGCCTCCAGAACGTCGTCGGCCTCCGATGGATCCGTCGCGCCCAATGGATAGGGATGTTGTGCCACCACCATTAAATAGCCCAATAACCAAGAAAGAGCCGGCTTACCCACCACCGCGGAGCAGCGATCGAAATTCGCCTTCGAAAGGCGCCGCAAGCCGCGCCGTGGAGGGCGAGTTTTCTCCAGAGTCAGCGAAATCGCCAAGCATACCGTCCCCAGCATTAGCCCGTATTAAGAATGAAAGTGACTCTATCACGCTGTCGGACGAAGGCGCACAGTCGCCACCTCCTGTTCCCGCAGAATCGGCCGAGGAGTCGCGCCCTGGCCTAGGACCCATGATCAAAGCGAAGAGGTCGAGAGGCGATATTGCTGGTGTATTGTGGAAAGCTGCTAATGCTGCTTCCGCCGCATCGGCGTTCAAACCGCGCCCCGGCGGCGCGGCGGAGAAGCTACGAATGGCGGCCCCGCAGAAGACGAGCGAAGGCCCCGATGGTATTACTGGCGTGGTTCCTGCGCCCCCGAGACCAGTTTCAAGAGATCAACGGCCGGAGACCCCCCAACCTGGGCCAGCAACCCCTAGCGGTGCACCCGCTGCAGCTCCCTCTCCTGCACCCACTGCACCCGTGCCAACACCTCTGGAGCCCACCGTACCTGAGGTGACGATCACCCCTACGCCACAATCTGTGGTAGAACCACAGCCACTCAAGAAGGAAGGTCCCAGTGAAGCTGCCATCAAAATCGCTGAAGAAGCAGCCAAGGATAAGGCAGCTCGAGCGGTTGCGGCCGGTAACGACTCTAGATATCTTCAAGCCCTGGGAGTCAACCCATCAGTCCTTGATGGGCGAAGTCAAGAATTTGGCAAATGGTTGGATTATTTTGGCTGGGTGCCGGGCGACAAAATGCGCTCGCACAATGTTGAGGAATTGAAGGTCGACATTGACAGGGAGCTGAATAAAGCACAAGCTGGTGGCTGGCTTGCTCGATTTCGCGAGGAAGATGAACGTGTACACGCGATCAAAGAAGGCGTGGATCTGGCCATTTCTGAATGTGAAGAGCTGGATAATCTCCTCACTCTATACTCTGTCGAGCTTTCGACATTGTCAGACGACATTGCCTACATTGAAGCACAAGGCCAGGGTCTGCAGGTGCAAACTGCTAACCAGAAGCTACTCAAGAAAGAGCTCGAGTCCCTTCTCGAAACATGTGCAATCACAAGCGATGATCTTCAAGCTCTGCATCTCGCACCGCTGGACAATCTCCGCGGCCTGGAAGAGGCAGAGGCATCCCTCGTTGTACTTTTCAAGGCGATGCTCAAGATCGACCCGAAATCAAAAGACAAGACTGGAGACGAAGACGCTCGAATCGACCAAGAATCTAGCCTCAACAGCAACTATGGCCAAATGCGTATTGTACAAGAAAAGAAGCAGATGTACCTGCAACAGAGCGGTCTTTTCATGCGCCGTCTCGTCGAATTTATGGCAAGACAATTTGATACAGCGCATGCGGAAACAAAGCGTGCACTGGATGGTGCCCTATCGAAGAAGGGCGACACTAGCCACCACAATGCTGGAAGAGAGCTTATCTGGAAGTATAGCCCTTTGATGCTCTATGCAAGAGATGTTGATCTCGAAAACTGGAATCGCCTCCTTCAAATATACCAGGATAAGAGCCAGCCGCTTTATAAGACCGAGTTTCAAAATGTCATCACGCATTGGCGTAAGAATGCTAGGAAGATGACTGGCGACGAAGCCGAAATGTTGTTCACGTCGCAAGCTGAGAAGCAACAGGAAGGCGTTGCTACAGCAGCAAGAAAACTGACAGTTAAGAGAAGTCAAACATTGGCTAGAGCTCTACGATCACCGCTCGCAGATGGCGCTTCGCGCGCTGTCGAGAAGAGCCCTGGGGAGGGCCGTACCATGCCATTCGAGGTCTTTGGTGCCGTCCTGGACGATCTTCTCCCACTCGTTGAGATGGAGCAGAATTTCATTATTGATTTCTTCCACGCAACGACGTTGGAGTCGCTCGACTTCGCTGACACGGTGGCGGCGACACCCCCTCATAGTCGCCGTGGCGGTGATTTAAAACGTCATCGGCTTATGGAACCTAATCGCGAGCTGGGACGTCGGGTGACACGTTCCATGGAAACTATATTTACCTTCTTGGAAGCTGAGATCCAACGTCTGATGGAGTGGGTTCTCGGCCAATTTCCATTACAAGGTGCGGGAGTTCTCGCGGTTCTCGAGAAGAAGATGTACGATCTCAGCCAAACAAACCAGGAATTCCTCAATACCACGTTGCAGAAAGTGCACGGTTTGCTCGAAGGCCACTTCGTCAAGTTCGTTAGCGAGCAGATCCGGGCGATTGAGGATACCAAGGTCAAGATCAACAAGCGCAAAGGCGTCATCTCCTTTATCCGCGTGTTCCCAACCTTCCTCACGGCAGTCGAGAACATGATTGATGGGTCGGATCCAAACCTGCCTCTGCGTCGCATGACTAATCGCCAATATGATCGAATCTTAAAGTCAATGTTTGACTCGCTCATGGTCATTGCCCGCGAAGATCCAACTGGTGCTGCTGCCGCCGGCTCAGCGGACCCCGAAGGCAAGGAGGCTCTCAATTTCCATATCTTGTTGATCGAGAATATGAACCATTTCCTTGAGGAGACGGACTCTCGGGGCTTGGACGTGCTTGAAAGCTGGAAAGACCAGGCAAATACCGAGTACCATGAGCACATGGAGCTGTATCTCAATGCAGTGATGCGGCGGCCGCTAGGCAAATTGCTCGATCACCTCGAGAACATTGAGGCGCAGATTCAGACTGGCAAGTCGCCTACTGCCATTGCCAAGCAGCCGTCCAATAGCCAGGCCGTCTTTGCCAAGGTGCTCAGCATGTTCGATGCCAAAGACCTCCGCAAAGGCATCGACGCGCTGCGCAAGCGTGTCGAGAAGCACTTTGGCGATGCTGATGAGCCTACACTCAGCCGCGGCCTCGTCATCAAGGTGCTGACCGAGTGCGAGAACTTTTACGGCAAGGTCGAAACGAGGATTGGCAGTGTAACGACCAATGTCTACGGAGGCGACGTGCCGTTTGAGTGGCCTAGAGCGGATGTCAAGGCAGCCTTCCGAGACAAGTGATGCAAGAACACAGGCATCTGCAGGAATCTTATGACGATGATTGGGGACGGAGCAAGGGAGGCTAATCTGGATGATTTTTTGTACGATTATGGGCATTTGGACTTAGAAATGTTGGTAGTGAGAAGCTTGCGTGTATTAGGCCGGTTCCCGTGGGCATCAGCAACATTGCTGGCCGGAAAAATGGATTTCAGTTATTAAATCAGCGTAGAGCAGTACAACCACAAGTCTTGAACTGGCATTCTGTTCTGTCTTCAAATGAAACAGTCGCAAAGCTGTCTTACGCGGTACAAGGCGCTTGAGTGGTGAGGGGGCCAATTAAAGTGGACGCGTTGGGCGCGTCTTGTAGGTACCCGTTCTTGTGCGCGTCTGCTTACACACCGCACTCGGCCACTTTACACGACAGCCAGCTATTTAATGAAGCCACCGGAGCGTACGAAGCTGGTCGGTTTTTTCCATCCGAATCATAAATAGGGTACTGAAGACGTTTTTCAAGAATTTACCGGTCTTTTGGGCCACGACTCGATACGCGACGCTGGCTTATGCCCTCATCCAACCATTCTCCCAGATATGACACCACGTACAAGATCGGGCGGCGCAGCCCCTCCCGCCAGCATCGTCTACAAATCAACGCCAACGCTTAAACAAGTTCAATTTCCTGCTCGAAGAAAGAGGCTCCGCACATATGGAAAACGAAATCGGAGAAGCGGCGGTGGCGGCGGCGGCGTCGACGATGACGACAACAAGGAAAACGAAGAGGGCAACAACACACGCCCGACGCCGCACCTAAAACAAAAGACGCTCACACAGTACGACTTTGCCTCGAGTTTCGCCGAAGACAGCGTGGTCGAGCTATCTGACGCGAGCGATGTCGAAAATCTAGACAAGGGGAAACACAAGAACGAGGGGGAAAAGGAAAACAACGTACCCAAAGGTACGAAGCGCAGACGATCACCGACAGCAAAACACGCGCCGCTACAGCCTATAACGATCACGGAGCAGGAGGATGATGAAGAGGAGCTGGTTGTGCTGGACACGGAAGCTGAGCAAGACGAGGCCGAGGCCGAGGCCGAGGAAGAGGACGAGGACGAGGGACCCGTGGTGCGCGGGCGTCGCGCGGTCGGATTCACCGACGCGGGCAAGAAGAAACGCCGACGGACGCTGGGCGAGGAGCACCGCATGAGCACAATGAAGGGGAGCACGTCGTCGCGGCGTAGGACGCTGGGCGACTCGCCCGCTGCCGGCCCGTCCAGGACCCGGTACCACACGCAGACCTTGACCCAGTGTATCGGTCGCACGACGTCCTTTGTCGCCGACTCGGATGACGAGGCGCTGGGCAGCACAGAAGACGACGGCTTCCTAGACTGGCTGGGTCAGCAGGAGGAGGGCGAGGAGCAGTCAGGGCCGCAAAGTCCGACCATCGGTACGCAGGCGAGCAAACGGGCCGCCGCCGCCGCCGCCGCAGCTTCCCCCCAAGTGTGGGAAGACCGCACCCCGTCGCCGCGGGCCCGCAGCAGCAACAGTCAAAGACCCGCGCCGCAGACGACGAGCCAGGCGCCGCCCCGCGAGGAGTCTATCGTGCCGCAGACGCCCGTGCGGAGCATCCGCTTCGGCCTGCCGCCGTCTACGCAACCAAACGTGGCCTCGCCCTCCCCGACACGGCTCGCCGCCCTGTACGGCGCCATCAGCCAGTACACGTCACCATCATCGCAACGGCGGCAGCACGAGAGCCCGGCGGCGGCGGCGAAGCCGCTGCTCGAACTGACGGGCAAGCCGAGAAGACGCATCAGCCCGGCCAAGACGCAGCCGGAGCTCGTGATTGCCGACTCGTACGCCACAGAGGGCTGGAGCTCGGTCGGCGGCACGCAGGCGCGTCGCGGCACGACGCCCTCGCAGACGCAAAAGACGGACGTCTTCAGCACGCCGGCGGAGGAGTCGGCACCACCGCCGCCTCCTGCGGCCGTAGCGTCTACGCAGGCGGCTGACAAGATGCCAGAAACGGCCGAGGACACGGCGACAGCAGCGCAAATTCTCCTGGAAACGCAGAGCCAGGACGGGCAGATCGAGGAGCAGTTTTACGGCGCGCTCTCCCAGGCCGTGCAGGACAGCGCCGCGGTGAGCCAGCAGCCGCCGCTGCCGCTATCGCCGGCGACGCCTAGACAGGCGGCGGCGCCATCACAGCCATCACCTGTAGAGGAAGCGATCGTCATCTCTGATACCGAAGAGCGAGAAATCCCAGACTCGGACGACGAGGAAGAGGACTTTGGCGCGGAGAGCGACGACACTAGCGACCACAATAGCGACGACAGCGACGAGGCCGAAGAGTCTAGGTTCGCCGCAGGTGCCGAGACGCAGCTGCTCATGGACCAGCTGCAGTCAAGCGTGCGCAAATGGACCCGCGTTCCGCCCTCTGCCGCCAGTCACCACGCACCGTCCTCATCCGTCGCGTCCCCCCATCCGCCTCGCACTTCGAGTCCCGCGCCGGCGCCCTCACCCGGATCCGCCGTGACGCCGCAGTCTGCGCCTCCTTCCTCCTCCTCCTTCAAACGTGCCACCACTACCACCACCACCAAGCTACCAAACCAGCCGGGCACCGTCGCCAACGACATTCCCCTCACGCCACTGCCCTCCACGCCGCTCCGCACACCCCTCCACCACCCGCACCCCATCGACACGCAGGGCGTCCCATTCGAGTCGCAGCGCGTCGCCGTCGCCACCCTGCAGAACTTCCCGCCCGCCTCGGCGCGCACCGACATCCTCCTGCCCGTGTCCGCCGGCACGCTCGCGCCGCTGATCGCCGGCCGGCAAGACGTGCTCGTCCTCCCGTTTAAAGTGCCCGTGCAGGTGGCGCGTTTCTGGCTGCTCGGAGAGGGTGGCATCCTGCGGTACCTCGCCTGCATCGACGGACACGAGCACGATCCAGAGCGGGACAATGGCCGCGGCGGCCGCGGGACCTGGAGCTACCGCGCCGCGCAGGTGTACGAGCTCAACAACCCCGCGTGCGAAGACGACATGCGCGCCGAGGACTGGATCCACGGTCGCGTCACCCGCTACGTCTACTTTCCGCCCGCCGTCGTGAGTCAGCTGCTCTGGAACCTGCGCCACCCACTATTTGCCGATCTCAAAGACGACGTCGACGACGATGACGGTGCGGCGATGGTGACGACCCCGGCCGCCGCTACCGCGCTCTCCTCGTCATCGCCGCTCCGCCGCTCCGCGAGGCTGTTGTCCACGCCCGCGCGTCTGCGCAGTCCGCCACGAAACTCCCCCTCCCCTCTGCGGCGCGCGCATCAACGGCCGCCTCCGTCCACGATGCCCGCGCCGCCGCGCCCGCCACGCGCCGGCAGCGCTCGCAAGCACCACACGCAGCAGCCGTTTGTGCGGCCCTCGCAGGCCACGACCGTTTCGCAGGCGTCGACTGTGGCACCGCCTTCGCAAGCGGCCGCCGGTGCTTCTCCGATCCCCCGCAGCGCAGGCGACGAGTCGTCGGAGAGCCTCGTGTTTGACGACCACGGCGGCTCCTCGATTTCCATGCCGTACAGCGGCGTCTCGGGGCTTGATCACCTCGCCGCCTCGCAGCTCCTGACGGGGAGCCAGATCTTGCCCGAGAGCCTCGTCCGGGACGAGGAGGAGCAGGAGCACATGCCGGAGGTGATATTCGACTCGGAAGAGGACTAGTGGAGAGAGAGAGCCGAGAGGGGACGCAAATTGACTTGGAAGCCTGTACAATGCCGTCTTGTGGAAAAAAAGTCCCTCCAAAAAAACGATGAGACCTACGAAATGATTTTGATACTCTGCAACTGCTTTCAGCCAGCCATTTACATAGCAAATTTGGAAGCATCCATTCTTAATAAAGTATGCCCATATTCTCATTTTTGATGCTAATGCCAGGTCTATATGCTTCAAGGAAAAATAGAAAATGATAAGCCCCATGAAGCAGTCATACAATTAGCATGCCCCTTTTTAATCTGGTCTTCTTAACTCTGCATCTGCCATGCTGACAGTGCAGATGACAATGTAATTTAGAGTGGCACGGCCTTGTGACCTTGTTCGTTCCCTGTACCCTGGCACACTAAAACAGCAGAGTGGTGAAGATGCTTATGGATTTAAACAGAGTACTTAGGAAAGATGGAAAGCTCCTTGCCCTTCCTTCATAGCGGTGAGTAGCCGCCTTCTCATGGTATCGTGGTCTGTATAGTCTGGGAGCTTGAGATAGTTGACACAGGTCATTACACTCGGCAAGTAGTCGTCCGAGGTGTATGGGTGTTCACTCGGCTTGCAGACGACAGTAAACATTGGCGTGAGGCTGCGGAAACCTCCGATAGGGAGCTTCGGGCTACCTGTGATAAATTGAAGGAATTCGCGGCGCTCGCTGAGGTCGAACTCGCTCATGACTTGCAAAAGATCTTTGACGCTGCGGCTGTCCATGTTGAACCCATGATCAGCCTTGATGGAGTCGGTGAGGGCTGGACACTTGTTAGCTTCATGTTCAAATTGTTCAAAATAGAGAGCGGTCTTACTTTCGAGGGACCAGTCTTCATTTACTTTGCCGAAGAGCGCGACCAGCTCAGCCGGAGTAAAGGCACTCAAGGCAGTATACGGGAAAACCTGGGAGAAGCCAGTCCGGAATGCATCGACTTGAGCGCGCACGCCCGAGCCGAGCGTCATGTCGATAACCTTGTCTAGGTAAGCATCAACATTATCAATTGTAACGCGCTTTTGCGACCCATTTGCTTCTAGCTCGATGCCAGGATAGCCAGGAAGCGTAAAGTCGAGGCACAAGTCGTCCAATCGGACGCCGTCGATAGAAATGTTCTCCGTATCAGCGACCTTTTGCGCCGGTGTTCGGTTCGGATCTTCGTCTATGTCCTTCTTGGCGATGGAGTACTTCTTGATTGCCTTGAGTGATCTTGCGAGCCCAGGATCAACAACCTTGACGGCGCCTAACGAGGGCTTCACACCTGGTGCAACAACATCACTAATTCGGAAGAAGGTAGGATTGAAGTGGATGTCAATGATGCGCGAGTCAATCATGGATCGTGCAATAAACTTGCCAATAATCTTGAACAAGTGCAGAATACGCTCTCCATTAGGTGTGCTCAGTTCTTCCGCACTCAATGGCCGAGGGAAAAGTCCAGATGGACCAGACACAAATTCGTCGGAACCCGTGTTATCAACATCCCGCCAGAGACGTAGCTTCTTTTTGGCGAATTCCTTGGAAACAGTAGAGTAAAACTCCAAGGTTGGTCCAAGACCGGTACCGACTTCTTCGAAGTATTCGACCTCAAGTATACTCTGCGAAGCACCGTATAGCTCCATGACCTTCAGGGCAGATTCGAGAATTTTGAGGCGAGAAATCCGAACCTTTTGCCTTTGCAGGCGTCCCAAGAAAGGGCGTTCGTTGTGGCGATCGCGGCGGTTTTCTTCGGCCTGCGCATTCTGCCATTTTGCCATCGATCGGGCATATCCAAACGAGGTGGACTGAAGGAAGAGATGACGCGTCTCAAATGGAAAGAGGAACGGGTACAGACGAGCCAAATCCTCGGACCAGCTAGGCAAGCAGCTACTGGCCACGATGAGCGGCTCTTCCAGCTGGCGGTTGAGCTTGGCTGTCAGCTTTGTACTGACAAATTGGGAAGGCGGTTCAACATGCAGGGTGACAATCTGTTGGTCATCTGCGAGCAAAACGTCTTCAATATTCTCGTTGAGCTCATGCAGAATGTTCAGAAGTCGGAGAATGGAGGCGGTAGTGGGATTCTTGGCGAGGGACGCCGGAATGCCGTCTGGGGAATCGGACTCCGCCTCCGTGTTTGTGGTGACTGGCACCGACTCCGCCCATGGTGGGCCAGGAACCCGTTTGAACTTGATAGGGTGAGTGGCAGACCATATGCTCCGGCTAATGTGCTGATCTTCTGTTTTGGTCGCGGACAGAAACACTGCTCGGTAAATAGTGGTCTCGTTGGAGATCACTTTGTCATCAAGAGAGAATTCAATGTGCCAGTCCTGAGGCACAGTTTGTAGAACCGACGCATAAGACATAGGGCGCGATGAACCGGCTGGTGTAGAAGCTGATGGAGGCTGCTTCTGTTCAACAGGGCGCTTCTCGGTGCTCGCCGGAGTTGCGATCTTGGTACCATCTTCCTTGCGAGCTGTCACACCCCCAGTTGTGGCAAGCTCGAAGTCAACAGCAGAAGGATCTTCGAGGGTAGGAGCATCTGGCTCTTCGTCCATATCCTCGAGCTCGCCAACAATGGCATCTAGAGCGCTAGCATCGGCAAGATCCTCCTCATCTTCGCTGATTTGTTTTTCATCAGCACACTCCAAGGTGCTTTGCTCGCCGTCGTCATCAGGAGCTGGGTTGGCAGGAGATTCAACTCTGGATGGGGCCTGGTGACGAGAGGATCTTCTTAACCCCTTCCCGGAGTGTGAAGGCCCTCCAGTCTGGTCAGCGTGCGTCGGGGTTGTTGGGTGGCGCGGTGGCTTGCTGCTGACTGCACGTCGTAAGTGTGATGCACTGGATGGCACCCCAGCCAGAGGAGGAGGGGGAGGGGGTGGCACTGATCCAGGAGCAAATGAGGAGCTGTTGGCGAGGCGTGAGCCAGGAGGGCCGCCCATAGGTAGCCCAGCCATGGCGGCAAGAGCTTGTGTTAGTCCGTCACGCCTTGCAATACGAGGGCGTTCGGAAAGACTGATGCGTGGCCGCAAATAATCATCAAGTGACCTAAATGTGGCGATCGCATGTATGGAAACCATTATGTTTCTATACGGACGAGGAATATTCGAGTCGTCGTCAGCCACAAGACGGAGGCGGATCTGTTTACCAAGCATTGAAGCTGGGCTGGTGCGGTTACCGTCAAAAGTGTTGTGATGAACAGTAACTACTTCATAGTGCTCTGACCTACTGAGCAAGTCTTGCAGTTTGTGGATCATCATGCTGAATGGCGTAACGGGAGACTCAGCCGTCGCTGTCTTTGGCTTGGACTTGACACTCTTGCCCATAAAGACCTCCAGGAAGGTTGACTGCGCCAAACGAGCCAACTCTTCATCAGGATTACTCAGTACTTCCATCAGTGACCGTACAAGACCAGAGGAAAGAAGCTCTGCACTCGTCACGCTCTCTAGGACATCAGTATCAAACTGGGCCGCTAATCGGGAGAATAGAACTCTTCCAGCGGATGGCGAGAGATCGGCTGACGAGCGTCGCAAATAGAATGCCTCCAGATCATCGGCCAGCTTAGTTAGGCCGTCCATAATAAGGCTCGCTTTGGCCTTCATGTCACGACCATGCTCTTCATTTTCATGAGAGTCTAGGAACTTCTTGGCAACCTGGCAGATGAGAGTTTTTGTGGCTCGAGAATCGGAAAGATACCTGCGGGGAGGTGCGACCGGCTCAGAGGATGAGGAAGAGCCGGAGCTAACGGGGGACTCATCACCAGGGTTTTCGGCTTGTTCCTGGTTATCGTGGTTCTCGTCTTCGTCATCCTCGGGTTCGGCAGTCTCGGGCTCAAGTTGTTCTTGCTCGACCTGAACGTTTTCGTCCTCATCGTCCTGGTCGCCCTCATCGCCTTCGTTGTTTTCATCGCCACGTTCCTCGTCTTCTGCCTCCTCGTCCTCGTCTTCTGACGTGGACGAGCTTTCTCTGGCATTGCCGTCATCGGTCCTCTTAGGTAGATCATCAGCAGACCCCTCGGGTGCTTGAGCAGACAGTTTCTCGATTTCAAGGATGACACCTTCTCTGTACAGTTGATAGCGATATATTCTGTGGAGGCGGCTGAGAAGTAGTTCCGTAGCCTGTAAGCCGAGCATGACAAGACTAGGATGGTCCTGTTGTGAAAGAATAGAAGCGAGGAAAGAAGCGTACGGCACAGGGACAAGAGCCTCCTCCAGGATCTTCTCATCAAGATTAGATAGCATTTTGATCTGTGCTTGGAGCACCTTTTGGCGAACGCTCAAATTGACAGTGCTTGAGAAGACATCTGTAAGGGTAGGGAAAATGATCAGGGCAAACCGCCGAACTTCGTCTTTGCAGTTGTTGAGGAGTGATAGGCGCCTTTCAGCAGGAGATTGCCTAGTGTCGTCTGTACTAGCGGCGGGTTCTTGAATGCCATGGAACTCGACAAAGTCGCCGTACACCGGATCAGCGTCTTTGGGAAGCCCAGGAAGTAACTCGCATATGACGTTGAGGGTTTCGATGATCTGTTCACGTGGTCGGTGAATAAGGGCTTGCATGATGACGACGCTGTCAAGTTTGGAGGCAACATCTTCTGTGCCGCTTGGTGGGGAAACGCCCGTCAGAATTTGGTAAAGAGTCTCGACTACCTGCAGCTTGAAAAGTTCTGCGGCAAGCTGTGGACTGGCTCGAGCAGTGAAGGCCAAGACGCGGAGGAACTGGGTGTGTATGCTAGACCCAATTAGATTGGTAGTACCAGGAACCAGCAAGCGCAAGACAGCGCGGAGCAGATCAACGCTGACAAGCTCTTCGAGTTTTGCGGCTTGATGTTTGAAACTTTCGACGATGCCAGAGACACAGAGCGAGGCCTGCTCGACAACTCGCTGGTCATTACTGCTGAGGACGTTGAGAAGAATTGGCATGACATCTCGGACGACTGGGAAGGAATCGTCGGGGATATTTCTGCAGCAGTTGGCGGCTATAGTTACTGCAGTTCTCTGGGTGCTGGTAGCAAAGAAGTCGAGGTAGGATAAACAGGCCGTGAGACCACCCTCACGAACAATGCTGGATGGAAACTCGACAGATATTTTTTCCAAGGTACTGAGGGATTGCTCAGCCAAATCGATGAAGGAAATCTCTAAAAGCTTTGAGCACAGCACTGGCACTGCGCTTCCATAGACAACGTTCGAAACGCTGGCTGGTAAGGCTTCCATCAGGTTGGCAAGGCAGCGGCAAGCAAGAAGCATTACTTCTGGACTCTCTTCCTTGTGCATCAGCTGGACTAGCTCTCTAACAAAGGCATCGGGTGAAAAGTGTCCAGCGAGATTATCTTCGTTGGAAACCAAGAGGAGCTCGGATAATTCTTGCAAAGCAATGACTTGGATAGAGAGATCGTCTTCTCGAAGGTTGTTGAGAAGCTCACGCAAACGAGCAGTCAACCCGGACATCATTCCCGTTAGAGCACGAAGCGTGTGTGACAGTCCTGCAGCTCCGAACGCGCCAAAGGGGTCACCACCATCGGTTTCGCCGAAGCCGTCACCGCGGTCATTTTCGTCGTCATCGTCATCCTCTTCCTCCTCTTCCTCTTCGCCATGGTCGTCTTCATCGTCGTCGTGGTGCTCAGCTGGGCCCTCATCAGGGTTGGCGTCTTCACCCTCGTCGTCATTCGTTTGATTTGTAGAGGCATCAGGAGTTGATTCAACGTCATCTCTGTTGCCGTCTGTACCACCCATTACAATGTCTTCATCCGTTTCGGCGGCCAGACGCTTAGACCGTCGAGAGCTAGACGAGCGCTCATCTTGGATATCTATTCCGATATTAGTACAACCATGCAGAACTTTTGAGTTGGCTAAACATTGTATGGAACGCACCAGGGAGGCTATGAGTTGACTTTTTGCTGCGACTTTCCGGTCGGTCCAGATTGTCGGATGGTAAATGGTCATTCGTGGTTTCTCTGGGACCAGTGTGGTCGCTGACGAGAGTAGTATTAGCATAGTGTAGACGACAAAAAGACGGGGCGTTGTACTTGGACCCGTCCATCATGGGAAAAATGTTTCCTTTCCGGTGAGCCTTGGGCGGCGCTTTTGTGTTTGCGCTGAGAGGCAAGGCGGTGGCCGTTTCTTCGGGTAACTTTTGCCTCTTAGATGTCCGGTCCGAGGAGCTGGGACGTGTGGTATTGGCTGGTAGCTTAGACCCTGCCGAAGCTTTGCGTTTGTTGCGAGAAGGTAGCTGAGGGGTGTTTGGAGAAGCTGAGCGATCGGCGGATTCTGGTGTAGGTTTCGCGGTGTTTGGAGCTGCCGAAGTCTGGGCCACCTGACTGGCAGCTTGGCGGGCAGACGACCTGGTGATTCTAGGACTCATGAGCGAACTGGTTACTCGGGAGGCGTGACGTGTCGAATATGCCAGCGAGGCAGGGATGAATGATGGGCTACGACGTCGAGGTCGGGGGCACAGACTGGTGCACTAGCAGCAGGCGTTCAAGAACGAGAGAGCAAGTGGCCTCTAGGGAACATGCTAGAGACCAAGATGATCTCAACGGAAGAATAATTGATAGGAGGGAGCGGAAAGCAGCCGAGACAGTGTCTGCATGCGGCGTGCAAGAGAAAGGATCACGGTGCTGTGTGCTGTGCACATGGGATGTTGGGTGTTGGGTCGAGGAATTGACGTGGTGCGGGCATGTGCGTTTGTGGCGAGGACGAGGATAAAGTCGTCAAACGGCAGCGTTTGGGCCAGTAAGCGACAGATGACACAATAAAGCCGAGCAGTGAAATTCTGGCAGTTGAAACCAGGCAATAGGGATTGAAGAATCCAGTCGGACTGAAAAGTGAATCGACTCGGCCGACTGCGAGGCAAGTGTGGCTCGTCGCTCGAGGCACCCAACGTCACAGCTAGGATGGCGAGGATACACAGGGGCGGAAAGCGGGACGAAGAGGGACGGCACAAAGCGGGATTCGCAGATGACGAGAGAGGGAAACAAAAAAGAAAAGGAAACCAAGAGCGTACCTCGGAGGCGCGACCGGCGTCAGACGGGCGCCCGTGGCAGTGTCGTCTGGAGAAAGTGGCACTGGGTTATCGCCTGCCGGTGTTCGTTCTGCCATGCCCGGACTACGCCATTAGAAGATTTGGCGCGGAGCTCGAAGCGGGCAAGCAGGGTGTCTCTTGTCGTCGTTGTTGGCTGTTGCGTCGATGTTGTTATGGGGGTAGACGGGAGGCGGCGGGCAAGGGTATCTTGAGCAGGTCGTGGGCGTGGAGGGGCGGGAGGCGAAGGAGGAGATGTGTTGTCGTGATGTCTTGTCTCCGGCGGGTGGTGAGAGATAGTAGTAAATTAGTGCGGGCAGTGGGCAGTGGGCAGTGCGGCGGGCGGTCAGGTGGTGTCGAAACCTCGACAGCACTTTTGTTAGGATTTCTCAGCGTCAACGACCACGTCCTTAGCAGATCAGCTATGTACCTTAGTAAAGTCGGTACCTTAGTAATTTACCAATGTGTGCCTAGGTAGGGCCAGATTCGGCGTCCTTGACAATAGCATTCGCAAAGGACGCGGCTTGTATTAGGGAATTGATTATGAAGTATCAATGTCGCTTATGCAAACGGCAATTCTTATCCTGGTACCTACACCTAGTGATCAACCCCGATACAGTGTTGCCTAATCGAGTCGCAATATGGTGTGCGCGCAGGTAGAATGTACTACACTCCTGCTGTAATATGTTGCCTCGACATTTATACTCTGCAATGTTGACTTGGCAATATACCATCCCCTTCCTAGAGAAACAACACACCATCTGGTAACCTCCGAAGCATATCCGTACAACCGGAGCCCTCGTCACTGGCGTGGCGAACCGAACCACTGCGTGTAACCCATGATCGGGCGCGCCCTCCGGGTCCGGCGTAGTGGAGCGCTATTACCAGTAGCGCCCGCCATCATTATCGAAGGCAGCTACTATTAGGGGGGCAAAATACTAACCTCTTCCTTATTCTTACTATTTTCTTACTATATTTTAACTTCTTTCTCTTTTTAACTTTCTTTATTTTTACTATGCCTCTCATTTTACTTATGTTACCTATCTCACTTATACAGTCTAATTCCCCTTATTCCTATTCCTAGATTAAGCTTCTTAATAGTAGAGTATAGACTTATGTGTGCGGCCTTTTTTTTGTCGCGCGCATGGCAGCCCGTGATGTTTACTCCGGGCGCGGTTGGCGCTACTGGGCATCTGTCCTCCTGCTCTCACCCATCCGGGTCCTTAAATCCTTGTCTTGTCCTGTCCTATGTGCGCGAAAAAGATGTCAACACCAACGGTTGTTTGTTACCCGTTTTCTGTCATACTAGATCTTGCAGGCCAGCAACCAGACAACATTCCTGTGAACAGATAACAGATAGTTGTATTCGTCAAAACCCCTTTTCATGATTCTTGCACATTAGACTCTATATCTTGACCTGCGTCCTCGTAGTAACTCTGTTCTTCCGGGGGTACATTTTCTCTCTTTTTCTGTCATACATGACTCATGGCTTCAGCGACTCCTTGCCACCCTCAAACTCACCGACGTCGTACTCGTCGGGGTACTTGTCAATCAGCTCCCTCAGCTCCTGCATCTGCGCCTCGAGGCCCGGTGTCAGCTTTTCGTAGACGTCCTCAAACATGGTCCTGATCGCCGGTTTCTTCTCCTTCTCCGCCGCACTAAACTCCCGCAGCACCTCCTTGCGCAGCGCGTCACGAGCCTCCTTCTCCTTCGCCTCGTCCCAGTAGCCCTTGGTCTCCATCCACTTGCGCAGGCGTGTCAGCGGGTTGTCCCGGCGCTTCCAGTCCTCCACTTCGACGCGCGCCCGGTACGCGAACGAGTCGTCGGATGTGCTGTGGTGCGAGACCCGGTACGTCATGGCCTCGATGAGCACGGGCTTGCCGCCGTCTTGCAGCGCGATCTCGCGCGCCTTCTTGGTCGCCTCACGTACGGCCCAGATATCGTTGCCGTCAACGCGGATGGTGTCGATGCCGTAGCCAATACCGCGGCTGGCAATGCCGTCACCGCGGTACTGCTCTAATGTCGGTGTTGAGATGGCATACCCGTTGTTGCGGCAAATGAAAATGACGGGGCAAGATCTGGTGGCGGCAATGTTCATGGCGGCATGGAAATCACCCTCGCTGGCAGCACCTTCTCCGAAAAAGACGGCGCAGACACGAGCTTTGGTTTCGGGGTTTTGAAGTTTCTGTAGCTTGAGAGCATATCCTGCACCGGAAGCCTGTGGCAGTTGTGTGGCTAGAGGTGATGAGATGGTGTGCTGTGTCCGCTGTTAGTATGACTTCATATCAAGGTCGTGAAGGTCAAGAATACATACCACATTGAGCTTCTTGCTGCCGTAGTGGATGGGCATATTTCTACCTTTACCAGGGTCATTTCTGTTGGAAAATAATTGCGACATGAATTCCTTGGTCGTGAAGCCTCTCTCTTTGAACAAGCCCTGCTCACGGTATTGGCAAAACACGACGTCTTCTGGGTCGAGCACACTTGATGTGCCCACGCTGACGGCCTCCTCGCCGGCGCTGACCATGTAAAAGCTGAGACGGCCCTGTCGCTGGGCGTCAAACATGATCAGGTCCATGATGGAGATGAACAGCATATCCTTGTACAACTTGACGACCTGCTCCTCCGAAATGTCCGGCTCAAAAGAGCTGTCCACAACCACGCCATGCTGGTCCACCACTCGGTACGTCGGCAAGGCCTTGTACGATTCTGGGTTCTCAAAGTTGAGGCTGTGCGTGAAGGCGCTCTTGAGCGCGCCTGGGAACTGGACAAACTCCGAGTTGGGACGCTGCGAGACGCTGCTGGCGGCGCGCACGGAACCAAGGGCGGCCCCGTTCGACCTGGCGATGGCGGCCATTGCCCCCCGTAATTGTACTCTTTGCAGCATGCGAGCCTTCATTGTGTATCCGAGATTGTCTTTGGTTTCGCAGAAAGGCCAGCGAGAATATGGTAGAGCAGGAAAAAAAAACAAAAAGTATAGTTGTAGAGGTTGCAGCGGCACAATAGCTCAAATTCTGGGGAAATAGTGTCGCGCTCGGCTGTTGGTGGTTGTTTTGGGGTTGAACTGGGGAAGCCGAAGCAGAGCGACGTCACTTTGAGCCGACAGAACCCGTTAAGCCGTCGGCCGCAAGCTTGGGCAGCACTGCCTTTCATCAGCACCGAAATGCACAATGCCGCTGTCAGTGGGCTCACCAAGCTAAAATACCTACGCGCGTGAGGCCTGTTTTCTGACAGGGCACTGGACACGTTTTCCGCTTAACATATAATTTTCCCCTGTCACAACGCTGTTGACGTCTCTGACATGGCTTATAAAAAATATAAATGTTTTTTAACACGTAGTGGCAACCTGACAGCGTTGTGATAGGGGAAAATTATCTGTCAAAAAAGCGACCTGTCTAGTACCCTGTCCAAAAACAGGCCTCACTCGCGTATGTATGAAACAACGGCTTGACTGTTGAGTCTATACTATACCTCGCATCATTTCTAGATGCACTTGTATGCCTCGCCAGTTACTCCCCCGTTTGTTGTGTACCTACTAAGCTATCGGAGTAAGTGCACAACAAGTGTGGCGGGCAGCTGGCGGCGCCGTTTGCAAGGCCACAGTTGTACAATGTGATGCAAAAACAACAACCATTCTGCAGTGAATGCCTATCAGCTACATGAGATATGAGGAGGCAGATTTCCCTTTGTAAACTTCACAATCGTCGCGATCCATTCCACGATAATCAGTGCTTCGCCGAGTCTGCTCAACAATGACCAGCTCCAAAACTGGCCTCTTGCTGACAATTCTGGGTGTCTTTGTGGTTGTTGGTCTTGCGGGCTTTGGCTTACGGTTTCTCATTACAAAACTGGTCAACACGGTGCAAACCACGAAGGCAAGGGACGAAGAAGAGGCACAGCAACAAGAAGCAAACGAGCCCGCCAGTTCAGAGGCTGCAACCACATCCAGCAACGAGCCACCGGCGGAAGCACAGCCAGCGGCGGCGGTAGCAGGCACAAACTGACGATCTCGCGCCAATCAATTCAGCCAAAACTGGTCCAGACAACTTTTGGTCTTGAGCAATTTCTTCAGGCTGTTTAGAATTACTTCCTCAAAAGCTCCATTCGTAATCAAGATCGTCAACCATACCCGATCGAGGTGAGCCGGGACACCGGGACGAGACGGCAGTGGAGCCCACGCATATCAGTACAAAATTTCCAGCCACGACGCCGACCCATAACCTTTTGCATCACCGGGGACGCTCAATCAGCCGAGTCGAACACAAATCAACATCATCGCCACCCCAAACCACAACAATGGCCTCCAGACACGGCCTGCGGACGTGCGCCGCTTCCATCCGCGCCGCGGCTGCGCGACAGCAGCCCATACGCCCACTCAGCACGACGGCCGCACGACGCCACAACAACGAGCCGCAGCAGCAGCAAGGCCGAACCACCCATTTCGGCTTCGAGACGATTAATCAGGAAGAAAAGGCCGACCGCGTGGCTGGCGTCTTTACCAGCGTAGCCGAGTCCTACGACAAGATGAATGACCTCATGTCCTTTGGCGTCCACCGCCTGTGGAAGTATGGACCCTCCCCGTTTTCTTCAAGAGCTCGAGGTGGTGAACCGAGGCAAATGCTAACCACGTTTCTCTCCTTGACAGGGACTACTTCGTCTCCTCGCTGAACCCCGGCGCGACGACGCCCCTCGGCCGCCCGCAAAGGGTCCTGGACGTCGCCGGCGGCACCGGCGACATCGCGTTCCGCATCGTCGAGCACGCGCACAGCCAAAACGCCAACCCCAACATCCACGTCACCGTCTCCGACATCAACCCGGCCATGCTCGACGTTGGCCGCCAGCGGTCCCTGCGCCTTCCCGCCTCACACCAGGCGGCGCTGTCCTTTCTCGAGGCCAACGCCGAGCGCATACCCGCCAACGTCCCCGATGCCTCGCTCGACCTCTACACCGTCGCCTTTGGCATCCGCAATTTTACCGACATATCCGCCGCCCTGCGCGAGGCCTACCGCGTGCTAAAGCCCGGCGGTGTCTTTGCCTGCATGGAGTTTAGCAAGGTCGGCAACCCGCTGCTCAATGCCGCGTACAAGCAGTGGTCATTTAGCGCCATTCCGCTCATCGGCCAGCTCGTCGCTGCCGACCGCGACAGCTACCAGTACCTCGTGGAGAGTATCGAACGATTTCCCAGTCAGGAAGAGTTTCGCGACATGATCAAGGACGCCGGCTTTGACGTGGCAGGCTGTGGGTACGAAAACTTGACGGGTGGCGTTGCTGCCATTCACAAGGGCATCAAACCTCTGAAATAAAATACCTCTCTGCCGTTGAGGGCCAGGGGAGACACGAACCTGAATTAATACGAGAGAGGGAAAGAATGGTACTCTGGCGACGCAACGGGCTCGTGGCTTTCATTACATTATTGCTTATCTTTGAGCTATTTTGGGTGTCCATGTATAAAATGTAAAATAAATCAGACATCATAATCAATTAAAAGCCACCACCGAACATACAGCGAATGGATATATATTCCGATTTTTCGTTTAAACAAAATGACTCTCTCTGGCTAAACTCCATACAACTTGGGGCAAATATGAAGGCAAATCTCCAATGCCACCGGCCGGAAAATATGTCCGCAGCATCAAGTACAAGTACCAGGAATTACCCATCCTATTCTTTTCCCTCCTTGCAGAAACCAATAGTACAAACACACTTGTCCTCTGAAATCCTGTCTCCGCCACTGCCAGATATCAAATTAACCTTCTTCTCAATTGCTTAGAACATTATGTTACTTTGTTACTCCGCAGGACCGCCAGCATCGCCCTTGCCTCCACGGCCGCGGCCGCCACGACCACGGTCGCTACCTCGGCCGCCACCTCGACCACGACCACCGCGGCCACCACGAATGTTGCTTTCGGAGTCACTGGCTCCTCCAGCACTGCGATATCCACTAGCACTGGCGCCGCCGCGCGCATTTCCGCCCCAGTTTCCAGCACCACCGCGGGTCCCGACTTTAGTCTCGCGGGGTTGGAAGATCTTCACCCAGGGCTTGGTACGGTCCTCCGAGGTCCTCGTTTTGACAGAGTCGGGCAGATTGTCCATGGCGGTGTCTCTGTCGGCGATGTTCTTGAACTGAACAACCTTGTTAGAGCTACCCCACTTGTCAATCTTGACAATCTTGGCCTTGTCCTCATCGCTGAACAGGTCTCGGCACTGCTCCTCAGTGCTAACGTTCATGATGAATAGACCAATAATGTCAGAGGGGACAATCTTGGGAGCGGGAGATGTGATGGGGTCAGGGCCACCGTTGGCAGAGGCGGGAGTCTTCTCCACGTCCTTGTTCGCATTGGCCTGGCTGGGTTGGGGAGTAGCCGGCTTGGCGGGCGTGGAACCCTTGGCCTGCTTCTCGTGCTTTTCGGGAGCCGGACGAGAAGCAATCGCAGCAGAAGGAGGCGGTGGTGTAGGGGCACTGGCAGAAGTCGAATTGACGGGTGCGCTGGCAGTCGCGCCAGGCTGTTGCTTGGCTCCTCTATGAGAAAAGTTGAAGCCCTGAGCGCGCATCTCGGTTCCAATGCGACCGTCCTGGATCTCCAGGACAAGGTAGCCGAAAGCAGCATCAGCCAAGTTGAAGTTCCACATGTTTTTGAACGCGCTCTCGTCCACCTGTCCAAGGGCAGCATGGCCGCTGACCGGGCCGCCGAAGGGGTTTCCGCCAGCAGCGGTAGTAGGCATTTTCTCGACAATCTGAAGTGCATTCTTTAGGAGATTTTGCTGAACTTCGTTTTGAGCAATGGCAGGCTCAACCTCGCCCTTGACAGTCTCCCAGACGTCGTTGAAAGAAGCCTTGGATGCAGCAAGTTTGCCACGATAGTGATCAAGGGTAGGGTTGACGCTGAATTCGTTGTAGGAGCTTCCGTAACGGAAGTGAAGGCCAGCCGAGACGGAGAAGTCAGCCTTGAGTGCAACAGAAAGCTGGTTTAGGATACCCTCTCTCGCAGGAGAGGCGTGGGTGATGAAGACGCGAGTTTCAGTTGGATCATAAACCCTATGTGCGGTATCTACCAGTTCACCCATTTGAAGAAGGGTAGTCCACATGGTACCTTGTCCGCCAGCGATGGTGGTACGGCCCTCTCCATTATCGAAGAGCTTGTGCATAACAACGGCACCACCAAGGCCGAGCAGACGCAGCTTGACACCGCCAATCTCTAGCAACATCGACCTAGCCTCGTCAATGATGTGGAGGTTGTGGACTTTGTATTCGGAGGATCGGAACTTTTCAAGAACACGAACATCCTCGCAAGCACCCCAGACAGTGTGAACGGGGACTTCAAGCTTGAGCTCGCCGCTGAGGAGAAGAGGGAGCTCGGAAAGAGGCAGGTCGTTGGCGGGGAATCGAGACTTGATGGGCCCGGGGCCGCCTTGTTGAATGGCCTTCTTGACGGGCTCTGAGATGAGAGGGGAATACTGAGCAACGTGCTTCAGTGTCTTCTCGACGATTCTATCCAAAGATGTATCATCGTAGAACCCGAAATCGCCAGTGTGGATGATGTAGTTGGCGCGGGCCTGCTTGGCAAGTTCGTTGAGCGATCGCAGGTTACCTTGAAGCATTAACTTTGCATTCGCAGGAGACAAACGGGGATATGATAAGTACCTCGAACGTCGGCGATGCAGAGAACTCGCATGGGACCGGTCTGGATGACACGACCCTGATTCGGCAGAAGAGGCGCAGCTCCCGGCTGGGAGACACTGCCGTTCTGCAGGTAGCCTTGGTTGTTGTATGTCCTAGGCTGGTTCAAATTAGCCATGGTGTTTTGCGAACGTTGCTGGCCCCATTGAATGGGGACTTGGTTTGGGTTTGTCGGTGCCGGCGGCCGGGCAGCATAGAATGGTTGACTCATGGCTGTTTTTCTCGATGTCGCGAAAGCAGCTGCAGATGCGGAGGTGAAGAAAAAGGACGAGGGAAGAGAGAGCGAAGAGAGCAAGACCAATGTAGTCGCAGGAAGGGTGAGAAAAACAGGTACAAACGAATCCGTTTGCTGTATCACCTGCTGGGCTGGCAGCTCGTTACAGCTGGCGGCACGCGTTTGGAGGCGGCCCCGACATGCACAGCAGCTGCAAGGCAACCAAGATAGGGGACAAGGAGCAAACACTTACCGCGGCCATTCTATCGCAAGAAAACAGATGCGCTCAGAACTGGTATCGTAAAACAGGGGTCGGGAATCAAGGACGACTGGCGATAGTTAGGGAGGATGCGACGCCGGAAAAAAAGGACGAAATGGCGGAAGATGGGGGTTGGAGATGAGGCGAGGAGAATATAACGTTGCGACGCGCGCTGCAGCAAAGGTGGTTTTAGTGCAGAGTGAGTGCTGCTGCTTTTGCATGGAACCAAGGCCGCCAGACTGGTACCGGTGCCTTGAACCAGTGCTTGAACCATGGTCGCGAGCTCCTATGGGTCCCTGGAGATAATTTTCTGGCCGCCAGCGGCAGGACTGGAAAATGGGCTGTGGGGCATTTGAGCGGACACACAGCAGGAACTTGACCAATTAAGCTCAAGTCGTGATGGCTCGTTGACAATACATCTATTTATATTACATGTTTGGATATTTGATTAGCAGAACAGAGAAGAGAAAAGTGATAGTTAATGAAGGCAGTTGTTGTCTTGCTGGACTTTCACGGTAGAGTCGTATCACCGTCAGGTAACTCACCAGCTCATTTAACTCCCTACCGAGATACTTTACTACCTGTAGCCGCCTAATCATCTATAGCCAACTATAATAATACCTTTCATGCATGATTGTATAATGCTTCACTGAAAGTTATTCACCTCGACATCTAAGTAATCTCTGTCTTGCAGTATGGACCACCCTATGCTACTCGGTGCCAGTCCAATAACCCTGTCTCAGTCAGTCATCGTACATATAAGATATTTGAGCTACCATTATATTATAATATACGAACAGCATCTCTCCTCAACAACCATCACACACTACCCAGCTAGGCGGACGTTATTCATACACATTCCACTTCTATCGTGGCTGTCTAATTGCCCTGAACGAGACCTCTGAGGGTTAGCCCTCGTTAATATCTCACGTAAAAAGTAGTGTAATTGTTTAACAAGATGATGTACTCGTTGGCTTAGTCGCCAGCCAACAGACTTTTGCGACGGGCTGCACAGACCAAATGGGCACCATGGCCGCTCGATTGTTACCTCACCCACAGCGCCTTAGCGCTATTGAATCAAAGAAGGACTAATTAGAACAGATAATGACGGTAGGTATTTAGGGAGAAAGTCACTTGACGTCTAGGCCCTACTATTTGAACAGGCTGGAAACAATGGCCTAGTTCTCTCAGGGGAAGAATTTTCCAGGACTTTTTTCTTGGCCACGGCGGTTCACAATCAGTGATCTAGTACCTACCTAGGGAAGCGCCCCAAATTGTTCAGTGCCACGTTCTTTTAGATAGCATCAGACCATCAACTAAGTCTGTCACCAGATACCACCGGCCGTCTGGTCCTTCTCTATGAAGCAACCTGGGTACTGCGATTCTTGTTTCACTAAAAAGTTACTCCTTTGAACAAGTGTTATTAAAGAGGTGTTCAGAAAACGGGTTCAATGCTTTCGCTTTATGGTACGTACGTCCAACTTTTCACAATAGCAGTGGTGATAACTGGTACAACCATGTGAAAGGAGTGCGGGACATGGATCATTGAAAGGGAGTCGAGAGGTTTTCCTGAAAGTCGTAGATATAAACTCGTGCAATACGTCATTGGCCTCGTACTTAGTGACGGACTACAGCCGCATGCAAAATCCTAGTCTAGAAAACCGGTTGCTTTGAAAGATAAGTGAAGCTGACTTTTTTTTTCTAGAAGAGATATTAAAACGCATAGATTAACAAGCGGGATATGTTGCGAATTGCTTAATACGAGCTCAATACCGTTTTGTTAGCAAGCAATGTTACAGGGAGTGGGAATCGTGAGAGTCACAATTCGCGCCGATTGCAAAGAATGGGTGGTGGTACGATAACGTTCAAGACCGTCTTTCCGGGAGATGGGCTTGCGCCGAGCAATTTGAAAGACAATGCGGCAGCCTAACGAGCTAACTAGGTTTATTAATCTTGTGATGTAAGTTCAGTTGCATTCTTGGCTTGACCATCTTGTTAGGGCGAAACAAACTTCAGACGGGTACCTAGGTACCTAGGTAGGTAGGTAGGTAGGTAGGTACCTAGGAACATTCCTATCCTCATGGTATCCTTGACCTTGGCACCAAATTTGTTGCCTCATCGAATTCAGCCACGTGACGTGGGCGCGCTTGGGGAAAGTCAACTGCAAACCACAGCACAATGATAGGTACATGCAGCACAGTGTGGGGCGCACGAAAGCTTGCTGGCATTTGCCCTGTTTCCTTGGCCCGTCGGCAAGCCCAGTCAGGTACCACTCAACCCACTGTACCAGTGACTTCTCCAAGGTGCTGCGCATGAGACAAGCCTCCAAGCACAGGACTATCGCTGTCATTTACCAGTCTGGCGCAGGACCTCAAATCGCCCACCAAAGCCTGCACTCGACCGCTCCGCCACAGCATCTACCAAGCGACGGCCCTGTCTCTACCGTCCTCTCTCTTCCCATTTGCTGCAGTGCGCTCTGCAACAGCCGTACATGACCTCCGCCGTACTCAGGAGTCGTCGGGTTCTCTTGACCCCCATTTCGACGACCGCGCCACTACGCGCCGCCCGCATCCCAGTATCCCTACATGCAGGACAACAGTGAATAGCCACGACTATCTGCTGTACTGTGTGAGACAAGACATCCGTGGGGACTTCTGGCCGTTCGGCCTCGTCTTCGGCCAATATGCCACCCTCCACAATGGTACGTACTAATGGCCCACGCTGCCTTCACCATCACCACTCGACTTTGCTGCCATCCCCTCACTAGCAGACACTCGAGCCTCGGAGATGTTCTAGCGCCTTCCTCTGGGCATTTCCCGCGCGTTACTAACAACATCTACAGACCCAAGGGCCACAGTCCAGATTGGGCGACAACTTCCCCGTCAAACGCGGTCATACGACCCAGCTCTCGATATCCGATCCCAGCCATCACGTCACTGAAGCGATCGGGACCTTGTACGGCGACGAAGACGACTCAGCCCAGGAAACTGGCCGGCCGCTCAGCTACATCAACGACGGCTACCAGGAGCAAATCGGCGCGCCCAGCTCCAACTTCGGATCGCACTCCAATACCAGCAGGCAGCCGCCCAAACGATCCGCTACCGATTACTCAAATGCGGCTCAAACCCCATATAATGACCAATCGCTAAGAAAATCCCCCGCCTTACAACTGCCCAACTCGATGCACCGATCGAGCTCTCTTGAACAAGGCCAACGTGGACAGCTTCCGTCCGTGCCGTCCTCTTCCGTATCGCTTCGAGACGTCCAGGCGGATGCTTCCGGGTCGCAGTTCCCGCTCACAAATATTGTCAACCCAAATGATATTGCTCAGGAATTGAGCAACCTGCAGGCGTTGCGTCGGTTGTCCATGGATGTCGGCAACCGAGCGGATCCGGATATGCCCATGACTTTATCTTCAATCCCCTCAATAGCACCAACCGGAAACGACGACGAAGGTGACCCATCACGGCTACTTTGGGTACCGGCTAGAGTTCATCCAGAGTTGGCTCCGTCAGAATTCAAATCATTCTTGGAGAATAGAGTCAACTCCATCCGACGACGCTCTGGAGATAGCCATCTGTCTGTAGATGGAGACAGGGACAACGGCGAATCGAGCTCCTTGCGGCGTCGAAAGTCCATGCTTTCTCACCAAATAGACAACTCTAGTGGCTCAGGGGCAGAAGGCTATCTGGACGGTGCCGAGCGATTGGAACGGCAAAGATCACGACGGGGTAATCTCACGCACGAACTCAGTCTAGAGGAGCTCGTGAATGACCCTGCTGGGGTCGTACAGAGACTCTCCCAAGAAACACAGGCTCAGTATGCCGACTCGTTAAATAACCGAGATGACATGCCAATTCTGCCCATGGCTCCTGGCATGGGCTTGCGTCGATCAACACGAACGACCTACCGCAAAGGAGGGAGCCTTCGAAACAGTAATCGAGCAGCTAACTCACGGCGTATTGCAGGCCACCAGCAGGAGAGTGCGAGTCTACCAATGGTCAGTCCTCCTCTACCCGATGCTCCAAGGGGCCACGGCTTAGAACGAGTCAAATCGGAGCCGAATCATGAAAACTTCTCAAGACCAAACCGTGCTGTTCGTCGCCAAAATAAATTTTCGCAAGAGCCACACAGCACACTTGCGGCCCTGCAAGACACAGCCCCAAGCGCCAACTTTTCCAACGATCCAGAGGAACCTGGCGCGAAACAGACTACATCAGCTCGCGACCCGGCTTCACCCCCGACCATCTCTATCACGGAACAGCCAACTACTCCGCCAACTTCACCAACCTATGACGCGAAAAGCGTTGACACGAATAGCGTGGATTCCTTCCCACAAAGATCGTCATCCCAAGGAGACGCTTCGCGCGATGATCCTCAGCTCGACACTACCAAGGAAGAGGTTTTATCGCGCAGTAGTCGCGATGCGGGAGTGAAGGATGGCAACAAACTATCTGCAGCGCAACAGCAACAGCAGAAACCACGCTCCCAATCTCAACAGCACCAAACTCAACATCAGCAGCAGCAACCTCATCACCCCAAAACTCAACAGACCACACAGCACACTCACCCTCAGTATACAGCAAAGTCGCCGCCACCAACACCTCAGTCACAAACTCTGAGTGAAGGATTAGCCTCGAATCCCAGCCTGCCGGGCGGCGGCAACACCAGAACTGATGCCCTGACATTCATTCCTACCCTTGGTCCAGATGAACGCAAGAGCGAAAAGAAGTCCAAGAAGGACAAAGATGATGACGGTTCTAGCTTCAAGTCAAGCGGCGCCTGGAAGTGGCTCAAAGGAGTGACTGATGACAAGAAGAAAGACGAAAATAAAAAGTCGAAGGCTAAAGCATCGGCGCTGGCAGAAAAGGTTCAAGATAGCGCTCGATTGGATGTCCTTCAAACCTCGATCGACAAAACTGTTCCCAAGGGACGTGAGAGTCTTGTACTTGACCGTGACTCCTTTGAGATCAAGCTACAAGAAGAGAGGAAAAAGGAGAGTCTGAGAAAGGCCGAATTGAAGAAGGAAAAGGACGGAAATATTTTTTCGTCAATATTTGGCACTGGCAAGAAGAAGGAAGAGAAGGAAAAGGAAAAGAGTACCAAAAAACACTCTTTGCTACATGTGCCGGACGAACCCATCTACAAGCCGCTACAGCCAGACGTTGACTATAACTGGACCAGATTCCCTCTCCTAGAAGAGCGTGCGATCTATCGCATGGCTCATATCAAGCTAGCTAACCCCCGTCGACCACTTCTAAGTCAGGTTCTACTCAGTAACTTCATGTATAGCTACCTGGCTATTGTACAGGCTATGCATCCGCAGATGAATATCCCCATTTCTCCACAGCAAAAGCGCTTGGAGGAAGAGGCCAGACGGAAGCAACAAGAACAAGAGTATCTGGCGCAACAAGGCACTGGTGAGGGTGACCAGCAAGACATGGACCAGTATAATTTCGACTATCATCGGGTATGTGCTCGATAATATCGCCACGCTTTGGTACCAAACTAATGAGGATACATGATAGTCTACAATCCAGTACGCCGAGTCCGGCAACGATGGGTCTGTTGACTACGTCGACGACTCTCAAATTTACGAAGATGACCACGGAGACAGCCAAGATCAAGACTATGATTACGGCGAATCCAAGTCATATGATAAAGGAGAGAAGGACTATTATGAATACCGTGAAAGTTAAGCCATCAGTCGGCCTCAATTTTAAGCTGTGGATTGTGTAACGTCTGCATTCAAGAAAATCGCCTCGCCATGAGTAAGCGATCATGGACGAGAGCAATTTACTGCAACGGGCACGGTCGCAGCGCGAGAGTCAAGAACGCTGCTTACTGTACCTCGCTCCTTGGAGCTTCCATGCATCTGCCGGAGTTTTTTGTTTGCTTTGATTTCTCGCTCTTTGTCAAATAAGGGTTATATATCAATCTTCGAGGCCCCTTCCTCTACCAATTGAGAACTTCAAGATTCGGCGTAATTCATTAGGCGGAGGTGGATATTCAGTGTATTTTCATGTTTCAATTTAATATCGTTTTCTGAAGCAAGACTTTCATTTCAGTCGTCTTTTCGTTGTTGGCGCTGGCAGGAAGAAGGTTAACGGCATTGCGAGGAGTCAACTTCTTAAAATATTCATGTTAGTACGAAGCACATAAATATGGCAGTCACAGATAGTTCATATATATATAATGAGGAATGTCATGATCATCAAACTTGGAGTGACAACAGGAGCATTGGACATGCAGCATCCTCCTGACCTGACCCGCAGCAGGCCGCCGGCTCAACTCGCCAACAGGATTGTAGTATCTTGTCAGCGAACATGCCGAGTCGATGCTTGGGCATCGTCGCAATGGTGAATGGGAGAAAGACCCACACGTACTCGAACGGCTACATGAGTTGGAAACAGGGAGCTTTGGTGATTTGGCACAGGAGCCTTGTATTAATTGCAAGTGTTACCACGGCGAATAAATGTACAGGGCCGAGGAATCTATTTCTTGGGCTCCTCTTTCTTTTCCTCCGGCTTCGGCGTAGGTAGCTTGAAAGATTCCGGTTTACGGTCCTCTCCCTTGCCCACCTGCTCCCACACACTTGAACCGCCCTCGAAGTTGCGGAAAGCTTGAGTGAGCTCTAGAGGCTCCGTGACGATGCGCTTCTTCTCCTCATCGTATCGAATCTCGGTATATCCGGTCAAGGGGAAATCTTTGCGAAGGGGATGGCCCTCGAAACCGTAGTCGGTCATGATTCGGCGGAGATCGGGGTGGCCGGTGAAGTAGACGCCGTACAAGTCGTAGACTTCACGCTCGTACCAATTGGCGCCATCAAAGAGACTAGTGATGCTGGGAACAGCAGATGTTTCGTCCGCATAGGTTTTGACTCGAATGCGGGAGTTGTGGCGGACAGAGAGTAGGTTGTACACTACCTCGAATCGCTTGTCGCGGGTTGGATAGTCGGCAGCAGTAACGGTGCTGACCTGCGTAAATTCGGCCGAGGTGTTGTCTAGAACGACTATCAGCCTCGTTCTCGATTGACTATGCGCAGTTATACAAACACTTGAGAAATGTAAAGGTGGGAATGACGCCAGAAGGAGAAATGTAGATGGTAAGCTCGTCCTTCCAGACGGAGAACTGCTGGACGTATTTCGGAAGGCAACCCATCAACCAGGCGCCATAGCGGTGCATGTTGTCGGCCTTGCTTTGGTACTTGTCGGCGGGGTTGACAATTGGCGCCTTGAGCTCGCCAATATGGTCACGGGGGGCCATTCTCATGTTCTGGGCGTCCTTGGGCATCGCGACAAGCTTCGGCGCGGAGGTCGAGACGCGGCGGGTTGCTTGGACATGGCGACCCTGGAGAGACTCCTTTCCGGGCCTCAAAAATGAAGCCAGCGAGCGGCTTCTATTCATTTTCGTTGCCATGGCCTTTTCGGTGTCTTGCTACAGCCAATTGACAAATAGATAGTTAGGCGTGGTGGTTTGCAACGATCAACGGCTTCGAATCGGTCCCCGGGTCTCATTAACAGCTCGCTCGTAGGGGAAGCCTCCGGAGATCTGCCGGAATTAGTAATGTACTTGACTGTAGTGGTTCAAGTCATGAAAACACAAGTACTGCACTAATATTTTTGAGCAAGCGGGTCAATACAGATATCACGTGAGAAGGAAATTAGCCTAGTCGGGCGTCGGGCGCTAGTAAGTAACTTTTACGGAGTAGAGCAAGAACCTGAAGTTCAACACTCACTCTCTCCTCGCTCTCTATTAATAATCCTTCACTTCGACGCGCTCCTTCCTTACTTTCCACGTCAGCCCCCCATACCGCTATCATGGCACCGCAAGATTCAATTATAGACGAGGAGGAAGAGGTCTGGTGAGTTTTCCCTCTTCGCGCTCCAGGGGCAATACGAGGATGCCAGCCGACGCCATCCTCGCGCCACTCGGTCGCTTCTTTGACTAACGGCCGCCCACAGCCCTCTTTGCATCGAAGAATTTGACCTTTCGGATAAAAACTTTCGACCTTGTCCCTGCAACTACCAAGTATGTACTTGACCACAAATCCCAGCGACCCTTTGAAGACGGAGCAGCTTACAAGTGCTCTACAGGTGTGCCAGTTCTGCTTCAACAACATTAAAAATAATATGAATGGTCTATGTCCGGCATGCCGACAACCTTATAATGAGAATACTATCAAGTGGAAAGTGGTTACACAAGAAGAGTATGTTTCACGAGGTGACTTCCATTTCAGCTGTTGCTGCTAACAACCTCCAATTAGAGTCGCGCAATTTCGCGCCAATATCCAACGGAACCAAAAGAAACGAGTGCAAGAACAACGGCAAAAGGAGGTCATGAAACGCGAGGCCGAACGGGAAAATCGCAAAAATCTTGTCGGCGTACGGGTCGTGCAAAAGAACCTGGTTTATATTACTGGCCTGGCTCCTACTGTACGCGAGGACGAACTACTCAAGACGTTGCGAAAACCCGAATTCTTCGGCCAATACGGGAATATCCAAAAGATTTCGATTAGCAATCGGAAGAGCGCCGACGGTCAGCTCCATTCACTGGGCATCTACGTCACTTTTGAAACCCCGGAGGAGGCTCTGCGCTGCATCTCGGCGGTCCATTGCTCGAATAACGGTGACCGGGTTCTTAAGGCGCAGCACGGTACTACCAAATACTGCTCCGCCTGGTTGAAGAATGAGAAATGCAATAACCCGGGCTGCATGTTTCTGCATGAACAAGGCGACGAGGAGGACAGCTATACGAGACAGGATCTGTCCTCGATGAATAGCATTCATACCCAGCGCCCTCTTGCTGGCGGCAGCAGCTCTTCCCGAGCTGCCTCACGCCAATTTTCTCAACCAACGCCACCACCAATGGCAGTTCCTGTTTCTGCCCCCGCACCAGTTGCGCAAGCCATGGCTCGGTCACTGAGCAAAGAAGAATCGGAAACTGGTGATTCTTCTGCTCTTCCGTCGTCTGTCAGCTGGGCCAGGCATCCGGTGCGTAGTCGAAGAGGATCGTGTGCCACCAGTGGTGCTACTTCTAGCCCTGCCGTCTCCGCGTCAGTTCCTGTCACAACAGAAAAGCAAGAGCCCCCAGAAATCCCAGAGCCCTTCACGTCGAAGGCGTCATCTTCCAAATCCAAGTCATCACCGAGCGAGGCCGAGCAGGGCAAGCGCCGTCTCTCTTCGACCCGGCCTACTCCTGCAAGCATTTACATGAGGGAAATGCTCGAAAACATTGCGCTGCAGTGTTCCCTACCTCTTTGGGACGTGGACCCTGATGAAGACCTAGGCCCCCCAATGTTCGATCTTCGCGGTGGTGAGAAACGCCGGGCGATGCGGGAAGCCCAGAAAGCTCGAGAAGCTCAAGAATCGCACGCTGACCTCGACAACCATCTCGAAGTTCCTGAAAGTCCGGAAGACGGCGTCGAAGCGGGTGGCAGCCGCAGCCTCGGTGGTGAGCCAGACGGGCTTGCTGACGGGCACGCATATGGGCAGCGACACATCACTCCTATTCAAAGAAGCTCAACCGAGGGCGTCTTTAGCCCTCCGCTTGGTAGCTCAGCTTTCGGTCTAGGCACTTCAACCCTCACTCCCAGATCTATTACTCCTCAGCAAATGGGTCTCCGTTCTCAAGCCGGGTACACTGATCAGTATCCCCCGGGCATTGGCGGGCCGAGCAACTCATTTCAGGGGCAAGGACAAGGTCACAATCGCCAGTCATCTCGATTCAACTTCGCCAACGACAGCGGCTCTTCCACCACGAACATCAAGCTAGCTGCCAATCCTCGCATCATGGCCCAACAATCCTCCATGATGCCGAGCTCGTTCCAGTCTCAGAGCAGCCAGTTCTACGCCAACTCGATACCTGCCCCCCCACCTGGCCTCAAGTCTACGGGAACCCCGCCGAGCATGTTTACTTCAGGCTTCGGCTCGTCAGGCTACAATGTCCCCAAGGATAACACGAATGATATGTTCCAAAGTCTTATTGGACGAACCCGTGGGAACAATCAAACCCACGAATCAGGAAAGCGTGAGTCTATTTCATCTTCTTTGTCAAGCCAGTTTCCATCCACCACCTCTACCCCAGCTCCTGCTTCCGGTCTCCTTGCATCGCTCTATGGCAACCATCCTGGAGCTTTCCAAGACTTCGCCTTGAAGCAGAAGAAGAAGGGAAAGAAGCATAGACATGCTAACACTTCCTCCTCGGGGGGGAGTGGCTTAGTAGATCTTGCAGACCCGAGCATCCTCCAAGCCAGAATGCAGCACCAAACGCAGAGCAATGCCGGAGCCGGACAGGGGCTGTTTAACGGCCAAAACCAAGGTGGGTACAACAACCCCAACATGATGTACAATGCCGGATATCCTCGTTGGTAGTTGGCGCGGGGTCCGGACCATAACTGCTCTTCTCTCTTCTTTTATTGCCTTGCTTTTGCACGTTGGACTTTTGGTCAATTGCGGTGGCGTTTTGTGCTTTCAAAATACGGTGATAGCCTGATCACTGTCGCCCGAGAGGTACAGGACAGCATTTGATCAAGCAGGCGTTTGCGATGTCGTGGTTACTCAGGGCGAGAACCAGAAGGCTTTCCAACATGGCGTGGCGCCATTTCCTACTTGTGTGACATGCATCACTCGATCGTTGGTGCCGCCACAGAAGAGTTTCGTTGTTTCTATATATTATACGTTGGAAGGCCCGAGATGGGCAGGACAAGTACGGTCTTTGGGTTTGGGGTCAAGTCAGGCAAGCCATCATCATCCACAATTCCCCCATGTACGTTGACAGCTCGCCTGAGCCCCTTTGGGGCGTCGATGGACGAAATATAGCACCAATGCCCCTTTATTCTTATCCTTTTTTTTGAATTATGTATACTGTGGAACACGATGATGGAAGCCGTAGCGAGACTTCCTACTTTTGTATCTAAACTTGGCGTTTCGTAGCATCTGGCATTACCGCTCACATCTCCCTCATGCTTATGAGAAATCATAGACTAACATTGCGCTGCTAGATGACGGCTTGCCATCTTTGGCAGATGCAACGATCTCAGTCGATGCTCTGGTGGCGGATGAGCCGGGCGACTTGGCTATGTCCTTTGACGGATATAACACGACGCATTCGCACGGACACCCCGCGCCCAGTCGAAGCTATGCCTCTACTTCAGACAGTATCACTGGTCATGGTCACCCCTCTCCCGAACCCGGCGTGAGACGACCCCCTCCAGGATTTGAGCTGAGATCATCAATCACCTCTAAAGAGCCCATAGTGGCACCTGTCTCGGCTCCTACGAAACCCGAGTTGCTGAAACGGCCGACTTTAGCAGATGAAGAGTTCCCTGCACTCGGCTCTCCAAAGGTCTTCAAGAACGCTTCCACTGTCTCTCCCGCTCCAAAGCTGGCCTTGCCCAATACTGGCATTTTCCAAGGGAAGCAAGCTGCAGGCAAGAAGCCAGAGACCAAGAATGGCGCAACTGACGGTCGTCGCGGCTCCTTGATCAACGATACTGAGCTAGAAGAAAAAGCGTCCAGCAAGGCCGTTTCAGCGACACCCAGAACGAAATCAAAGACGCTTAGGGTCATGACGCCGGCCAGGATCGAGTCCCCCGTTATCATGTCACCCGACATGTCGCGGATTGTTCCCATTGGACACCGACCGGAGACACCCGCGAGCGAGACTGTTAGCGACAGTACATCTATTGTTTCGGCGTCTGTCCCGGCGTCCCGTCCCGGCTCTCCTCCACTCGTCGGCAGCGCTCCCATCCGTGCGACAACTAAGAGCTGGCAGCGCAAGCTGCGCAAGGATGCCCTGAGACAGGATACCAAGTCCATTACCGAGGCGGCTGTTACTGATGAAGCTGATCATGCACCCGTACTTGGTCGTAAAAAGAAGCAGAAGAAGGAGAAGCCCGTAAAAGAGAAGCCTGTCCCTACAGCAATTGCATCAGAGGCTGAAGACTCCAAGGCAGTCCCCAAAGCTACGCCACAAGGCGACGAAGCAGCCCCGGAGAAGAAATCAGAACCCGCTCCGAACAAGTCTGCAAGGGCTCCAGAGAAGACTGTGTTGGTGCTTCCGCAACCGCAACCTCCGGCACCGACAGTGCAAGACTCCGCACCAGAGGAGGATGAGCCCACTGCTCCTCCTCAAGGTCCCTTCACTGTTTTCCAGGACATCGTGTCCAGTCTCTGGACTGCCCGGGTTGAGGAGTTGAGTCTCTTCAAACTCATTGTTGGTTCGGCTTCTGCTACTAGACAACAAGTCAGTGACAGCACACCGGGTGCCTGCAAGGACATTGGATGCAAATGCGGGGAAATTCAGTCTGAGGACCTCGCAGTCCTTGAGTTTGGTAAGCCCGTCCGCAAGCAATGCCGCGTAGATGGAAGCCGTATGCTCCTCACTCCCAACGGAGACTGCGTCCGCAGATTGACGGAACCGGAAGAAGATGCTTTTTTAAAGCTACAGGCCACGATAGCGCAGACAGCCGAGACTGCGGGTTCCTTCACAGCACCCCGTCACCAAAAGAGCTCCGGTGCGTTTTCGATTGTCAAGGGCCGTGCCGTCCCGAATGGGCGGCCGAATATTTTCCCCGTCGCGGCCCGACCCGAGTCGCAGGACCCTTTTGGCAAGCTGCAGCGCGATGAGGCGCTGAGTTATATCAACCAGTACGTACTGCCTCGCCTGAATCTCGGCGCGAGCGGCAAGGCGGCGGCCGCCGCCTCGGGCAGCCTGGCACCCCTGCGCGATGCTGCCGCCGCGAGCCTTAACTCGCTGGCACCGTACTTTTACGGACCCGAGGCAGCCGCCGGTGTTGGCATCTATAGCGCCATTGACAGCAGCAGCAACCCACGCGCCGTTCACGACTTTGGCGCGCCCCCCGGCCTCACTCTGGGCGGCAACGTCGACATGGTAAAGGGCGCCGGTGCACGCGGCATTGGTGCTCTGGCTCTCATGACCGTCGAGGAGGCCGAGGCCGCACTGGCAGCCACACGCAAGGACACGGAGAAGCTGGAGAAGGGCTTAAATGCGGTAATAAAGCGAAACAAACGGCTGTTGATCGGCGGCGACTAAACGACGGAAATGGTGTGTATCATATTACATGGTTTTGCACTGAATAGCGTTTTATGGATCATGTACAGATTCAGCGGTGCTTTGATATACCCATATCAGCGTGCACATTGTTCCAGGCAAATGTTGCATCGATACCATCAGACTTGTTTACTTTTTAGCGATATAGTAATAGTTGTTACATTTGGCTCTGAAAGAGTTTCCCAATGAGTGCGCCAGATTTCAAAGATGTGACCAAGTGGAAGAGTACATGTACATGATTATTAGCTGCGTCTTATTTGCAGCTCCGTATCCGGCGCCAGACATCGCTTCGCGGCTGCTGCAGCCGCCTCCTCGGTGTCGGCGTCGTTTTCGAGCGCCTTTTGCAGGCGAAACGTGAGGCGGTCAAGCACCCACTCGCTCTCCTCCTGGTCAGCCGTCAGCGGGCTGCGGCTGCCGACCCAGGACCACTGAAACGGCTGGGCCGAATGCAGGGTCCCGTCGGCGTGCAGCTTCCGCGGCTGCTCGGCCACGCCGTGGTGCGTGCGTTTCTCGTCCGGGCGGGCCTTGCGGTGCGTGTGGGCATCGCGCTCGTCCTCGCCGAGCAGCCAGAGGAACCAGGCCCACTCCTCAAACGAGTACCGCCGCGGCGTGGCCTCGCGCAGGTGCTGTGTCACAGCGCGAATCTCGGCGACGAGCAGCAACTGGAACTCGTGGCCGGTGGGCAGGGTGTCGAGCGGCCGGTTCTGGTGCTGGTGGAGGTGCTGGCCCTGGATCTGGGCGGCGTGGCGGAGGCGCGTGGCCACGCTGCGGAGATGGGTGTGGCGGGCGGCGCGCCGGCGGCGGGTGCGGAGTGTGCCGGGCTCGGCGTCGGGGTCGTCGGTACCGTGAGCGCGGCCGTCGGGCGAGACGTGCTTGGAGCGGCTGTGGCTGCGGCTGCGCCAGCGGACGAGGCCGCCGGCGTCGAGGCGCAGGCCGGGGGTCTGGTGGCTGTTGTACTGCTTGAGATGCTCCTTTTCCATCTGGGCAATTATCTTGTCACGCGGCAGAATGGTGACGGCGCCGAGCTTAATGGTCATTTCCTTGACAAACTTGACGACGGTGTTCTCGGCGTGGGAGATGAGCACGGTCATGGTCGGCAGGGCGAGTAGGGACCAAAAGACGAAGAAGGCCTTTCCGGCATTGGTGATGGGTACGCGGTCGCCGTAGCCAATGGTGGTGAGGGAGACGAAGCAGAGGTAAAAGGCGATGAAGTAGGTCCAGTTCTCCTGGTAGTCCTTTTCGGTCATCCAAAAGACGAGGGCGCCAACGAGCCACAACACGATGAGGGTGCCAAAGGAGGCCGACAGATCCATCCACTGGCGCCTCCGCAGGGCGCGGTCCTGGATGCTGCGCATGAGCTCAAACTCGACCTTGCGGCGCTCGTACTCGTTGGTGACGTGCGGGCTCAGGCTGGCGTCCTCGTCGCCGCCGGACATGGGCCGCAGGATGGTGTCGTTTCCGGTCTTGGTGAGGGTGCGGACGAGCCGGCGGCGCGTCTTCTCCTCCATGCGGATGGCGACGCGGCGGCGGGCGCGGTCCAGGATCATGCTCCGGATCGAGGCGATGACGAGACCGAGGCTGACGATGCCGATGAGGGCGTACGGCAGTAGGAGGGCGCGGGCGAGCGACCGGGTGGGGGCGAAGTCGCCGAAGCCGACGGTGAAGAGCGTGACGTTGGCCCAGTAGACGCCGTCGAGGTAGTTCCAGCCCTCGATGGTGCTGAAGATGAGGGCGCCGAGGAGCAGGTAGGTGAGGAAGAGGATCGTCTGCAGCATGAGGGTGCGCTGGCTCGACGTCAGGGCGAAGCTCTTGCTGAAGTGGCCGGTCGAGGCGCCCCAAAACGTGGCCGTCATGAAGGAGGCGACGACGAAGTACAGGATGGCGGCCCAGATGCCGTAGTAAAAGGCCTGCGACAGGACGTAGTCCTTGACGGGGTTGTCGAGACCCTGCTTCAGCGGGCCCGAGGCGGTGGCGCAGAGCGCGATGAGGCAAAAGGAGGATATGTACCTGGGGAAGCAGGTGGTCAGCAAGGGGAAAGGGGGGAATCGGATAAGATCATGGTGTATTTTGGAGGCCAACGCACCATCCGACAATGGTGATTGGCTGCGCAATGGTGAATTTGACGCGCCTCGCCATGTTGAGGAGGAGAAAGACGTTGGACACGACCGCCATGGCCAGTTGGACGGCGTTGACGGCCGTCAGCCTGTGATGGGGAAGACGAGATTAGATGCCGTACGCCGCGCGCGGGAGAGACAATTTCTTGGGCAGAGCATACCACGGCGGATCGCTGACATACGTGGCCGACTCAAAGTCGGTACCGGGCGGCATGTACTGCCGCCACGGCCGGCTCAGCGCGCAGATGCTAAAGGCCGACGCGACCGGGCCCAGAGTGCCGGCAATCATGGGAAACGCCGAGGCCACGAGCCACCATCGCCTTTTTGGTCAGACTTTTTTAGCACAGGGTGTTTTTGTTGTTGTGGGGGACGGGGGGTTGCGGGATTTGGAAGATGGCATACGTGTGGTTGAGGTTTTCCTCTTCATTCGGCTCGCTGACTTGCGCCCGGGCCGGGTCCTCGGCCTCCGGGGCGGCGGCGGCGCCCTCGGCAGGGTCCTCCTCCTGTTTGCCGGCGCCCGGGGGTGAGGAAGAGGAGGCGGCGGCGGTCATGGCAGGCTGTGGCGGAGGGGGAGATGCTATCCGGGCTTCATCTTGGTAGGATTGGGATGCATGTCTGTGGCCGTTGATGATGAATGAAGAAGGTTTCTACGGCGAGAAGTGGCACCAGGGAGACCAAATACGGCCGGTTAGTAATATCCGATCATGTCCTTTTTCTCTTTTTTTTCACAATTAGTATCTTCTTTGTCTTTATCATTTTATATACTTGTTCTCCTTGTTAATTTTTTAATTACCCTGTCTTCCTTTTACATATTTCTAATAGAGTGTGTAGACGGCATTTATTTTGGTCACCCGGCGTGAGCATGGATGCTGGGCTTGTTGCCATCGAAGCCACACCAAAGTGAAATGAAAGCTCTGTTGCGATAGCAGGGAGGCTTTTGTGGTTGTTGATAGGCTTTGCGCCAATCTCATTCTTAGTGCAGAGCGTAAAAGCATAACTAGGTACCTATTTACCTAAAAGCCAGCATTCCAGCCCCGTGCTGATACTATTCGGGGCCGCCGGCCAAGCAAGGCAACCGATACGACGTTGATAAGCGGGCGAATACACATTAATAAGGCAGATCAACCATTAGCATCATGGAAAAATCGACTGCATTGATGCTACCAAATGGCTGCCAAGAAATGATCAACTGGACGCGATGCCCTGTATTTCAGCGCCTGCAGGTCATTCATCAGCGCATCAGCGCAGGTCTTTTAGCGCCTCCCACCACACCAGTAGCTTCAACGCCACAGCCCACTGAAATGTTCCCCCTATTAGTGCGCCACTCTCAGCTCGTCCACCGACGAGGCTGCTTCACACTTCTCTCTCCATCTTCTCCATGGCTGGTCCCGACGCGTTCCAACTTTGCCTGCCACGCCCCATGGCACCATGCATAAATGGCGGCACTTGCACCGTCACCACCTTCGTTTGAATACACTCCTTCGACACGCTTATAGCACCAATACCACCATTGACAGTGTCCATGTCCGCTGTGGCTCCTCGGGTCACGTCACCGTCGAGTGCGTTTGCGCCCCCCCTCGCTGACCTCAGGCCGTCGCTAACCCTCCTGGAACCAGTCTGCATAATTTCAGCCATCTACGGCACGATGAGCCCATTCTGATTTATCTGCCGCCTCTTCCCACCCATCCCGGCGCGCCCTCCCAGCTGCCGGCCTTCCTGCAGGGCCTGCCCGTGGCCAGCATCCGCTACCGATGGGACGGCCTCGTCGGGGGACGACCCCCGGCGCTGCTGGACGATGATGCGCCGCCGTCCTCGCCGGCCGCTCCGTGGCCCGCCCCCGTCCATGATGCCGCGTTTGCGTACTCGTGGCTGTCGAGGACGTTTTCGCCCCGCGCCCAGTGCGCCCGTCGCGGCGTCTACGTCTACGGCTCCTTTCTCGGCGGCGGCCTGGCCGCCTCGCTGGCGCTGACAGAAGCGCATCCCCACGCGCGCTTCGCCGTCCGCGGCTTCGTGGCCTACAACGGCATCTACAACTGGACCATGTTTCTCCCCGACCACCGCATCCACCGCCCGACGACCTCGCGCGCCGCCGCTGGCCGGACCATCCCGCCGCAGCAGCTCAGCAAAGGCTCCCACCTGCACTTTCTGCAGGAGCAGATGCCCGGGCTCTTTGGCCGGCCCGCTCATCTCTTCGACGCCTTTGCCAGCCCGAGCCTCTTGTTCCACGCGCCCGGCCTGCTCGTGCCGCGCTCCTTTTCCGCCACCGTCGCCGAGACCGTCGCGCTCGACGCCCTGCTCGGCAAGCACCCCGACCCGGCGTACCAGGTCCAGCCGCCGCGCAAATCGCACCTCGTCTTTCCCCCGCGCCGGTCGACGCTCAAGATACCGGCCGCGCTGCTGCTGCACGACGCGCCCCCGGTGGCGCTGACGGCATCCGGCAGGCCGTCGAAGCGCAAGTCCTCGGCGCGCGGCCGCCACAGTTTCCAGGCGCAGGCGGCCGAGCTGGCCGAGCTGATGCGCCGCAGCGTCGACGTGGTGGAACTCAGGGAGAGGCAGAAGTGGGATGATGACATGGACGGCTGGGCGGGGGAGGCCGAGAGACGCGTGCAGATTCTGGATGTTGGCCCAGGCACGTCCGACTATGAGCTGAGTGTTACTGGTCAAGAAGCGGCGGTAGGATGGCTCAAGGATAGAGATTTGGGTCAGTAGGCGGCATCAAGACGCGTGTATAGTAGCTGAACATATATTGACCTCCATCCCAGTCCAAACAAACCAATACTACTGCGAGAATATAAAAAGGAATTGTTGCACCGGGATTCGGTAGTTCTCTTCTCCGCCCGGCCTTCTCCCAAAACCCAAACTCGCTCATGAAGAAAGCACTGCCCGCCACGATGCAGCAACAGCCATCATATGTATCCGAGCAGTCCGTATAAGAACAGTCTCGGTACCGGGCCAGAGATCGAAAATGAGACGTGTCTGTTTTAGGGGGTGCATACGAAGTAGTATACCGGTTCCGCAAAAGGATCAACCTGCATCTTGACGGCAGCCACGGGCCGGACACCGTCTGTACCTCGAGTGTCTACGTCTGTCTCACGCGTCCCGCTCTTATGGACACTTTGCTACTCCCCGTGGACTTTGCCCCCAACGGCCGTAGTGTATCACTGTATACCCACTCGGCCTGGTCGCAGAACACCAGAGAATTGCCTCGGAGATTTGCACCGGTCTCGATTGCGAGGGCCCGGGGAGCCGTCCCTCCAAGATTCGGGCGACCGGATTATATGGCCCAACGTCGTTGCCAACGTTGGATGGATGTTTCCTGCCTGGTCATCAGTGGCAGCGCGGCCTACACTGCAACATGAGCGGTATCCAGACAGTCAGCCAGCCACCCGCACAGCGATGATGCACGATGGTGCATACGACTGCACGACCCAGACAAATGACAAAACGCCCTAAGCGAGGATACTTGTTAGGTCCATGGTCGGCGGCTTGTGCATGATCGCCTTTACGTGTCAAAAGGCACAATCGCTGTCGTCAAACACTGGCTAAAAGGCTTCCTGACCTCCATGATGCAGATGATAGGTCATGGAGCATGTCTCTGTCACATAAAGACGCGTTTCTTTGTGTCTCAAACGATCCGTTCATGTCATACTTTGCAGAAGCTTTGTAATATTGATGAGACGTGCGTCTGCACGGCTCCCTCCAGTATGCAGCCGTGTGACACCGACGATGGTGCTTACCAGTTGTGACATTTGATTCTCGTAGGCTTATACTGCGACAGAAGCCGGTGAAAAGACGCGCCCTCTGCGTTGCAAGGATAAATAGCAGCGGCATGTCCTACACCAGACTCGTCGTCACTTATATTCCTTGCCGGAGCAGTTTCGTACTTGCCAAGCTTTGTCATTCCATCACTCATCATGGTCCTCTTCACCCTGTTCGCTACCGTGTTAGCATACCTGGCCAGCGCCAACCCTCACGCCCACGCCGCCGACGACCGCGCCTCGTCTTGCCACAGCATCGACGACTGCGACCTTGACCAGCAGTGCCTCCAAGGCACGTGCCACGCTGTCGGGACAGCCAGCGGCGCCCGCGCTGCCGACCCCGGGTCCGCTCTCCTCTGCGACGCGGCCGGGTGCCGTCGCGCAGCGGGCACCGACTACATCGGGAACCCGAGCCTAGCGGTGCAGGCGACGTGCCTGTCCCCCGTGCTCGCCTTTGGCGCCTACAGCGGCTGCGTCTCGGAGTGGACCGCTGAAGGCACGGGCGGCGTTGTGGTGAACCCGCTGCTCGGCGCGGGCGGCGCCGGCTGGACGAACAACGAGGTCGCCATCCGCGCCTTCTGGGCAGACGACGGCTTCTCGTACACCCTGGACGAGCTGCCCGTCGGCGACAACGTGACCGTGAGCTTTATGATGCGCGACTCCCAGGGGACGTGGTTTTGCAGCCAGCCCAGCACGTATGTGCTGTACGTCGAGGTCGAGGGCACCCCGCGCCGGACGTTCCGCGTCACGCCCCATGCGGGAAAGAAACGCGTCTCGTTCGATTTCCAGGCCACCGATACAACCATGAAGATGAGGTTCTCGACCGAGAAGAACGCCTATGACGGCTGCGGTCCATTTTTCAGCAATGTCAAGGCTGTTGTGTAGAGTATGGGCTATGTGGGCATGGGTCATGGATGGACGCTATTTCGTCTCGAGCCAACTACATGAAAGGCAGCTCCAAGTCTAAAAATCTCAGCTCTCAAATTGATGAAATTAGCGTCCGTTGCCTGAGCTCGACTCGAAGGGATGTTGATGTACTCGGGGATATTCCAGGAGCGGGTTGTCTCATTGGGCGTGGTAAAGCCGCTATGGAAGATGACACACTAGAGTGCATGGAAGTAGGCTCAGTCTACTTTTTCTCCAGATGACGACGTCTCGGTGGCTGACCTTGACAATGACAGGGAACCAGAATACGACCTCACAGCCGACGCGAAGGAGGTAAAGAGGGACTGCGGGTTGCCCCAGTGGATGAAGATGAAAGCAACAACCTTGAACAAGTAGTGTCTGGGCTTTCCTGTATACAGTAACAACAGTGTAGACAGCATGGTCACATGGGCGGGATGTCATCTATGAAAGCTACCTGGGCCAGATAGATGGGTTAACGCAGTTGTTGAACGACTAGAGCGACGCTATCGAAAAACAATTATTAAGGATTGATAAAACGTAGCAGAATAACTAGTGGGAATATAGTAGTCGGGCAACTCATTTACCAACGCGCAGGGTATCATTGCAGTGCAGCGTGGCGGGTATCCAGTAGCTCGAGAAAAAAAACAAGGCAGAAAGCGCCACCGAATCAATAAAGAAGCCCAGTGAAAAGATGCTGTGTGATGACAGACGGCATGAAAGCCGGAGGAACGGTGCTCCGTTAACCACAGTATATCTGTCATCAACAGACAGATAGAAAGCAATCAACTACATTCCTCGGCATTGTGGGTATCTGCATCGGCATCATGGGTCTAGACATTGTCGAGGCGCATGGACCATGATATCGAGATCGATGGCCGGCTTAAGCCGTAGCGGTAGCGGGAGTGGGGGTGGCAGCAGGTTTCTCGACCGCAGCAGCAGCGTCAGGAACGGCAGCGGCCTCGACAGGAGCTAGATTATGGTTGATTAGCATTTCACCATGAGATTTCCTTGTCTGAAGACTATGCCATACCTGCAGGAGCCTCAGCAGCATCCTTGGGAGCCTCGGTGGCCGGTGGGGCGGCGGCCGCTAACACGTCCACATTATTAGCTCACGCCATCGCCAACGCAAGGGTTTTTGAGTTCAGCAGCAAATCAGGCGAAACGTACCAGGAGCCGCAGCAACAGGTGTGGTATCAGCAGGCGCAGCAGAAGGCGCGGCCTCCGTCTTGGTGGCGTCCACTGCAGCAGGGGCCGCAGCATCCGCAGTGGTCGCCGTCGCCGCGGGCTTCTCCTCGCCCTTGTTCTTGTTGAGCTTCTTCCTGATGATCTCCAGGACCTTGTTCTTGAGGTTCTCAAGAGCGCCGATAGCTACGCGGGGGTTGACGTGTCAGTGCTGGCTCCGGGGGCAAACTGCGGCAAGACTCACGAATGCCAGGCATTTTGACGGTGTTGTTTGCGAAAAGCGTTGGGAGCGTGAATACGTTGGTAGAGCGTCTGGTTGCTGATAAAAAATGTCAGATGGTATTTGGAGCCGCCGATGTTGGTAGAGACAAAAAAAAAATGTGAGAAGAGGCCACGAGCAAGAAGAGAGAGAACAAGAAGTCGGGCCCCAGAGGCAGCCGGCACGTTACCTGGCTCGTTTTCTTCGCGCCCAAAGCCACACGTCGAGGTGGCACCATGCGCAGCCGCCTCCATAGCCAGCCATGTTGGATTGTACTCACATACCTGCAGCAGATTTCAGGAGGAGCAAATGAAGACGTACAAGAAGTAGTTGGAGCAATGTATGAGCAAGATAAAAAAATCCTGGGAGCCAAATCTCCAGACTCGAGCTCTTTTATTCCAGACATGGTCCCCATCGGTTTACATGAACTAGCGGCAGCCACCCTGGCTTCAGACGATCAAGCCCCCGCCCCAACGCCTTATTGCACCACGAGGGCGTTTTGCCACACAGTGCATGGTGGCTATCTGCATGCTCGTACGCACTAGTTAGGGATGATGAAATGTCCAGCTGATTCAAAACCTCGACATTCCAGGTGGAGAATTTTGTCATGGTATTAGCAAACATCTCTGCCGTCGTTGGCCCGGCCTAGATTACTGGTCGGTCTATGTACTCCGCAGTCGGCCTGCCGATAAGCAGCCAACTTGCTGGCACAGGTAGCTCCGTTTGCACCTTGCACCTGTTTTACTGCGCACTTCAACCATGTGTCCTTTTATGGCTACCCGCTCTGTCCTTTTTTTTCTTCTTTATAAAAAAGGGAGTAGTTCATTAGTATCTCGAATTAACGCCCAAAAAAAGGTAAAGCAAGGCGGTCAAGCCATGCGCTGTCGAGGACATTCTTTCCCTTCAACAAACGCCGCCCGCACAGGTGCCGCTATGGAGCACAAGTGTAGGCAGCCAATCATATTCTCCGCGTAGGGGTCTCCTGACCAACCAAGATCTTGTTATCACCTTGCACCTGGCAAGTGGGTACCTCCGCATTTCACCCAGGACCTTCCTTCATTGCCTCGATATTTCCATGCAGCCTCAATAGCAGGTATCATCAGCCTGCATATGTTACTTTCGATTCATCGTAGGTAAATTAAGTGCAAAAGAATGGCAAAAAACAAAATGGCAAAAGGAGGGCCTGACCGGGGATTGAACCCGGGACCTCTCACACCCAAAGCGAGAATCATACCGCTAGACCATCAGGCCAAAGTTACTAGCACTTTTTTGGTAGGAGCCTCGTTATTACGGATCTTGAAGGGTGTGACAGTGAGAAATTGAGATCTATGTGCTCTACAAGATGAAACTTGCTAGAACCATGGTATAGAATCTTATGTAAGCTACTAGAGGGCTGCGGCTGGTTTGAAACAGCTATGAGGCGTGTGGACTATCGGGATACAGTGTTGGTGTGTGAGTATTGTAGGGTAGAGAAAGCTGGTGAAGAAGACAGCTGGCTAGCTGTACTGTGTAAATCGTATTGTTTTTTATAATCATGGGAGGGGTTATCACATGAGTGGTGTGTTACCTGGGATACACAGTTGAACGGAAGTAGCGCTCTAAGCATTACGTAATACGGCAACACGCTATAAGATGTGGCACTCTGTCCCCTTCCCCATCACCATCTTCCATCATCACCATATTCCATCATCACTATATTCTTGCCAACACCAGGACTGTCCCAGCCTACATTCATACACACAAATATGGAATCGACAGCATTACCCCAGCCTGATTTCGCAGGAGCGGCTAATAGCCTTCGACATGTGGCCGACAACTTTACACTATGTGCTAATTTGCCCGCTATTCGTGGCAGCAATGAAATTCTTCAGGCGATTACCGACCTAAGCACCCGGATGGACCGCAAGTTTGAAGCTATGGACCGCAAGATCGAAACAGTGCACAAAGAGTTGAACGACAAGATTGCATTACTAGACCGCAAGCTAGACGACAAGATTGCATTACTAGACAATAAGATTACATTGCTAGACTGCAAGCTACATGCTTCGTAAGTTAGGAAGGAGGCGAGTATTATAAATAAAAGATATACTAATGTTTTTTTTTGGGTAGGATTCGGAATTCCTCCGCGCTCTCGAGGAACAGTATCGTGTTCAGTACCGAGGCGACTCTATGGCCTCTCTACAACCTAGAGACTGGACAGCAGATTGCTAATTGTCCCCCAACGTTGGCAGCCTTGCAAGCATTAAGCAGTAAGATTTTCTTAATACTAAAATGGGTTTTGCGGATACTAATAGTATGTGGTAGATGACCAGGCCGCATCGCTCCTACGGGAACTCAACGAGAATGTGCCGCGAGGGTTGGAAAATAGACTACGGGAGTTGAGGTCTGTGTTTGGGATCCGATTGCGACAGAATTGAACATTCCGTTGTGTGATGGATATGCACGATAGCGATGAGCTTTGACGCTTAGAGGGACTATCGGCTCAAGCCGATGGAAGTTTGAGGCAATAATAACAGGTTGACCTACACAGGCCTGTAACAGTAGTCCTCGTTAAAATATCTGCTAGTCCATGTAACGTCTCTGTTGGGGCAGTCCCCTTCTATCGGGCAGAGAGGATTTTACGGGCGACACCACCTGGTACAGGGAACGCCGACCCAGGCACATCAGCAATGATGTACTGGAGGCCGATCCTGTGGCGAGCTCGGGTCACGCCGAGCCGTCGCAACGTGCGGAAAGGGGTGGGCCAGCATAACCTGCTGGCTTAAGGTACGTACTAATCCCATGGGAAACCAGTCGCAGAACCAGCGAAAAAATTGCAAGTCGCAGAACCAGCAAAAAAATTGCAAGACTAGAACCAGCGAAGGCTGCTATTTTGACAACAAGAATTGATCAAATGACAACAAGCTAAACCTAATTGGGTATTTATGGGCCGTAGTGGATACCGATGCTAACTAGCGCGACGCTAGTCACCAATCAGAGAGCAGGACTGCCAACAACTGTCAACACCAGCAGCTCAATCTCGTGATGGCCTCTTCCAGTGTTTTCCTGCCATCAACACCCTCAACACCTCCCTCAACAGCCTCAAGAGCGCCGCAAGGTAGGCACCGGGCAGCCTCTTAGCCAGCGATGCAGAGATCAACGATTCAGACGATACAAACGATGCGGGCGATACGGGCGATACGGGCGATACGGGCGATACAATAGGTGTTATTATCGCAAATTCAGGGGCTAGAACGACGCCTCAACGAGTCAACAATCAACGCCGCCGCCGGCAGCGTCAATTATCAACTATCATTTCTAGCCGCCGGCTTCATCATAGCGAATTTATTAATTCCAGCCATCGTGGCAGCCTCAAGAGATACAATCAATACTCGTTAAGAATTGACGCTGGTACTGTCCCCTGCAAAACTTGGTGGAGTGGCTACGTGGGTCTATACTAATTAGGTTTAGCTTGTTGTCATTTGATCAATTCTTGTTGTCAAAATAGCAGCGAGCCGTAAATCATAAATTAGGCTAATTAAATATTAATAAAAACGGTCTCTTAATTTCATGGGTCATCTTTTGGCGGAAATTACCGATCAGGCACATGCCCGTCAAGCCGCCGACCACTCCTCTCGCAAAGCGCTTGAGTAGGGGCTCTCGAACTCGGCGGCATTCTCGATGTTTGAGCCCATGGTGCTGCTGTGCTTCCGACTGGCGCAGCCGCAGCTGTAGGGGCAGACGAGGCAGAGTGTGTCGCCGGTTGTTGCTGGTTAGGGTCCTGCTCCCATGAAAAGAGAGAACCAAAAGGAAAGTGCTGCACGACGGGAAACTTGGACAAGACTTCAGCATTATACATTTTAATCATTCCCTTGTTGATCTTGCCCCAACCGTCCTTGACGCCCGAAATGTCAAACAACATTGGGCTGTGCTCCCAGAACGGGCCCGTTTTAATGTCATTGATGAAGCCAATGGCAGAAAAATACAGGTTTCTTTGACGGTTGTCCTCGACAACCAGTGCTCTGGTAATGTCGCCCGTCTTGGGCGCGCCTCTAACAGAACCGTCAAGCGGCATGGGGTCATTGTCGTCAATGGGCCGCGTCAATTGTGCCGAACCAAAGATATACGGTACAAAAGAGTGGTCATCTAGACCCCACACGCCGTGGGAGCCTGCTGGTTCAAGTGTATATGTGGTGATGAGCTTTCGAACAAGGGCCAGGTATCTGTACTTGATTAGTATTATATGTGGCATAGGCCAGAGCTGTGCCACGTACGGTTCAATGACGGAAAAGACAATTTCTCTTTCAACCTCCACCTCTGGCTTTTCCGTTTGGAAATAACCCAGCTTCCATAGACACCCGAGAAATGCCAGGAAGCTGAGCTCGTGGCCTGTGCCGTAGTCGAGACGCTGCGCGCTGCCAAAGCCACCCAGAAGGTAGCTCTTGATTTCCGCGCGCGCCGCGTCGCCGCCCGCCGCTGCAATCGTGGCCCCCAGCACGCCTTGCCCCAGCATGCCGTCTGCCCTGTCCCCCAGCAGCGCGTGCCACGTGCGGGAGCTCAGATTCCCGAAGCGGCGCGGGCCTGGCGCGGGCGGCGCTTCGTCCATCAAGTCGCGGATCGCAGCCAGCAGGTCCTGCAGCGCCGCGACGGGAGCGCTGAGCTCACTGTCTTTGGAAGAAGCCGAAGGAATGACAAACGTCTGCGCGGCGGGCGAGTCTTTGCGGTGGCGCGGACACACGGCGTGGTTGAGCTGCATGATGAAGACGCCAATGTCGCGGTAGGCCAGGCTGGTGAGAAAGGTGGGCACGTCGCCGCTCTCGTGGATGCGCTTGATCGGGGTGCAGAAGGCCGGCAGGGCGGTGCGGTCCAGGACCTCGAGCCGAGGGAGTAGAGCGGCCATGGTTGTCTGGAAAGCTTGTTGCGCGATGGTTGGTGCGAGGATGAGATGTTCTGTGTTCATGGTGGTTGTGTGGATAGTGACGGCGTGGTGGGTTCGCTGTAGTTAGTCATCGTGGCAATGAAGCACGCGACAGATTGGTATAAACACATCACAAGTGGTGATTGATAAGTGCCTTTTTATTTTTGGAAGAAGAAAGAAGATTTCGGAAATGTTTGTCTCAACGGCTGGTGGCGCACGCAATTGCGATGTGTGCCTGTTTGCACAGTAGCCGAAACATCACAATCTCTTGCAGAAACAACTGCTCTTTCTACACCATTTAAAATACCCAGAGCGTATTATCACGACATCGTGGGGAAAATATGACATTTTTACAATGTCCGGCCAAGAGATGGCTGCTCGATGCCATTCCCCAGCCTACTCAGCAGTCCCCCTGCAAAGCATCCTCTCTCGTCGTCAATCTCGCATTCCCAATGGCTAATTTCCGAAGGGTCAAAACGTCAAAAGCGCGACCCTGTTCCATTTATACCTTCGCGATTGCTCGAAGAGTACCCGAGGTACGGTCTGAGGCGACACCCGGCCAACTATTACAGCCATTTCCAGCCGCAGACAAACACCAACCGGCGTATCATGCGGATGCTGTCATATACGACTAGCTTTGTGCAAGGTTATTCCTCCATCAACGGTGGTGGAAACGGGTGAGATCGATGACTATGCGGATATCGCAAATTCCCGGCCGCTTGACGGTCCCAACTCCCTCAGGCCAGCAGCGACAGGCGCAACACAAAGAGGGAGCTCGACGATTTCGAAGCAGATGGGCCGCCCCCAGAAGAAATGAACGAATTTGTCTCGAATATTGAAGGCCACGTTAGCCATGATGAGCCCAAGAAAACCACACCCGAGTCACCTCCGCCAGTTCTGGGCGGGCTGTCGCCAGAGAGCCGCCGCAACATTAGCGACTGGAAGAGTAACGCGACCTTTGACACGAGTCCACCCCCAGAAGAGCCCGAAGAAAATAATTCGGATAAAGCAACGGGAGATCGACGTATAGCACGACAACAATCACCTCAGCCGGGCACCACGCCCAGATCAAGCCGGCACAGTGATCGCCGGCTATCTCGCACAGTCTCGGAGGATTCAGAGTTGGAAGATCTCCGAGACCAAAGGAAGATCAAAGATGGCGTAGAAGCCAGGAAATTCATTGCTCTATGGCTGAATTAATACATGATGTCACCACCATTGACCAAACTCCGACCAGCTCTAACTTCCGAAATCATTCCAACTTTGTGCATTTCTCGAATTAGCGAAAACAGCATGCCATCGCATCCCTTTGCGGCCATCAAGTCCACGGTCACGGGCAGGTATTCTGTATGATTTGTCACCTTGGACTCGTACTCAATCTCCCCAATGGGAATCACGATATCAGGTATCTCAGCCATGACCGGAATCCTGCTTGTGGAAAAGGCGCCCGGTGCCTGCGGCCCTGTCCAGTAGGTATCCCTGTACTTTGGTGCCGGCGTCCGCGGCACGTACACGAATAAGTCGCTCGAGCAGGTCACCTCATCCACCTTGAGAACATGCCCATTGAACCAGTCCATGAACCGCGTCTTGTTCGCTACAGCTTCGTCCAGTGTCGCGTCGGCCTCGTCGCCCAGCGCCCAGCGGCGAAGCGGCGCGGGATTCACGTGCGGCCGGCGCCCGTCGTGCCGGGCCGCGTAGTCGGTGTAAAAGGGATCGCGCACCAGCCGCGCCTGCTCCTGGGCCGAGAGCACCTCGTACGTGCTGTTGATCATGGCGAGCAGCGGCCCGGCACCGGGGTTGGTCGCCGCCCAGTGCTCGGTCAGGTTGAATGCGGCACTGCGGGCGGACAAGAGGTCGGCCAGGGTATGCAGAAAGCCCTGCAGCATCTGGTCGAGCTTCGCGCTGGACCCGGTGGGAAAACCGACGGCGAGGATGCGCTTGGGGTAGGCGGAAGAGTTGGCGATGTTGGGCTGGTAGAGGACCGTTGCGGCGTCGCATAGGAGAATAGGGTCGCGAGCCAAGAGTCCAGCGGTGTCAAATGTAGGGGAAAGAGGCATTGTGTGATCCAATGTGGACAGTCCATGACCTGAAGTTGTTGTCAGAGTGTTGGCAAATGTTGGGGTCATTTTACTCACTGGGGCGATTTCCGAATATGCCTTGAAGCTGACTGGGACTGCGAACGCTGCCCCCTGTGTCTGATCCAAGTGAAATATCGAGCCACGGATACGAAGCTACAATATGTCAGTCCATAGCCGCCGGGATTCAAAACGCCACACATGCCTGTTCCTGCTGCCGGGCCTGCAGACGACGACGACGGATCCTGGTACCCGTCGCCGCGCGGGTTGAACGGCGCCAGGGAATCGACCCAATCCGCCGTTGCCGTCTCTCCATTCGCAAACTGGCTTGTCTTCATCTTGCCGAGAATCACGGCGCCGGCATCGACAAGCTTTTGCACGGCGCTGGCCGTCTCATTGGCCTCGGGGTACAGATGGTACCACGCGCGGTTGCCGTTGGACGTCTTGAGGCCGGCAATGTCGTAAATGTCCTTGACGCCGAGGCGGACTCCGGCGAGTGGCTTCTCGGGGGTCTTGGTAAAGGACAGTCGGGACGGAACGGCGACGGCCAAGGCCTGCCCGGGCACGTTGGCGGGCAGGACGGTGTGCGATCCGTCGGGGGCGGTGATGCTTGTCTCGCTAAACGCGCCGGCGAAATCTGTGTATAGTCGGTATGCAGAGTAGAGTCTCCTAGATTGGGATAGGAAATATGGTCCATCGGGGACAGTGGAGTTTCCGACGTCTGTCCATGTTACTGTCGTGTTGTTGAACGAAAACGGCTTGGTAGAGCTGGCCGACTGCCCTACCAGGTACACAACTGGAAGTGGTCAGTCTCTTTTCGTGTGAGTTTTTTTCAAGCGACATGCCTTTGAGAAACTCTTGGTTGATAACATCGTCACTTTCTAAAAACAATTTTGTAACTTGGGACAGGGTCGATTCATTCAAGGATGCAGTCTTTGTGTTTATGACTGTGACGGGCTGTAGGTCGTCTCCCTCGGCAACATCCGCATTGCCAACTTTGCCTACATACCACGGCGGAACAAAGTAATGAATACTGCCCACTTTGACCGTGGAGCCAGTTGATACTACCCGCGTGGCAGTGACGGTCGCGATATGCAGCAAACCTGCGACAAGTGAGAAGTTCATGTCGCTCACGCAATGCAGTAGTGCAGCGACCTTCATGTAAAGTCACACACCACTTTGAAACAAATAAAAATACAGTTTGAGTAGATAAACCAACCGACCCTTTTCACCTTGGACCACTTCAGAACAGCCACCTACCTTGCTAGTTGGCAGTGGTACCTGAGACTAACATCTACCAGCATCAAGGTCAGCGGCGATGATACCCTGAGAGCTATGGAATTTGAATTAGCAAACGCCACATGGAGACAAAGTACCCTGAGAGAAGCCTCAACAATCCACAAGAGCCGCTGGCCCTGATTCATGAGCCAAGGCGGAAGATCGTGCATCCCTGCTTGGCAGGCCCAAGGGCCGCTTCAAGTTCCCCTTGTAGGATAAGCCAACTAGCCTTGATAAGATGGTTCGCGACTGGTCAGAATTTTCATTATCAATCAAATTTTTAGCACGTAATTCTCATGATGAGCTGTCTGGTGTGGATATCTGCATGCCCCAGTGGCCATCAGGGTGAGCAGACAACTGCCGGCCGGCACTAAGACGAACAAAGCACCGTTTGCTAGGATGAACCTACAAACGGTGCGAGAGAAACATCTCGGGGACCAAGACGGTTCAGATAACCCAAAGAGAAACTAAGCTTATAATTAGAGTGACGCCCTGCCATGGCGTACCTGGTGTCATGTATACCGATCACTAAGCGCCATGGCTAACTTTCGCACGGCCAGCCTTCTCGTGGCTGCTCTCGCCAGCATTGGCCACGCCAAGCCTCTCTCCGGAAACACCACCCATCCACCCATCGAGGGCTGCGGACGTCCTCTTCTCCAAGACTTTGACTCCTTGGGCGCGTGGTTCGAGGGCGTGAATGCCATCAACTGCACGTCCATCCCGCGCCGCGACAATGTCACGATTGCCATCATCGGCGCAGGCGTCTCCGGCCTCGCCACCGGCCTGATGCTCGACAGCGTCGGCGTGCACAACTGGGAGATCCTCGAGGCCAGCGAGCGCGTCGGCGGCCGCTTCCGCACCAAGTTTGTCGGCGGCACCGACGAGTACGCCGAGATGGGCCCGATGCGGCTGCCATGGAGCGTCACGTACAAGAGCGACAACAGCACGCACGCGTACACGGACCACCGCATGACGTTTCAGCTCGCCGACACGCTCAACCGGATGAACGGCCACGATCCCCGGTACGAGATCCGCTTCATCCCGTGGATCCAGCACTCGCCCAACGAGCTGCTGGCCCGCGGCACCGGCCGCCACCCGGACGGCCGCGTGCCCACGCGCGCCGAAATCGCGGCGGACCCGCGCCTGGCCAAGCCGCCGCCGATGAGCTCCGCCGAGTACACGGGCGTCAAGGCGCAGATGAACGCCATCCTGAAGCGCGAGGAGACGCTGCGCTTCATCCAGCGCGACGTGTGGCGCGCGCACGCCTGGGCCATGCGCCAGGGCCTCGACGACCTGTCCGAGCAGGCCTGGATGCGCGAGCGCCTGCGCGCGAGCGACAACGTGACCGACGCCATCTGGACCGACACCGACTACGACCTCTTCTGGGACGAGCTGCACCACAACTCCAACCTGGCGCAGGACGGCTCCGCCGGCGCGCTCGGCGAGACGGCGTGGAAGGCCGTCGACGGCGGCTTCGACCGCATGACGGACGCCTTTGTGCCGCACGTGCGCGACCGGCTGACGCTGCGGCGCAAGATCCGCAAGATCGCGCCCGTGTACGGCGCCGACGGCCGGCAGGCGGCCACCCGGCTCTCCTGGTACCCGAGCGCGGGCAACCGCACGCTGCGGCACAAGGACTACGACTACGCCGTGGTGGCGGTGCCCTTCACCATGACGCGCTTCATGGATCTGCCGCCGTTCTCGTCGGTGCTCGGGCGGGCCATTAGCGAGGCGGGCCTGCGCTTCAAGTCGGCGTGCAAGCTGGCGCTGCTGTTCTCGACGCGCTTCTGGGAGCAAGGGGCGCGGCCGATCCTGGGCGGGTACTCGCAGCCGGCGTCGAGCGCCGTCGGCGCGCTCTACTACCCCGTCTACGGCCTCAACGAGACGGGCCGCCCGGGGCTCATCACGCAGTACCGCGGCGGCGACTGGAGCGACCGCTACGTGAGCTTCCGCGACGACGAGTACGCGCTGACGGTGCTCGACTCCGTCGTCGACCTGCACGGCGAGCAGGCGCGTGACCACTACACGGGCCAGTACGAGAAGCTCTGCTGGCTCGAGGACGAGCACACGGCCACGTCGTGGTGCCGCCCGGACGTGGAGCAGCACCGCCTGTACATCCCCGCGTACCACCGCACCGAGTTCAACACAATCTTCATTGGCGAGCACACGGCGCCGACGCACGCCTGGATCAGCTCGTCGCTGCACTCGGCTGTTCGCGGCACGGTCCAGCTGCTGCTCGAGCTGGGCATGGTGGACGAGGCGAAAAAGGTCAATAGGGAGTGGATGGGGCAATGGATTCACGGCAAATAGAGTTGGCTAAAACTACGGCCAAGAAAATAGGGATGGTCTAAGTTTACATAGATGACAATACACAACAGGATCAATTTTTTGTAATTGTAGCTTTTCCATTGCTTCACGAAATACACAACATGTCGAGACTTGTTCAAAGACATTCTATTCTACTTGGGCCTGGCCAATATTCCTTGGGCTGCCAGGGCCATCCTCGAGGCCATTGCGGCGCGGGGCTTCAGGTCGCCAACGCCAGAATGGGCGCAAGAAGCTTGTGGCCTTGTCACCATTGTGCAAAATATCCGCGGCGTGCTAAGTCAATTTTAGCATGATAAATACCATAAACACTTTTTTTTTATGAGCTCACCTTTCCGAGAATGGGCAAGAATTTGGCACCATGGCCGCTGCCCCCAGTGCAGACAAACAGGGAGTTGTCCGTGTAAGTCGGGACGTGGTCAATCTAGTAAATTTTGTTAGCGCAGAAGCTAGCTGGCGCGCCGTCGATACGAACCACGAAGGAATTGTCCAGAGAATCAGTATACCAGCAAAGCTTGGTCGAGTAGAATGGGACTTGGTCGAAATCGGGCAAGAATATCTTGACAAATTGTCGGATCGAGTCGACAGCCGCTTCGGGAATCGTGCACGAGTCTTTGGGTGACATTGGAATAGACCACTTGCCATCTTGCACGAATGGACAGCCTTCGGGCGCCGGCTGAAAGTTGGTAAACTGTAGGAGTATTAGAAAAGATTGTGAAAAAAGTTCTCCGTCATCACCAACCTTGACTCCTCGGAACCCAATCTTGACCAGACCATCTGGAGTTCTGGGTAGCACGTAGACACTCCCAGTGTCCTTTCCTGTCTTGTTCCTAGGATTGCTCTTCCAGGTAATGACGGGGAACTGTTCAGGGGAGTACTTTTCCCAGAGCGCCTTGTCTTCCTTGTCAATCTTGAAAGTGGCAAGGCTGCCGCCAGACGACTCAAGATGCGTCGACAGATCGGGGATGAGCTGCGTGGTAAAGGAGCCACCTAACAAAGTTAGAACACGGAGCAAATTTATATTGGTAAACCTACCGGCAACTGCTACGACATGCGCTTTATGGATGACACCGTCCTTGGTCCTCACGCCGTTGGCCTTCTTCTTATCGCCGACCGCTTCTTCCACGATGGATTCAACGTCACCTTGCTCATTTCCAAAGATAAACCTGACGCCCTTGGAAGCAGCAAGCTGCTGAAAATATAGACAGGCGTTGGAGCATCGCATGAAACCACCGAGAGAGTCGAGGACTGCTTCGTACGTTCGAGCATCATTGCTGCCCGGAATAGGAAACTCGAGAAGCTTGGCGTCCCAGCCTCCCGCCTTGGCACGTTCTCTGTCGCCTGCAAGACTTTTGACAAACTGGGTCTCACGGATGCCATCGCGTTCCATGTTGGCGAGGGTTTCCTTTTCCAACGCACCGAGCTCATCCGAGGGTTGAACACGGAGCATACCGCTGGGAACAAACAAGTCGGCGCCGGAGGACTTGTTGATCGCAACCCATGCTTCGCGGCTTTCTAATGCCAGACGCTGATAATGTAGCTTTGTTCCATACGAGGCACGAAACTACTTTTGCATGAGCATTTACAACCCAGATTTTGATGCCCAACTCACAATCTTGTTGTGGTCAACAGACGCCGCCTGAACATTTTCGTCGGCATCAGGGTCATACTGGGTCTCATCGTACGGATGACGGTCAAAGACAGTGACAGTGTATCCTGGTTCAAGAGGGCCCGGGGTGTGAGCAGAGGGGTGGCGGCGAATTGGCTCAAGACGACTTACCCTTTTCGTGCAGTGCAAGGGCCAACGACAGGCCAAAGATTCCAGCTGAATTCAATAATAGTTAGTCATATTTGTCCGACGCTAACTAGCAGGAACTGATTGATAGGGGAAAATGCGTCCAGGGGTGGTGTGATACATACCACCAACAACAGCGACAGATTTGCTCTCGCTCATTCTGGCAAAGAAAGGCGGGTGCCGCGGACCAATCAACAATGGAGCAAAAGAGGGGTGCGGAATAAGCTTATCAGGTTTAAGAAGAAAAATAAGGGTAAAAAAGTAACAAATTCTTGTGGCTCGGGGTGGCGACGGCTGCTGGGATTCGCCGGGTTTTTGATTCGAGAGAAAGACAACCATGCAGGAAAGCGGCGGGGTTCGGTCTTGTGCAGTAAGCCACCTGTTACGCCTGCCCAGCCGGCAAAGAACCATCATGGTGATCGCCCAGGCTCGGCTGCAAGATTGCGGGCCAGACGCCATCCGGGAACCTCTATGGTTAACTTTAGCTTCGCGTTATTGTGGTGCTCCGTTTTGAGCATGTACATATTGGCCGCATAGTGGACGAATGATATCAGTAGAGGGGCCATTATCACTATTCTGACGCAGAAAGGATCCAGGAAAGAGCCTGCTCAGGCCGGCGCGCGCATAAAAATCCCGTGTTAGTCGTTGCGGCTGAGGAGGAGGCGAGGCAAGACAGGGCCGACGGCGGAAGAAAAAACGCATAATATTAGACTAGTACCACCTTGATGTCTGTTTGCGTTCTCGGACATGGATACCGCGTTGGTTCTAGTGCTGCATGCCGTTGAATGGTGAGCATCCGGTCGGTTGCGACCCTTCTCAGTCTCTTCATGACCCGCAGTTTGGACTTTTGGCAGTTGGCTGAGCGCGCTCTCCCGACAGCTTAGAGAGTGAGGGCAAAAAGACAAACGACCAACGTGGACAAGGCTGTAGCCTCCGTCAACAGAAGAACAGGGGATGTGTGTGTATAAAGGCTTGCCTGTCTCGGTGCCGTGCAGAAAGCTGGATGCAACCCTGCTATGATCAAAACTCGACCCCGCGCACGAGACCTCCCAAAATTAACTTTCCCTTCTTTCCATACTCGAGATACATTGAGACGCCAGCGTTTTGTGGTCGCGGTTTGATTCACAGCCGCCGTTGAGCATGTTCGAGGATAAGAAGGAGACGCCCAAGGGCCTGGGTGAGGTCGTTGAACCTGTCGAGGAGTCCGGTTCCGACACTGGATCGCCCAAGGTCCACGTCCCCGAAATCATGGCGGAGAAGGACCCCAAGCCTGGCCGCGCCCTCCACTTTGTCACCAAGCGTGATATTGACGACACGACGCTGTGGTACAACCAACACAAGCCCTCTGCCCGTGCCCTCGAGCCTCACGAGATCAAAAAGGTGAACCAGAAGAACTTTTGGTTCCTGCTGATGCAGACGTGGTGGGTCGCGTTTCTCATCCATCTAGACAAGTCGACGCTGGCCCAGGCCAGTACCATGGGCATCTTTGAAGATGTGAAGATCAAAAAAGACCAGTTCAACCACCTGTTCGTCATCTTCTTTGCCGGTTACCTCATTGCGCTCTGGCCCGGTGCTGCCCTCGCGCAGCGTGTCGGTCAAAAGCAGTTCATCGTCGGCTCCCTGGCGACCTGGGCTCTGCTCCTGGGGATGCATCCGCTTGCCAAGAACTACTCCCAGATGATCGCGCTCCGATTTCTGCTTGGCATGGTAAGCCACACCCGCGATCCATCGAGTGCCAAGGCTCACCCACTAACCCGGCTTGCTTGACAGGCCGAGTCACAGATCGTTCCGTCGACAACCGTCCTTCACCAGGCCTTCTTCCCCCCCAAGAAGAGTCCTTGGGTCCAGCTTCTGTGGTGGGCATCGGGCAGCTTTGCCAATGTTCTCCTGACCATGGTCTCGTACAGGCTCATCCTCGACGACAACCATCACTCCCTTGCTGGCAACCTGAGCTCTTGGAAGTGGATGCACATCATCTGTGTCATCTTGACAATTATCGTCATCCTTCCCCTCGCCATCTTCCTGCCCAACTCGCCAGTGGATGCGAAATGGTTGACAGTGGATGAGAAGATCCACACGATTGATGCGATCCGTGCCACGCATGCTGGTATCAGCAACAAGACGTTCAAGTGGTCGCAGGTTCGCGAGTGCTTCACCGACCCGAAGAGTTGGCTCTTTATGTAAGTCGTGCCTGAAAGATGTCAGATCAGCCCCCAAAGCTAACGGCGCGTTGCAGCATGCACATGTTCTTCAACGAGCTGCCCAACAACACTTCACAGCAGCTTCCTCTCATTCTAGTCGGATTCGGATTCACTCCTGCGCAGAGTGCTCTGTTCAACATTGCCAAGCCGCTGTGGGGTTCATTCCTGATTCTCGTGTCGGCGGCGATGCTGTACTTGACGGATCTGGGTGTGGGCTACACCTGTGCCATTTCATACATTCCCTGCTTCGTCGGAGGTTTGATCATGCTGACAGCGCCATGGTCCAACAAGATTGCTCTGGTGGTTGGCACCCAAATTTCGACCTTTAAGCCATCGTACTTGCTGGGCCTTTCGTGGGCTGGCACCGCGACCATTGGCTACACAAAGAAGCTCTATGTCATGTCGACCTGCATAGTCGCCGCTTCGGTTGCCAACATGATTTCCCCCGAGTAAGTCTATCATGGCAAGAAGAAAGTTGAGTGCTGATGCAGAGATCTAGATTTTGGCAGTCCAAGTACAAGCCGCGCTACATACTACCTTGGGCGTTTATGACGGCTTTTTGGTTCATCTCTCCCATCATGTGCCTCATCATTCGATTTTATCTGCAGAAGGAGAACAAGAAACGGGCTGCCATTCTCGCGCAACGCGGCAGCGAGAGCGACAATGACGTTCTCGAGGTCGGCAGCGAGATCATGCACCTGAAGGACGAGGATCTCGACCTGACGGACCGCCAGAACCTGCGTTTCGTGTACCCACTGTAGATGAGCAAATATATGTCGGTGGCAGGGAGCACCACAGGCTACTGGCCGTTAGCTTCAGGGAAAGGTAGACAGGCAAACGGAGGTTTGGGACGAAAGCGATGCGTTGGCTGTCCAGCTGTTGGGCGTAGAGATGCTAGGGTACCAAGATGTATGCCGCAAGAGTCATGGCAATGAATTGATTGGGTCTTCCGAACTGCATAATAGTAATGCTCTCTAGCCGTTGCTTGATAATGACCGAATGCCTTTTGATGCAGATGTGGAGTGACGCCACATGGACGTCTCTGCTGCGTTTGAGGCGGTGTACGGATACGAAGTAGTGGGTTAAAAGTGTGGCTAACCTGGAATAATACTCAACTCAGGGGAAGCTCTTCAAGATGTCAAATCTCCACCAAACCCGCTAATACATAGTAGGTAGTTACGGGAAGGCGTAGCGGGTGCTACTGTTAGCTCGGAAGGCTGCAAATAGTTGATAATTCAGATGTAGTACAAATTAATGGATATTATAACGGGCTGCAGGCTACCCGCAACGTTATCCGTTTGATAACCTGCATGAAACATGGCAGGAAAGAGAAGCAACATCAGACGTACAGAGTAGATGGCCCCATTCAGCAATTCGAATGTGACCGCTACTTTTCTAGTTACCGTCGTCACCGTCGCAGTGCCAGGTCACTTCACATCATGTGGCTAGAAAATCGGTAGCCGCTGCGCTGGCTGCAACGCTGTGGCTACTGCACCCCTGGTTCATTGGCTGAGCTGGTGGTAATTTCCTTTTACAATTTCCATGTGGGCTATCAAGCTCACGAACTTCTAACAGGTACCTAGGAAGTGATAATCTAGTGCCTGTTGAAATCATGTTGTCGTTGCAGCGGATGCTCATGTCTCTTGAGCCAATACTTGGCCCCTTTAGCGACAGTATTCCTAAGGAAATGTAGAGGGATAATACGTCAAACGCGAATTTGTGCTATCATCTGGCAAAAATCAATCATCAGTGATACTGGAATTGTGATGACAGGGCCATTGGCAAACCCCCTGATGACCCCCTCCCCACCTCCGCTAACTATTGCTTCGCACCACCTTTGGGCCACCATCTCCTGGCCCCAACGCCTCTCTTCCATCTTCCCCTGCTCAAGGAGGGTCTAATATATTTCCACGGGCTATTGTGCCGCCAATCTTTGCTCTCCCCTCCTTTGCAGCTTCATCCAGCAACAGTCTTTCTTTTCCTTCGGTACCCTGCATTTATTTTCTCGCGCCCGTCACCAACAACATTGCTATTGTGTAGCTTTTAGCCACACGACCATCATGTCGAGCAGCGCTACAGCTCCCAATACCGCGTCGCCACGCACTCCTGGGACCACCGCCTCGTCGAGAGCAACAGGGGCTACGGCCACCTCTGCCTCTCGCCGCCCAATTGCAAGCACTGCGACACCTTCGACCGCCAGAACGACGACCGCCGCCGGCCTCAGCAAGCCGCCTACACGCCCGCCAGCGTCGACCACTGCCACTGCTGGCACTGCTCGCCGCCCAACATCCTCGTCAACCACTGCTACACACCGCAGTCGCCCCAGTGTCAGTGCTAGCGAGGATGAGAGGAAGCCCATTACCTCGACCACGACCGGCAGACGCACAAGCACGCTCCTGACGAGCCCGGGGAAGTCTACACCCGAGAGAAAACCACCTGTCCCTACCGCAGGTACTGCTAGGAAACCTGTTACCGCGACCAGTTCCACTGCCAGCCGATCCTCTCTCTCTGGGACCCCGGCTCGCACGGCTACCTCTCGCTCTACTCCCACGGCCGGAACAGCCACCGCGACTAGACGAGTTTCCACTGCCGGTCTCTCTTCCGCCGCAGGACCTCGCCTGGCTGCACGCCCCGCGTCGCGAGCTGGCACCCCCAGCGATGCATCTCGAGAGCTCGAACAGCTCAAGTCCGAGCTCGCTTCTAAGGAGGGGGAGATTGCCGAGCTCAACGAACACATCAAGGCTTCTGAAGTCACCATTGCCGAGCTCCGCGACCGGGCCGAGAAGCCTGCCGAACCCACCGATACCTCTACACGCGCGCAAGACGCTGATGCCATCGCTGCGCTCAAGTCGGAGCACGAAGCCGCAGTTTCTGCCTTTGAGACTCAGCTCGGCGAGGCCCTGGACGCCCGCCAAGCCCTAGAAAGTAGCTTAGAGGAGAAAACTAAGGCTCTGGAGGAGGCCACGGCCAATCTCGCTCAGAATCAGACTGGAGCTTCAGCCCACGATAGCGCTCTAGCTGAGCTCAAGTCGGGTTACGAAACGTCTGTTGCTGAGCTGGAGAAGAAGATTGAGGAACTGAGCACTGCTAATGCCACTCTGACCGCCGCCAGCAGTGACAAGACCAAGTCCGACGAGCAGCTGGCTGCTCTCCAAGCCGAGCTTGACAGCACCAAGAAGGAACTGAGTGACGCCAAGCAAAATGCTGAGCAAACATCCGCCAACGTAAGCACGGAGCTAGAGAAGGAGCTTGAGGTCAAGATTGCGGAGCTTGCCTCGGCAAACGACAGCTTGGAGCAGCTGCAGCAGAAGAACAGCGATATTCAGACCTCACTTGCCGACAAGGAAGGCGACATTGCGAAACTCAAAACTATGCATGATGTACGCATGAAGCAAATTTCTCAGGACTATGAAAATGAAATCGAGAGCCTGCGCGGCGATGCTTTCTTCAAGCGCAAGTACGAAGAACTTGAGAAACAGCACGAGACCCTCCAGATCTCCTCCTCTGAGCTCGAAGAGCAACACACTGCCCTGAAAACATCTTCCACCGAAGCTGCCGAGACACATGCCAAGGAACTTGCGGATATCCAGGCCATGCACGCTGATGCCGTCGCCTCTTTTGATGCCAAGAGTGCAGAGCACCAAAGGATGCTCGATGAGCTTCACGAAAGCCACGCTCAGGAGCTCGCGAGTGCCAGGGCCGATGTCTCCTCTGCTGGCGAATCCCACCTGGAGAGCCTAGAGTCTCTAAAGAATGAGCACCAAGCTTCTCTGACCGAATTGCGCGATGCTCATGCCAAGGAGCTCGAGGCCGCGAAGGCGAATGCTTCATCAGCGAGTGAATCTCTCACCCAAAGCCTCGATGTTCTCAAAGCTGAGCATGAAAATATATTGACGGAATTACGCAACAGCCATGCCAGCGAGCTCGAGGCGGCCAAGAATGAAGCTGCGTCTGCCAGCGAAACTCATGTAGGAGTTGTTGAGGTATTGAAAACCGAACACCAGCAGGCTATTGACGAGCTTCACGAGGCCCATGCTCAGAAGCTCAAAGCTACTGAGACTGACGCTTCCACCGCCATTGAAGCCCACCAGGAAAGCTTGAACGCCCTCAAGATAGAGCATCAGAAGTTGATCGACGATCTTCGTCAGACTCAAGCCAACGAGCTCTCAACGGCCAAGCTCGATGCCGATGCTGCTGCCTACTTAAAATACCAGGCGGATGTCAAGGGTATTAATGCCGAGCACGAGCAGACGCTCAATGAGTTGCGTGAGACGTATACCAGAGAACTTGAAGCTGCCAAGGCAGAGCTTTCTTCTGCAAAGGAGACTCACCTTGAACTCGAGGAACTCAAGACCCGACACGAACAGGAGCTGGGAGAATTGCGTGAAAGCCATGCCCTGGAACTTGCTGCTGTCAAGGCCGATACTGCCTCTAGCAGTGACGCTCATCTCCAGAGCCTCGATGCCCTGAAGGCCGATCACGGCAGAGAGCTCGATGGAGTTATAGCAGAGCACCTCAAGGCGCTCGCTGAGGCAGACGCGAAGTCTCAGGCTCTCCTAGACGCTGCCAAGGCTGAACACCAGGACAGTTTCGATCAGGCATCCACCGAGCATGAGCAACAGCTTGAGAAGCTCAAGGCACAGCACCTGGAGCAATTGGAACTTGCCAAGGGTGATACTGACGCTGCGCACACTGCCAAGTTGGAGCAGCTCACGGCTGCCCACGTTGCAGATTTGGAGATTCTCAAGAAGGAGAAAGCCGAATTGAGCGAGAGACTTCTGGCTCTTGAATCCGACGCCGCCGCCGATAAAGAACAGGCTGGCAAGAAACACGCCGAGGAACTGACCGCACTCAAAGCCGAGCTCGAGGCTTCTCGGGCTGCTCTCGAAGAGCTCGAGGCCAGCGAGTCGCACGCTCTTGAATCTGCTCGCATTGAACTTGGAGAAATCCATGGCAAAGAGGTTGAAAAGCTTATGAAGATGCACGAGGATACCTTGGAAGTCATGAAGACCAACGGCATCAATGCCCGTAAGGACATGGAGGAATTGTCTGCCTTGCACTCGACGACGATAGAGGATGTCATGGCTGAGCACCGTCAGACTACCGCTAGCCTGGAGGAGAAGATTGCCGCCCACAGTGCATCCAACACTGAGCTGCAGGAGGCCCTGGACTCGGCCAAGGAGGCACTGAGTAAAGCCGAAACTGAAATCGAGGATGTTAGCCAACAGCTTGCCAATGTAAAGGTGGAGCATATGACTGCTCTTGCCGAATTGGACGCTGTCAAGACCGCCAAACCCGATACTTCCGTCGCAGATTCGTTGAGGAAGGAAATGGAGATCTCGAAGCAGGAATTTGAGGAGAAACTTGCTTCTATCACCAGCGAAGTCAAGGGCAAACAGAATGAGCTTGACGAGACCCTTGAGAAATTCAAGAAGTCTGACGAGAGTAGCCAAAAACTTCAACAAGAACTCGAGACTCTGCGAGGGGAGACGGCGTCCAAGGAACAGACTGCCAAGTCTGACTATCGCGACTTGAACGATAGCATGACTACTCTCGTCGAAGAGGCATCAGGCAGGGCCAAGAGGCTCGAGCTGGAGCTTGAGGAGACTGTTGCCAAGCTTCAGTCGTCGGAAAAGAGACTTGAAGAGTTACGTGCTCAGATGAACGTCAAAGATGCCGAGTTGGCAGAGGCAAAGGTAGAATGATGCGTTGAGAAGCAAGTGTGGAACACGCGGGGCTAACAAGAAGGACTAGGCGAAGGAGACGCCCAGCAAGCCCAAGGGTTTGGCGGCCAGCCGATTTGCCGCCGCTGGTGAGGAAGAAAAGGAAAACGTGGCGACGGAAGACGGCTCCTCTCAAGGTGAGGGCGATGAAGATCACTCCTCGCTAGCACTCGCATCGGTACGAATTCCCCTGCTTGGTGCAGCGCTCTCGTGAAGTTTGTTCACAATGTTGGTATGCATGCTAATCTGGAAGCCTGTAGCTCTCTCGGGCCCGCTTGACGGCCAAGCAGATTGATACTCTTGACCGCGAGATGCGAGATCGCAATCTACAGTGAGCATACACCATTTGATTCAACAAATACTACATGCTAATGGAGAGAAAGACTTTTGCAATCCATCACCAATCCCCAGTCCCAGGCTTCGTAAACTGGCTTACAGCGCTCTTGGAGATTCAAGAGGGCTTTGCCGGTGATCTGACTTGGCGCATCCAAATTTGGATACGGCGAATTGGCTTGGTACCCTCTTTCAGGCGTGCATGAATGCTGTCTTTATGTGTAGTTTTATCTTTGCTTGTCCCCGCTACCTCCTTCCTTCCTTGGTTGTTGCGTTGTAATGCTGTTGTTGTTGGGCACGACTTGAGGAACACGGAGTGACGATACCCCATGAAGTTTAGTATTAATTGTTTCAACTTTTTCAGCCCGCGTTCTGTGTGTGCCGTGATGAGGCAGTGACTAGTCTAATCGTTTGATTGGAACTACATGAGCCCTGTGCAAAAGCGTTGCTGGTGAGCAGTCTTGGACAGCGCCTAACTGGCCAAGCCGGTTGATACCCAGTGCGGTGAATGATGTGAAATCTTGCTTGTTAGTAGCAAGCACTGAGGAGATGAAATAACTCTCCTTATCTCTCTCTGTAATTCTATTTCATTCCCCTAAATCCCCTCTATTCCTTTTACTAATCAACTTTTTTAGTAGAGTGTAGACGTATCTGTCTAGCCTTGTTTTTCTCAACCATATGACAGGGTATCGTTCTTCCAGCTCGTGGCAGGAGTCTTTTCTTTGCAGACTGTAGAGCGCCTCTTAACTCGTCTTATCTTCATTTTTAGCAATCCCCGACGGGCGCCGCCGCAGACGGCCGAGGCGCCCATGAAGAGGGCGGTGGCGAAGAGGAAGAGCTTCTTGGCGCAGAAGAGGCCAAAGGATTTGGACCATATCAGGGTGCTGGCGGCGGAGGCGAGCGCAAACGAGACGCCCAGCCAGGGCACGAGGTCGACGTGGCCAAAGGCGTCGACGATGGCGGGCTGGATGGTCGCGACGATGGTGGTGTCGAGGGCGTAGAGGAGGAACGAGGCGAGGAGGGAGACGACGACGAGAACCCACTAGAATTTTGATCAGATACGTAGTTAGTAGAGCCCAAGGGGCATCGTAGCCTCTCTTAGGGATAGGAAGCAAAAATAAAACGCACCTTGGTACCGTGGATAGGGCGAGGAGAGGGAGGCTTGGCCGCCTTCTCCAGCGGCGGCTCTCTCGGAGCCGAGGGGTCACTAACGAGCGGCTCTGATGCCGAGACGCCCTCTTTCGGATCAATCGACTCCTTTTCCGGCGCCGCGATGGCGAGATGGTCACTAATCTGCGCAGCCGCCATAGTAGCGAGCTTGCTGGTTGTCGTTCTTGTTGGGTAAGAGTGTAGGAGCGTTTTCCGTGTAAGTGGGAAAAGAGCCGCACAGCATGGGGGGGGTTGTTATACGAGTGATAAGGAGAAGGATTCAGTGTCCTAAGATACACGCGCTGATTAATTAAAGAACAAAGACGGCGTGAATGATGCCGCGACGGGCAAACAGCTCGTTGCTCAAAGCACAGGGAGAGTCGAGGTGCGGACCCACCAACGGGCCAATTCTACGCCGAAGCCATCACCATGCGACCAAGAGTTCGGCCGGCTCTTTACGTCTAAAAATTCTTGAAAAAGTTGTGAAAATAGCGGGAGCAAGACTTAACTTGAGAAAGACATGACGGAATTAATGGATTAGCATAATAGGTAATTATGACGGGCCAAAGCAGATAACCGTCACAATGTCCAAGTTCCATGATCGATCTATGTGGGTGGGGCTCATCTCGTCCCAGAATGGAATCTTCCAAATCGGGACGTTTTTTTAGAAACATCCAAATCGGGGCTCTGATTCCCTCTGCTGAGGGCTGTTATTTTGACTACAAGATTTGATCAAACGTAGAGGATGACGGGTGATATGAGCAGCTTGTCGATAACAGGCAGTGCCGTGTACCTGCCGTCAGGGAGAGCGCCCGCGGCTTTCACGGCGCCGATGGTTTTTGCTGTTCCATTTCGAACCAGCGAGCCTCAGAGAGCGTCGTAGGATTTGGCGAGTAAGACATCATCTCAGGAAAACCCTGTTTAAATATGGTACAGTCTGGAAAGAGCCAGTTTTCTGTCCATGTCTGTTTCCTCTTTTGTAAATGCCGTATCCGAAATTCCAGCCAGTCAGGCGCAGAGCCACAGCACTACCTATCAACGAAGTACCTCGCGTGTGTGTCACGTGCCACAGGCAGCCACAGGCACTACTTAGGGCACTAAGGCCACCAGGATAGCTATAGAATACATTATTATCTTGCCGAACTCTTATGCCTAATAAAATAGTAGCAATATAGGTAGGATTATTAGAGACTATTAAAATTTATTAAATTTAAAGCTCTTATTAATAGTAATATTTATTTTTATTCTTTTTTTTCCCTACCTATAATTAGCTATAGCTAATATACTAAATAACCCCCCCCCCCTAAATACCTATATTATAGGAATAAATCTAGCTTAGCTAGTTAATCTAAATACTAGCTAAGATATACTATCTCTAGTAGGCTAAGTAGTATATTAATACTAAACTACTATATATAGAAACTAATAAGAGTTATCTTACCTATATTTTAAGCTAAATAGCTTATACTATATATATATAAGACTAAATTAATAAATAAGAGGAAAAAGAGACTTCCCTTAACTTAGGTATAATATATATTACTTTAAAAGCCTAAAGAACTTATATAAATATATATATACCTATAAGAAACTATATAGTCCTTATAAAGTAGTTTATCTACTAAGCCTATATAGAGCTATTCCTAATAAAACCTAAGCTATATTAAAGAGGAGAATAAATATAGTAAGAAAGGTAGGAAGTAGGAGGATAAGTAATATAGACCTAAGTTATTAGCTTATTTAGAAAGTAAATATAGTAAAGCTAGGAAAGGTAGAAAGTAAGAGAGTAAGAGGAAGGGAGCTAAGTATATATATTTAGCCTACTAGGCATCTTCTTAATATAGACCTAGACCCCTTCCTATTTAACCTTAGTACTAGTCTCCTTCTTAAATTTTATTACCTAACTTAAAGAAATTAGCCTATCCTATTATATATAGATAGATATTAAATAGTAAATAACCTTAAGTTAAGTAAGTTATTAAGTAAGCTAGATAAGAAGTATACCCCTTTTAAGTAACCCCTTACTACCTATATAGGATATTAGTATACTCTCCTTAGTAGCCTTAGTATAAATAATAACTATAGTAGAAATAACCTTAGTATATTACTATAAGGAGATACTAATAGTATTTATAGTAGTATTAGTAACTATTAGTAAGCTTAAGCTAACTAAGCTTTAAAAGAATAATATTAGTTTCTTTAATCCTAACCTTAAATATTAGGATAAATAAAGAACTAGATAGGTTATAAGGGCTAGTAAGGATTTAACCTTTATCTATATTTATATATTTATAGACTAGTTTAAGTAATATATTATTAGCTATAGTAAGTAATAAGTTAAGAACGTTTAGGTAACCTACTTATATAGTAAGGCTACCTAATAGTATAATAGTTATCTTACTATAGTAGACTAGTAGCTACTCTATAATACGTCTATAGAAGATATCTACGCCAGTCTTATCGAAAGATGGCGGAAGCCGATGGCGGAAGCCACTAGAGACCTGGTAGAGGCCCGATATATACTGACAGATGCATACCGAACTCTTGTGCCCAACAGTGTGTGCCATCGCTCCTTCCCTAAAGCATGAGTAAGAAATGTAAACATGTCACGCGTTTTTTAGCTGTTCCTCCCATTCGCGGCCGACGTCCCCAAATCTCCCTTCTGCATGCACACGCACTCGCACTCACAGACTCACACGCATACGGACGGACACGCACACGCACACAAATAACAAGATGAATTCAGACAGACAAGTTTTCGATCGACTTCTCTGCAAAGGAAAGGCAATCTTTGGCTATTGAATAAACCAAGTTCGCCTCTCGCCAACATTTTTAACCCGCTTCCCCCTCTCCCCAACCTATATCAAGCAACGCATAGCTCCCGAACGGCCTTGGTCTTGATGTCGGATTCGAACGGAGAGTTTCAGAATTGGATCCCATCTTTGACAGCGACTGGGTACTATACTGTGTCTCCGCCCCCCAGCTGGGACGGTATCATGCCGTCTATGATAACGCTATCCACGCGAGCGGCCGGTCGATAGCATGCATATAACACCTCGGCCAACGACACGCTAAGAAGCACCTCGCAGCTATATTGGTGACCATATGGCTATTGGATATAACGAAGAGGTGACTAGGACAATGAACGAATTTGGTTATCCCTACGGTGGAAATACGAAGGGTCTAGAGACAGTTTGGCGTTATCTGATAGCCAACACGGATACGTTGGCAGTTATCCGGGTCGTGATGGCCCGAAATCGCCACATGAGTGGCTTTTTTTACACTTGATAATACCACTGAGGAGTTCCTCGCGTTGTTAGGCAGTGATAACGGCAAGGGTGTCGCCGAATGCTGGCAACCTATCCGCAACTGTTTGATCGGAAGATCATCTCCCATGTCCAGCTGTCAAAGAACGTCGGCTAGTCTAAAGAAGGTAAAAGGAGAGATAATAAAGACATTATAGCAGAATAATAGTTAGTTCCTAATAATAACTTTATTAATTACTAAAAAAGGAAAGTTCTTTCTTAGTATTCTTTATTTTTATATAAATAAGTAATTTAGAGCCTTATTAGCTATTAGCTAGTAGTTAGTTAGAAATAAAATATAGTTTTCTTTTTTTTCTTTTTTATTATTATTATTATTTTCTTTATCTTTATTATTATTATTATCTTTTTTATCTTTATTATTATTATTATCTTTTTTATCTTTATTATTATTATTATTTTTATTTTTTTTTTTTATTATTTATTTTTTTTTTTTTATTTTTTTTTTTTTTTATTTTTTTTTTATTTTTTTTACTTTTATTATTATTATTATTATTTATTTTTTTATTATTATTTTCTTTATTTTTTTTTTATTTCTTATTTTTATTATTATTATTATTATTATCTTTTTTATTTTTTTTATTATTATTATAATTAAGAAAACTCTTTATAGAATATTTTAAAACTATAGTTTAGAACTTAAGTAAAAGCTTATATAGAGAAAGATATAATACCTTATAAGTATTAAAACTAATAGGGTATATATAGAGTAAGAGGTAAAGTTATTATATTATATAACTTCTATTTAGTACCTTTATAGTATAGTGGTTCTATGCTAGGGAGTTCTATATAGGTTAGTATATAGATTACTAGTTTAAATCTAGCTAGAGGCACCTTAAACGATTTTTCTAAAAGTTAGGTAGTATATTCCACTATATAACTAACTTATAAGGGAATATAGGTAGGGTAACTATAGAGTTAGCTAGGGTAAAAGCTAGAAGGTAATATATACTAACTACTATACTACCTTAGCCCTTAATTAATAGAATAAGGCTAAAAACTATATATATACTATAGTATATACCTATAGATAAGTACTATAGTAAGGGACTATTCTACTACTTAGATATATATATAGAGATAAGTAATTAATATACCTAGATAGTTAATAAATAATAGAAGATATAGAGTAATATAGATTAAGGTAATAGCCTAGGAACCTACCTACTAAGAATATACTAAATACTATTAACTACTACTAGGAATTATTATATAATAGTAGATTAGTATATAGAAGAGGCTAGTTTTTACCTAGGTAGCCTAGGAACTATACTTAGTATAGTAAGGTGCTAGTATAAGTCCACTGCTACGGTTTTTCTAGTACTTATAAGTTTATTAAGGTACTAGAAAGACCACAAGGTCCAATTAGGGTAATTTAATAAATAAATAAACTTCTATTTAGTTATATAATATAGGTAAGTACTAAATATACTAGGTAATAGGAGATTATTCTTCTAGCTTTAAAGCTACTTATTATTATTTTTACTTAATCTATATTAACTAAGAAAAATAACTAGAAAAATAACTATAAAGAATAAAATAATAATTATAAGGAAAAGTAATAACTACTATAACTACTATAATATACTATAATAATAGCCTAATTCTCTTACTTATTAATAGGTATAATAGTATTTATTAGTATACCTAAGTTACCTTTTTCTTCTAGATATAAAATAGCTTATAATTATATTAAGTATAAGATAGCTTATAATTATATTAGGTATAAAGTAGCTTATAATTATATAGGGGGCTTTATTATTATATAAGGGGCTTTATAATTATTATATTTTTTACTTTTTATTTATAAAGTAATTTAATTTAAAAACCTATATAAATAAATTTTATAGAAAATAAAAGTTATATTATAAACTATATTTAGTAAAGGCACCTTATCTTAAAGGCTATAGAATATATAAAGAACTACTAGCTAGAGTATATTAAGTACTATATTAATACTAAGTATACTATACTAATACTAAATATATTTTACTAATATTATATTAATACTAAGTATATTATACTAGTACTATATTAATACTAAGTATACTAATTAATTATAATAGTCTTAAAAGTAATAAAATAATAATAAACTTATAAAAGCTTAGGCTTTTATAAAATTATAGCTATAAGAAAGCCTTAATAGCTATAAGACTTATAAAGTCTTATAACTTATAATTATAAAAGGCTTATTATAATACCTTTAAAAAGTAATACCTTAAAGGTATAGTATTTAATAAAGATAGAGAACTTATTATAATATCTTTAAAGAGTAATACCTTAAAGGTATAATATTAATAAAGAGCCTACTATAGTATTTATAAAGGGTAATACCTTAAAGATAGAGAGTTAATTAACTATAATATTTATAAAATAGCTTTAATAAGTAATACCTTAAAGACTATAAGCCTTAAAAGTATAATACTTTTAGAATAGACCTTTAGAAAATTATAGCTTAAAAGGTATTTAATAATATTCTAAGTAATACCTATACTTATAAGAAATAAGCCTTAATAGCTATAAGACCTATAAAGCCTTATAACTTATAGCTATAAAAGATTTACTATAATACTTTTAAAGGGTAATACCTTAGAATCTATAGGCCTTAAGAGTATAATACTTATAGAATAGATCTTTAGAAAATTATAACTTAGAAAGTACTTAGTATAGTCCTAAGTAATACCTATATTTATAAAAAGCTAGCTTTAGTAGTAGTTTAGTTATAATATTAATAATATTCTTAGTATTTAGGATTTAACTAAAGCTTAACTAATATAGTATATTCTTATTATATAGCTAGTAGTATTAAATATCTATATACTTTATATAAAGGTATTCTTAGATATTAAAGGCTTAGGTAATAGTATTAGAGTTATTAGCCTAAATAGTAATCTTAGTATAAATAGGCTTTTAATTAAAGGTTTTTATAATAATATAATAAAGCTATTAAATCTAGATAGCTTTCTAGGCTATAATATATTTATTTATTTATTTATTAAATTATACTAATTAGACTCTATAGTCCTTCTAATACCTTAATAAACTTATAAAGGCTAGAAAAACCGTAATAGGACCGCTGCTAGCCTATGCCTAGGTAAAAACTATCCCTCCTATATGCCTCTCTACTATTACATCCTTAATAACTAGTAGGGTTTAATAGTGTTTAGTATTCTTAGTAAATAGGTTCCTAGGCTACTATATTAATCTATATCTTCTATATCTTCTATTAATAATTAATACTATTTAGGTATATCTATTTACTTACTATCTATATATATAAAATATAATTAAAATTATTATTTAGTTTTTATTAAAAGCTAATAATTATAAAAGAAAATATATTTATTTATTTATTAAATCTTATTATATAATATAAGTTAATAATAATAAAAATTAAAAGTAATTTTAAAAGTATTATTATAATACTTTCTATAAAATATATTTTAAACTTAAATAAATAAAGTATAAAGTATTAAAAATAAAAAAGAATATTAAAAAAGAATAAAAGCTAAAAACTCTTAAAAAAAAATATTAAAAACTTTAAAAAGCTATAATAAGATTTAAGCTTAATTAACCTAAAAGTATATAAAACTAAATATAGCCTTTCTTAATATAAATAAAAAATAAAATAAAAAGAAAGAAATTAAAAGGTTAAGAGAATAATAAGCTTAATTAATTTAAAAATATATAGAATTAAATATAACCCCTTTAATATAAATAAAAATCTAGAGAGAAAAAAGGTAATTAATAGGCTTACTTAGCTAAAATAGTATAGACTAGATATAGGCTAGAATATAGATAAAAACCTAGTATATAGTATTAAAAGAGGTTTTATTAAATCCTTATATACTTTAAAATAAGATTATAAAGAATTCTATAAAATATAAAGTTTTCTTTTAAATACTCTAGTTTTTTCTTATTTTATACTTAATAAGAATACTAAATAGGTTATTTAGCTTAATTAATATATAAAACTTATTATTATTATTTATTATTATTATTATTTTCTTTATTATTATTATTATTATTATTATTTTCTTTATCTTTATTATTATTATTATCTTCTTTATCTTTATTATTATTTTTATTTTTTTTATCTTTATTATTATTATTATCTTCTTTATCTTTATTAATATATTTTCCTTATCTTCCGCCTTATTGCGGCCCTTGAAGTCTCCGTAGCTCCCAATTGACGTCGGCGAGGAACGCGCGGCTGTTGTACGGCGTGATGTAGCTGTCAAAGCCATACTGTTCCTCTCGTCGCACTTGCTTTCTTCTATCTTTATTTTTATCTTCAGCATCGTCTTCGTCTTCGTCGTCATCGTCGGCATCGTGGTCATCTTCATGGGCCGGCCGCCGTCTCTTAGACGGATCGCCCGGCACAGTCTGCGTTGAGGTGTGCCCAGAGGGGGGCGTCAACGGGAGGTCCGTCCGGCCGTTAAATGGCGTGCTGCCTGCGCTGGCTGTGTGGACGAGGCTGGCGCCCGTGACCGACGTGCTCATCCTGCTCGTCGCGACTGATGACGGTATTTCCTGAGTCGCGCGCTTGGCCGCCATATTTTCGATGCAGCACATGTCGTAGTGGTGGCGGAGGGCCATGCGGTCGACGCTTCGGGCCACCTGTGCCTTTTTCCCATGGTACGGTTCAAGCGCTTTATATGGCACAAAGATGCGGATGCGCAGTGTGGTCGGGTGGATGGAGAAGAGGCGCGAGTCGAAGAAGTCGTGCAGGTGCTTCATGAGCAGGATGCCATTGTCGGCGCTCCATGTCATGTGCCACGCCTGGCAGAGGCGACGTGCACTGTCCTCGAGCGTGCCGTCTCCGTTGTCATTCTCCATCGGATAGAGGTGAAAGTGCTGCTGCGGCACAATGTGGCAGGCATGCACGCCCGGGCCGATGGGCTGGATCGAACTCCAGGGCTCGCCGTCGCCCGACACGGCGCAGCAGGTGGCCTGGGCGATGCATGCCATGCGAAAGTGGCTGATCTGCTTCTTAGCCGAGTCCATGTCAATATCCAGGCTGGCGGGGGCGAGCATGCTACTGGGGTCGTCGCCCTCGCCCTCGTCCGGTTTGTCAGGCGAAGTCGAGCCGGCGGAGCGCTTAGGGGGCGATTGAGAGCGAGCCTTGAGCTTGCGTCGCAGGGGCATCACGCTGAGGCGAGGATCCGAGGGCGTCTTATTGTACGGGAGGTACGAGGGGTGGTGAAAACGGCGGGGGTCGGAAATGTAGTGAGCGCATTGTGCTACACATGTTAGCGGTTATGCCTAGCGTATGCGACTGACGACGAACCTTGAAGATGATCCTTAAGCAAGCCAGCAGTAAGACTGCAGGGTCTATGGAGCACAATGTGATATGTTATATTTCTTGGCTCTCGCATGCTGGGCGATGGCAGACCCGGCACTGTCTTGTCTAGGGTCTCGTGGGTGATGAAGGCTGGGTACTGGGTTATGTCGTCGGCCTCGTCAGCGATATCGGTCAGCGCAAAGGCGATGCTGTTGGTCCACGAAATGTTCGCATTTTCGCTATTCTCTTGTGTTTCGCCCTGACCGCCCGGCGGAATCTCAAAGCATAGCGCTAGCTCGGCGCAGATGTCGGCAAACGTCAGTGTCGGCGCGCGAGGGTTCTGGTATACGCCTGCAAACTCGTGAGGGCGTTCGCAGGTACCAATCGTCAGCCGTACGTTCCAGCCGGCCGCGCGCATCGGCGCCGTCACAGCGCTCGTCATTTTGCAGTTTTTCAACAAATGCGAGTCGAGATTTAGGCGTGGTTAAGGGGATATGGCAAGGTGATTGATCGTGTTGTGCATAGAACGAGGTCGCTGGTGGATGACTAAGCCACTTGGTTGACCCGATAGTATAAGATGCCACGTTATCTTACTTAACTTTCTTATCTTTCTTAACTTTCTTATATTCCTTATCTTTCTTAACTTTTTTATATAAAATTATACTTAATTATAATAGTTATTTTATATATTTATTAGCCTACTTTTATAATATATAAAAATATCTTAAGTAAAGATCTTTTATACTAATAGTATTACTCTCTCTAAAGTGTATTTTCTATTATAATATTCTTTAAAAAAAAATCTGATTCTATAGAAATCCCCTAGAGGCCATATTAGAAAACACTTCCTATATGCATAGGTAGCTAGGTAGTTAATCAATCTCTATCACATGCCTTATACATCTGTGACCTTTAACAGCAATCACCCAACGATGCAAACAAAGAGTGCTTCGAGACCCCAGCCACACATCGTCTGCTCCTAGTGAAGCAGTCGAAAAGAACTTGCGCATCCCGCCACCCGCCACCCGCCAACTAGCCCGTAGCAGCAGGTTCTGCCTCATCTTGCACGCCGCGACTCTTCTGTGCTTGCCTCTGCGGATCTTCTGTATGCTGGTGGCAAGCGGCTGTAGATGTGGATGGCAACCCACCATGTGGTGTAGTGTCCTGCGCACGTTCACGCTCCGCATTAGGTCGATGGAATTGGCACATCAAATCAAAATGCTCCAATCTATCTCGCTTGTCGCTGGTCTCAGCCGGATACTTTTCCAGATCTACCCAGGTAGAGCTTGGTCCGCGTAGTATGCCCATCGTTCCGGTGTCCCATCCGAGGACATTCCTGGCGCTAAACGCAACATCGTAGTCTGTCATGACTCGCGTGCTCTGGATCGGATCCGGTTTCATGCCAAACGCATGCTGTTCTCGTGCCTCGAGTGCCATGAGAAAAGTGATTGCCACACTTATTGTGATTTAAGTGGAGATCACGGTACGTATAATTAGCTAGAGACCTACTTATAGTAGAAAGCTAGAAAGGGATAGTAGTATATAGATAAAGAAGTTAAGTCTAGAGAAACTAATCTTAATTACTAATAGAATTAGGTAATAAAAAGATATATTAAAGGAGTATAATTAAGCTAATTAACTAGGCTAGAAAATAGGTATAAAAAAGAAAGATTTTCTTTTTTTAGTTAAAAAAAAATAAAATAAAAATAGCTATAAGTTTTAATATATATTATTTTTTAACTTTATTATATAAAATTATTTTTAATTATAACTAATTATTTAATATTTATATTAACTTATTTATATAATTTATAAGAGTTATAAGCTTAAAAGGTAAATAATAAAAAATACTTTTTATTACTTAAAACTTCTATTTTACTTATAAATTTATTTAAAATATATAAAAATATTCTTAATTTCTTTTATTTTTTTTAATATATTCTTAAAAAATAATAACTACTTTAGCCTATTTTAGCTTTAAGCTTAAAGAATTAAAGTAATAATATAAATAAAAACTCTACCTTAAAGCCTATATATCTTTAAAATAAGTCTAAGGTTATATAGACCTAAACTAGCTTTATTTTAATAGTAATTTATATCTAAAGCCTTATAGGTTTACTTAGCTTTAATATAAGAATAAATACCTAACTATTAACTATATAGACTTAAAAATTACTTATAAAAAGGTAATAAATTTCTAAAAAGAAATAGTAATTATAATTAAAAAAAGATAAAAGAATATTAGTCTAGTCTAAGTCTAGGTTAGTATTATTATAAACTTTAAGCTCTTTTTAAAAGCTTAAAAAATAACTAAAATATAATAATAAGCAGCTTAGAAGCTAGAAGAATAATCTCCTATTACTTAGTATATCTAGTACTTACCTATACTATATAACTAGATAGAAGTTATATAATATAATAACTTTACCTTTTACTCTATATATGCCCTATTAGTCTTAATATAAATATCTTTTTATAAGCTTTAATACTTAAGCCTTTATTAACTTATCTTATTATTCTTTCTAGTAAGGAAGATTTTATAGTTATTAAACTATATTAAATCTTTCCTAATAATTATAACTTTATTTAGTATTTATAGCTACTATATCTTATTACTCTTATTACTTCTATTATTAAGATTAAGGATTTAGATATAAATACTAAATAAGATATTATTAAAGATAATAATAATAATAATAGTAATTATATTAATACCTATAACTAATCTTTTAAAGAAGAATAAGTAAATAATATAGATAGGGAGGGTAATACCTTTAATTCCCTTAATAAGATAATTAATATTACTTACTATACTTATATAATTAATACTTTCTATATATATTATATTCCTTACTCCCTTATAGCTTATTAATATAAGCTTAAGTTAGAATCCCTTTCTATATAATACTTTTTTATAAGATACTTTTAGTCTTTAGTAGAAATATCTTAATATATATACTATTATAAGATATATATTAGTTATTAACCTATATATTAATAGTTTAATATTTAAATCTATTTTATAGCTAATGTTTTCTTTTTTTAATAGAATCTTTATAGTATACTAGCTAATTATACCTAGTTTATCTATTTTTTAGACCTTAGCTAGTCTTAGTATAAAATAAGAAATAATAATAATAAATATATCCTTTATTAAGAGGTATATTAAGATCTAGCTTAACTTAGCTTTAATTTAGCCTTAACTTTTAATATAATTAAAAATTAGTATAATTCTACCTATAATTTAACTATAACTAAGAAGTTCTTATAAGTATATATTCTTTTCTTATTTATAGTCCTTTTAGACTTATAATTAACTTCTCTCTTTCTTTAGGTAGGATTCCTATATTAAATATAATAATCTAATAAATATATATAATATAATTATAGTTTAGATTAATAGTAAGATCCCTTTACTAGGATTAACCTTAATAGATAATTATTAATACTAATAGGGTATATATAGGGTAAGAGGTAAAGTTATTATATTATATAACTTCTATCTAGTTATATAGTATAAGTAAGTACTAAATATACTAGGTAATAAGAGATTATTCTTCTAGCTTCTAAGCTACTTATTATTACTCCTACTTAATCTATATTAACTAAGAAAAATAACTAATAGAATAAAATAATAACTATAAAAAATAAAATAATAACTATAATAAATAAAATAATAACTATAAAGAAAAGTAATAACTACTATAGCTACTATAATATACTATAATAGTAGCCTAATTCTCCTACTTACTAATAGGCATAATAGTACCTATTAGTATATATAAATTACCTTTTTTTTCTAGGTATAGGGTAGCTTATAATTATACTAAGTATAAGGTAGCTTATAGTTATACTAGGTATAGAGTAGCTTATAGTTATATAGAGGGCCTTATTACTATATTAAGAGCTTTATAATTACTATATTTTTTACTTTTTACTTATAAGGTAATTTAACTTAAAAACCTATATAAATAAATTTTATAAAAAATAAAAGTTATACTATAAACTATATTTAATAAAGGCACCTTATTCTAAAGGCTATAAGATATATAAAGAACTACTAGCTAAGGTATACTAGGCACTATACTAGTATTAAGTATACTATACTAGTACTATACTAATACTAAGTATACTATACTAGTACTATATTAATACTATACTAGTATTAAGTATACTAATTAACTATAATAGTCTTATAAATAATAGAATAATAGTAGGCTTATAAAAGCTTAGGCTTTTATAAGATTATAGCTATAAAGAAGCCTTAATAGCTATAAAACCTATAAAGCCTTATAACTTATAACTATAGAAGGCTTATTATAATACCTTTAAAGGGTAATACTCTAAAGGCTTAGTACTAATTAGCCTATAATAATCCTAAAAGTAATAAAATAGTAATAGGCTATAAAGAGAGCCTTAATAGCTATAAGACTTATAAAGCCTTATAACTTATAACTATAAAAAGCTTATTATAATACCTTTAGAGGGTAATACCCTAAAGGCTTAATACTAGTTAGCCTATAATAGTTCTAGAAATAATAAAATAGTAGTAAGCTATAAAAAGAGTCTTAATAGCTATAAGACTTATAAAGCCTTATAACTTATAGCTATAAAAGGCTTACTATAATACCTTTAAAGGGTAATACCTTAAAGGCTTAATACTAGTTAGCTTATAATAGTCCTAGAAGTAATAAAATAGTAGTAAATAGAGAGCTTACTAGCTTTTAAAGGGTAATACCCTAAAGGCTAGTACTAATAAAGGTATTAATAAAAAACTAGCTAGCCTTTAATAAGTAATACCTTAAAGGCTAGTATTAATAAAAGTATTAATAAAGAGCTAACTAGCCTTTAGTAAATAATACCCTAGAGGCTAGTACTAATAAAGGTATTAATAAAGCTAGCTAGCCTTTAAAGGGTAATACCTTAAAGGCTAATACTAATAAAGGTATTAATAAAGAGCTAGCTAGCCTTTAGTAGGTAATACCTTAAAGGCTAGTACTAATAATACTAATAAAAAGCTTATTATAATATCTATAAAGGGTAATACCTTAAAGGTATAGAACTAATTAACTATAATACTTATAAAATAGCTTTAGTAAGTAATACCCTAAAGACTAAAGGCCTTAGGAGTATAATACTTTTAGAATAGACCCCTAGAAAATTATAGCTTAGAAGATACTTAGTATAGTTCTAGGTAGTATCTATATTTATAAAAGGCTAGTTTTAGTAATAGTTTAGTTATAATATTAGTAGTATTCTTAATATTTAGAATTTAACTAAAGCTTAATTAGTATAGTATATTCTTATTATATAACTAATAGTATTAAATATTTATATACTTTATATAGAGGTATTTTTAAATATTAGAAGCTTAGGTAATAGTATTAGAGTTATTAGCCTAGATAGTAGTCTTAGTATAGGTAGGCTTTTTCTTAAGGGTTTTTATAATAATATAGTAAAGCTATTAAATCTAGATAGCTTTCTAGGCTATATTATACTAGGAGATATACTCTATTTTAGTAGTTAAGTATATAATAATATTCTATAGCTTTAAGTATTAGGATATAATACTACTTCTTAAGGTAATAATAAAGCTATTAATAGATTTATATATTTATTAATAATTAATATAATTAGTATTATAATAAACTTAAGGTTCTTTATTAGGTTCTATAAAAATAAGTTTATAGTTAATAGTATTTTTAATATATTATAAAAGCTATTTTAGGCTAATAATATATTCTACTAATAAGGTAGCTATAAATCTATAATAATAGCTAATAGTAAAGTAGATATTAGGCTTAGAGTAGTTAGAAAGATAAATTAAGCCTTTATAGGTCTTAGTATACTAGCTATTCTTAATAGTTAGCTATTACTTAATACTTTTAGTAGTAGGACTTATTAGTAGGTTATAAGGTTTATAATTAAGAAGGCTAGCTTCTTTTAAAAGGGCTTTAATATATCTATTTTAAAAGAGTATAAAGGTTTTTATATATTAGTCTTAATAAATATTAATATTAAAATAGTAGTTAATAAGGCTTATATCTATTATTTTATAGGTATTTAATAAGGTTTTCTTAATCTTTATAATAGTAACCTTATTCTTATTAATAATAAGAAGATTATTAATATAAATTATAATAATTAGGCTATCTTTATAAATAAATAGGGAATAATTAAGCTATATAGGCTTAAAGCTAAGACTTTAAAGTATTTTATAAAGGGTTATATACTAAATCTATAGGGCTTACTTTAGCCTATATAGGGACTTTAGTAGCTTTTATACTTTCTTAAGGTATTCTTCTTAATATCTTTTAGGTATTTTAATATAGACTTTAGTATCTATAGGACTATAAAGGAAGGTAGTCTTAATATCTATTTATTTAACCTTAAGGTCTAAAGTAGCTATAATTACTAGTAATAGGTATAGTATTGAA